ATTTTTATAAGATGAAATATGACACCATGATTAAAGGGTGCCTGTAATTTTTACATAGAATTTGTCATTTTTTGAAATCGCAACGAAAAAAATTTCGAAACTCATTTTTCTAAAAAATTTATAGGGGTTATCGATTCCATTAGACCCGATTTCGCTAAACTGTCATATGCAAAATGGGAGAGTGGAGATACCGTAATACCTCAGGTCAAAGTCCAGCCAGAACATTCATGGACCGAGCACTCTCACTCTGGATAAACAACAATAACAGGGAGGGCTTTGGATTGATGGAAGAGAGACCGAGAGGGGAAGAGAGAGAGAGAGAGAGAGAGAGAGAGAGAGAGAGAGAGAGAGAGAGAGAGAGAGAGAAATTGAGATCAGCCAGAACATTGAGCATTTAGCGAGGAAATATGATCTAGGTTTTCTAGCTAGGGTATCAGTTCCAAACTACCGTAATTCCTGGCATACAGTAAGAAAAATTTGCACATGGCGATGACTAAATTTGAGATGATAAAAAGAGTGATGATCCACTGGGCGTGTTCCCAATTCTACCGTATCCCTTTCCCGGCTTCTCTCTCTCTCTTTTGTAATACGTATTAGCTGTCTGTCCCCTCTCTCTGCCTATGTAGGGGTTAATCCGATCCATGCCCCCTCCACGGGTTGGCCCAGGCATTTCCGCTTGTTCCCTAATTCCGATCACTTCCTGTCTATTTCCTCTCTCTCTCTCTCTCTCTCTCTCTCTCTCTCTCTCTCTCTCTCCTTCTCTCTCTCTCACTCTCTCTCTCTCTCTCTCTCTCTTTTCTGTAGAATCCCTCTAACTGTACCTGATATCTACGAAATCTGTGTCAATCTTTGTATTCCTGTCACTAATATATCTTGAACTTCAGTTGTTCGCTTCCTGTTACTCAGCTAGTACAATTTTTGCAGAATTTTCCTTCCTGCTTCCTTATAAAAGCAAGCAACCTTTTCATGGGTTCTCTTCAGAATAAAACTAAATGAAACTACCGTGGTTTTACACGACTTTCACAAAAAAAAATTTTACGCATTCTAATTAGTCTGCCGTCCTCTTTTTCTGGGTACAAAATAGACGTTTTAGGCCCGTTTTTCGCAGGAATTTTACGCACTCCCAGTTGAAACCCGTAATTTTTTGGTCATAGGATTCGATTGTAGTTTGCAGCCCTTTTGTAGGCGTTCTTTTTCGGGGGTTTTTGGAGGGTTCCAGTTAGATTGTCTGGCTTTTCGGAATCTTTTTTTGAATTTGGAGAAAAGAATTACTTAGATTTTTATGATTAATTGCAGAATTAATTTAAACTGGCCCCAAGTGACCGTTTTGGGAAAAAGCACAAAATTAAAATGAGACCAGGGTTGAAAAGCCGCTACGCGACTTTTCAACCCTGGCCCCGTTTGGGCCCATGATATTCTCACTTTGCATAATTCGCCCGGGCTGCGATGAAAAAATAATGAAAAACGCTCCCTCTGCCCCTTAATATAGACCACCACCACTTCCGGCGTATGCAAATTGTTTCCTAACAAAGAGGAGCCCGAAAATTCACAAAACCAAATTTAATGTCGAAAATAGCATAATTTGCAAAACTGATAAGCTTGAGTCATCCCAGGCCATACGCACCTAATGACGTATCATACATACCTAACAATTATCCCCATCGAGATACCTCCGGACACGCTGACGGAAGTGCATGCAAAGTGTCATACACACACACACACACAGACACTATTTTTTTATATATAGTAGGATACCTTTAACCGGTGGATAGAGAATCGATACAGGTTGATTCCATTCGACAGCCTCAGTCTCTACAAAATATAGACAAAAATATAGGCTGGGAGAGAGAGAGAGAGGGAGAGAGAGAAAGACAGAGACAGAGACAGAGAGAGACGGAAAGACAGATAGACAAAAAATCGTACAAAGAACCCTGAAAATTCCAAAAAGAAGGAATTACATAAACCCCCAGGGGTGTTTTTCGGGTTTTCAGGATTTAGAATGGATTAAGGATTTGGCTGGAAGGAATACGGTATAAGGGATTACGGTAAGTGTTTCTGGAAGCTAAAGAAAAAGAAAGATTTTGACGCAGAATTGGCGCAGTATTCCAAAAGTTCATCGCATTTGTTGAGGGTTATGGTAGAATTGCAGATTTTCCAAAAAAATGCGTGTGAACGCAATTTGCCCCCCAGACATTCTACCCACAATTAGACTGCAAAAAATCGGTTGGCGTAATCCCTCTCGAATCAGCAATTAGCATGGAGAAGTGAGAGAGAGAGAGAGAGATAGAGAGAGAGAGAGAGAGAGAGAGAAAGAGAGATGGAGAGAGAAGGAAATGACGCAGTTCTGCATTACGGGATTAATTTTTAGAACAAAGTAAGTCAACGCCTTGGGGAAATGCAGATCGGCACTCAAAAAGAAGAGAAAAGATCAAACTATGAGCCAGACAACCGAAATCAGGACTTTTCAAACTTTGTAAAATGTATTTTATGTCTTCTGACAGCCAGAAAACCAGACAAAAAAAACCAAAAATCTATGATTTTTTGGGGCAAAAAATACGGTTCCTCTACCTGTTCTTCAAAACTCAAATTTTTGAAATTGACAAGGCACAAAATCCAAAATTAAAATTCAAGTTTCAACGGGAAAATTCTATAGTTTGTAGCCTGAATAAAATGCGTTTTTAGAAAGTGCCATTTGCAGAAGTAGACCTCAAAAAACGACAGCAATCCAATGAAAATTCCATAAAATTACAAGGCAAAATTTGGGAGAAATTTTGGAATAGTGAAGACAGCAGCTGCAATAAAATGGAGAAGAGAGAGAGAGAGAGAGAGAGAGAGAGAGAGAGAGCGAGAGAGCGTGGGAGGTGGGTCTAGAACTAAAGGAAATCGAAATGGTTATGCAACTAATATTTTTAGATAGATTTACGGCATAAATTTGCACAAAATGGTCCTTAAAACAATGCTAACAAGCTCAAAATTCAGAAAAAAATTCAGAAAAATCCACCGTCACTATTTTTCTTATTCGATTTTTAGACAATATACCAACTGACAGCCAGTTAATAAAACTATATAAAAATCGCCAATAAACTATGACAATTCGTCTCGAAATGGTAGGTGGTAAATGCTAATCTTTGGGGCTGAAAGGGGTTCCCTCCGCAACCACCCTCATCAGCCCTTTTCTCTCTCTTCTCTCTCGTCTCTCTCTCTCTCTCAGCTGGTGCCTAAATGGTGTCTAGATAGACTAGAGTCTCGGCTAGACCACGCCCCCCTCTACCCCTCATTCCCACCATTCCAATTAATCCCCACGTCTGGTCGGTAGCAAGGAGGGGGGAGAGGGATACCCCACTCTCTCTCTCTCTCTCTCTCTCTCTCTCTCTCTCTCTCTCTCTCTCCTCTGATACTTGTTGTATCTCGTACCTAGACACCATAGCCCACCATGGCCCTCTAGCTGTCTGTGTCTCTCATTCTCTCCCACTCTCTCGCATGTCTCTCTCCGTCTCTCTCTCTCTCTTTCTCTAGCTCTCAGCCTGTCAAATCTCTAAAAATCATAGAACCAAGCAAAACACAAGATTTTTGTGCCAATTCTGGGAATCTGCCCTAATTTCTACACGTCTTTGAGCAGACTACGTTTCTTTCCTTTTCTTTCCCTTTCTCTGGGTCTCTCCCTCTTTCTCACTCTCTCTACAGTACCCCCAGACAGAGTACATAGAATAGGAATCCAATTGGTACACTTTCAACAGCTGGCTTTTTAGAAACGAGAGAGAGAAAGAGAGAGAGAGAGAGAGAGAGAGAGAGAGAGAGATACAGATCAAACCAAAGTACTAACCCCCGATTAGGTACCCATCTCTCAACCCCAAACCCCGTATTTTCACCTGCTCTCTCTCTCTCTCTCTCTCTCTCTCTCTCTCGTCCATTCAGCCTATATTCTTGTCTGAATGCAGCTATTTGATGTCTTTCTCAATACCTCTCTTCTGTCTTGGTACAAGAAATGAACAAATTCCATATTCCAGCTGCTCTTCTTATCTACGTGAATTGGCTGTCTGACAAAGCAGAAGAAAACTACACCTATCTGCTAAACATCTAGAAAAACGGAGAAACCTGCAAATTTTTGCAAATCCAATTCAACCGTTTCAGATGGCGGGCAGATGAAGGCGACTCGATGACGGGCTGACCTAGCAACAATGTTGAAAATACCCTCTTTCCGATAAAATAAACATTATAACCATCAATGCCGCATAGATAGAGAGCAAAACAATTGAAATTGAATGGAAACGCACCAAAGAATGCCCAGAGATCAAGAGAAAAGCTGGTATCAACGGTAATTCCCTTAATCGCACTAAAATCCACAAAGATTTTACAAATTTTCATTACACCTTTTGCGATTATGAAACCAAAAAAGGTTTGTTTTGATCTTTTTTTATCAAAAAGATCTTGAAATCAAATTGTTTTCGGGAAGCTCCGATGGCTCCTATCTACGGTTAGATCTGTCAGCTGGTGTAATCCGGAATTTCGGCGGGTCATTTTGATTTTTCGCTCCCAGCTTTTCGCTCAAATTTCTACGTTTTTATGATATTTGCGCTCATTATTAAATTTAAAATACCAAAAATTTGTTTTTAAATGTTTGACTATAATATTGCCGAGAAATGAAACTGTTTGAAAGGTTCTAAAATCATAGCATTCAGTTGTTTTCGTTTTGTTTCTCGTTTTAAGGAATTCTAAACGAAAATATATGTTTGAATAACGATATCATGGTTAGTAGCGTAATAAACTTAGTAAGAAAGTTTTTACGAGCTTTTTTAGCCGCTTTCAGAATTTTATCGGCGTTTTTAGCGTAGTTTTTCTGATTCTAGCGTTTTTCTTTTAGTTTTAGCGTTTTGTTCTTCGTTTCGATTGCCTTTCCATGCTCCATTTAATCTCATCTCTTTTTCAGGGGATATATTGAGGCGTATCTCTCTTTTGAAGGGCCCCTCCTCCTCCTCCTGCCTACCCGTTTGTGTGGCAAGATGTTGGGCCGTCGTCATTTGGTTGCTAGGAGATTGAAAGAGGGGGAGGGAATGAAGAAGAGGAGAAAGCCGAAGAGAATGCACCAATTGAGAAGAATAGACAGCCAACAAGGGACAATCCATTCTCTCCACCCTACAATATCAATACCCCACCACAGTACGCTTTTTTGTTGTTTTTCTAAACAGATTGAGGTTTTTAGGCTTAGAAATTTAGTTTTTCGCGAAAGTTTCTAGTTTCTGGCCTTTTTGAAGCGTTTAAAAACCCGTTTTGAGTGGAGAAACGACCTACACGTAAAAATTGACTTTTTTGCGAGTTTTTAGCACTTCTTTGGACTTTGTAAACATGTGTTTTTAGACTAGAAAGCGCCTTAGAACTAAAATTGACGTTCATAGCGGAGTTTTTGTAGTTTTAAAACTTTTTTTGTGCGTTTTAAATCCTCTGTTGCCTTATTAAAACGACGGAACTTTAAAGTTAACGTTTTTGAAAGATTTTTTATAGCTTTTTTGAAAGCTTTTTAGTAGGTGAACTATCTTTTTCACATCCGAGCGACTGCAGTTGAAATTTGCGGTTTTTAACGGGAGTTTTTATAACTTTTTGATGCTTGAAGCTATCTTTTTCAATGTCAAACGACTGAAATTCGAAAAGTAGGGTTTTTCGCGGGATTTTAGTTGTTTTTAGAAGTTTTATAACCTTTTGTTATTGTTTTCAACCCCTTTATTTTCAGATCGAAAACGACGGCCCACCCACGACGACAACCAACGCTACAACAGAAAAAGACGAACATCGATGAGAAGACGGCAAAGATCACGGCCTATTTCCCCGTTAGAAAGAGCACGAGGAGGACGGGGAAACAATTAGAGGAGGATCGACATCTACAACTACGACAGGCAATCGACAGTGGATGCAACGAGAAGATGCTCGATGTCTATCACTGTCCGGTACGTTTTCATTATTTTATAGGTTCTAACGCTTAGAATCGGTGATTTATGGATTTTCTCATCAAAAAGGTGGTTTTTTGAACCTAGAAAAACGTTAAAAAATACATTTTTAGGCCAATAAAAAGAGAAAAGGCAAGCAGTGAAAAATTCGTGTTTTTAAGCCTCGGAAAACGTTAGAAGTTGAGATTTTTAGGCAAAAAAATCGAAACAAACCAGCTAATCGAAAAAGGCTATTGTTTTCACTCTAGAAACCTTTCTAATAATTGAAAATTGGAATTTTTAGGCCATAAAATCGTAAATCCATTTGTTTCAGCTAAAAGGCCGCGGCATTCGCACCCTCGTCGATTTCAAGCGGAACGAATTTGTCGTCGAATACAAGGGTAATTTCCTATTTTTCTATTTTAAATTCTCTTTTATTTGCAGGCGAAACAATCGGCTACTCGGAGGCGAAGGAAAGAGAATCGAGATATAGTGATGATCCCTCCATCGGAAGCTATATGTATTTCTTTGAATATTCCGTAAGCTGTGCCATTTTTGCGTTAATTTCTCTATTTTTAGGGCAAAAAATGGTGTATCGACGCGACGGCCGAGACGAAATATAAGGGGCGACTCATCAATCACTCGGCCAGAAGGCCCAATTTGTGGACAAAGGTATATTCATTTTTCGCCTGATTTTTCGAGCATCTAACCTTTCTAAATTTGGTATTCAGCATAGGATTTTTGTAGCAAAATAAGGTGTTTTTGTCGGTTTCTAATTAGTCTAATCTACGGAGTTCGGGCAGAATTTTGGGCTTTTTAAAACTTGAATGAAATAGGATGCCGCAGCTTTAATTTCTCCTGTTTTGTGTAGATTTTTTAATAGATTTCCGCGCCTTATCTTGGCTTTTTTTGGCAAAAAAAGTTTGTTACGGGTTTTTCTTTGGCTATTTTAAAGCTTTTTTTCGCAATTTTCCCGGGCATTTTGTTTAGATTTTGCGGTATTTTATGTATGGTTCGGCCTTTGTCGGTTTTACCCGAATTTTTTAGAAAAGGGTCTCTTGTAGCTTTGTTGTAGACTCCTAAATAGCTTCATTTATGATTTTAGGGCGTCGTTCGCTTTTCCCTAAAAGCGTGCATTGTTTCATGAATTTAATCTGTTATTGGAAGAATAATTTAGTATTTTCAAAAGTCTTTCCCCTATTTTCACAAAATGAATGTTTTTGTTTGAGTTGATCGACATGGACGGGCGTCCCTCGTTGATTCTATTGGCAAAGAGGGACATCGAGAAGGGAGAAGAATTGCTGTATGATTATGGAGATCGAGATCCATCTAATATCAAACATTCTCCATGGCTTATCAATTCATAATACCATTCACTAATTCCCATTGAATGCCTCCATTTCTCTCTCTCCACGGGTCTCTCACCCCATTCCATTCCTTTCACAATAAAACTCGTTGTTTCCGCTTTATTTATATTATTATTCGATGCATTTGGTGCCTTTTTCGAAATAAAATACGCTCCAAAAGAATAGAAATATTTTAGTAAATTACTCTTTATCACTGGGATCTTTTCGTTAATGGTTAGCATATGATATTAAGATATATAAACACATAAAATTCTCACGATCAATCAATATAGGCGAGAGAAATAAGAGAGAGATAGACACCGAGGGAACGAGAGAAATAAAGAACGGCAGAGAATGGCAGAATTTAGGCTCTCTAACTACAAAATACAACCACACTGAAATAAAATATAATACTTACAATTTTATATCCCCCTTTTTCTGGCTATATCACAAATATATCGATTGAGAGAAATAGAGAGAACGAGACAATCCTAATGACGATAGACGCCTTTTGTTGTATTATGTAGCCACATCATTCTGAACGAGCCGAGCCATCAATTCGGTGCAGAACCGGAGATGATCAGCGACGGCGTCACGGCAATGCTTCTAAAAGGAGGATAGAGATGGGAGAATATATTTTTTGCCTTTTTTTAAAGTTAAATTTAACAATATCCTAAGCGGAAAATATGATAATAAGGCAGAAAAGGCTAGAAAAATCGTTGCAAAAATCGATTTTCGATGAAAAAAAATGATTTTTCGAGTTCCAATAAAATTTTTAAATAACTTCATGGATCCAAAAAATGACTATAGCATTGAATAGTATAAATTTTGTATACCTCATCATTAAATCCAATCTGATGGATTGTGTGATTGATGACGTCGATATGGCTTCGCATATCAGGATGGCTGAGATCAACGACAAGCACTTCAGAATGGGGCAATCGATCCGGGACTGTTGTTCGCTCGTTCAGAAGGGCCATCACTGTCTGGAAACACGGGATAAAAAAGATACAAATAAATTACAAAACTAGTGAAAAACCCCTTTAGGATTCTAGTTTTAGAATTAAGAAAACGACCTAACGGTCAAAGAAAAGCTCTTTTATTGAAATCATACAGAAAAATATATATTTGTTGATATTTATATCATTAAATGTCACATTTTAAAATAATGTAAAATCCTACCCCGATAACGGAAAAGCACCCAGAAATCCCGCTGTCCTTACCGAAGTATAAATAATAGTATCGCCATCGACATCCAATCCATGCAATACTTGTTCCATATATACCCAATGCAACTCGATCTCGCCCTTCACCTGCAATAAAAATAGTAATAAATGAACAATAAAGTAGAGTACCAATCTGGCAGTGGGATCTCCTCCTTTGGCCCATTTTGAGAGACAGATCAACAGATAGAGAAACACCGCATCGTGAACGTTATCTGCTCGAGGGAGGGCACGAAGACGCTCGAGCAGCCGGGTCGACAGGTTCTAAAATTACATCAAAACAATTCAATCTAAATCATGGAAATTTTAATAAATGTAATTCATCATAAATTATTCCTTCAAAAGAAATAAATTCCATTTCGATCGAAAAATTCATGATTTTCTATCAAAATTAAAATAGAATAAAGTTAGTTAAACTTACAGAAATGAATTTCATACATTTAATTTAATTTAAAAAACCGGTTCTTGAAATACAAAAAAAATTGAATTTTATAAATTAAAACTTTTCTACATTTTTAAATTACGGTCACGTACCAAGATGGCGATGCAGGAGATGGAGATGAGCTGCCAGTGGGGGATGATCTTCGCCCACATTTCATCCAACTAAACAAAAGAAATTAAATATTTAATCTCAAAAATAGCATATATACACAATTAAATGTCTTTAAAAACCAACCGGATTGTTAAAATCGCCATCAATAAACTGGAGGAGATATTGAAAGATCTCCAATGTCCTCCCAATTGAATAACCGACTTGATGGGCAGCCAGTAGAGGATCCATTCCCAGGCTGAAAAAAATACAAATAATTTTGAATCATATAGAAACAATAAAATCCATATAAAAACAACTAAACAAAAACGTACTGAAATTGTGGCCCAGTCTCGTAGAATGGTCGATGAATAAATTGAATAGAATGATGAAGGGCATTCCAGAAGAATAAATGAATGACACTCTTCTCCCATAGTCGCCATGTCTGTTGTTCTACTTCTATTGCACCCTCAACAGTACGGAAAGCGATCAGTTTCTGGTTGGCAAACGCGCGGAGGGCCCTAAATTATCCAATTAAACTATAAATTAAATCATTAAATTACGAAAAATTCCTTGGAAATTAAATTATAGAAAAGCTCATTATTAGAAAATGCCAAAAACTGTCATTAAATTTGATACATCTAAAATTATTACGTGTTGTCAGCGGCATATTCAAGGCATAGAGTGATGGCGAGTTGAGCGACTTTGGCCGGGATTTTCTTCCCCAGGGATTGTTGCCAGTCTGCAATAAATATATATGAAGAAAAGCAGATAAATACTTACCAAAAGGATTATGCCTCGGGTCAAATGGGACTTCTTTCGGCCGGACACGTTCTACCAAAGCTGGCCAGTCCGTTATTAACTAAAAAAAGAAATTAAATAATTATAGCTTGTGTTGTGGTGTCAGCTTTGCTGGACCACATAGCCTCCCGGCTGTCCCTCCACCGGTGGGTGCCACCGGCGCGCCCCCGCGGTCGCGTCGCGGCCACCCCCCGCCATGACTAGTGTATTATCTCGTTGCGGGTCCACTTATCGGCACAGACAGCTCTGTTGCCGATCCTCCTCCACCATTTATGTAGATAAACAGTTGTTCGATAACTGTACGTCCAAGCGCATTCTACATCGTTCGACTACTCTTTTCGAGGATCACAACACAAGCATTAATAGAAATTAATTAAACCAATTTAAATTTAAAATAAATAGTTTACAAGGTTTCTTTTGTACCTTATGATAAACAGACTGCACATCAGCCCCCGAAGAGATTGGCAACTGTTGGAAGGCCCTCAAAAAGTAATAATAATTTACAAAAAAATTAAAAACGCACTCTCCAACAACGCCGCGTATCAATTCCTGATAAAAGGCCGCATATCGATCTTGACAAAGCTGCTCGAGTTCCCGAGGGCAGTACGCTTCGACTAGACGGTCCATTTCTCGAGCCTAAACTAGAGAATTTCGGGCTTTAGAAAAAATATAAATGGATTTAAATAGAATTTCGGTTCTATCGCATTATCGGGGGGAGGGGTCGAATTTTTGTATAATTCTAGAAATGTCTAGAAACTTTAGCGGAAGTATTTTATTAATGTTTTTAGCACAATAAGCCGTTTTAATCTAGAAAAACTATCTAAAAATTCTTTAAAAAAATTTGAAGACCGAGATCATGGTAAAAAATCGGCAACTTTTCGTCGAAAATGGGAATTTTTTATAAAAATCTGTTTTGCCGCCAAATAAAAGTAAAAACAGTCTAGAAAAGCTTCTTCAATTAGGTTAGAAAACTTGCATTCCAAAAAATCGGCTTCTCCCTCCCCCCCTCCCGCGATAATGCAAACGAAACGCGCATAAAATAAATACCTATAATTACCTGATTAATAATCCTTGTCAATTGTTTGTCGCTGTGTGGTATTTCGACATCGAGACATAAATCAGTGGCCAAATGATGGGGATCAGAGAGGAGTGGCCACACGATATTTCCTGCTTTCTGGGCCACTTCCTTTTTCCGCTCAAAATCGACAATCATCCGCTCGAGTTCTTCGTTTTGTTTGTCAACATCTGGGCGAAGTTCGGCTGGGAGGCCAGCGTCACCTGGAAATTTTGCCTTATTTCGAGCTTCTCTCTTTTCGGGGGGACCTAGAACCAAAATTATTCCAGAAAAAATTAATCGTACATTGTTAAAAATGTTGCTAAAAATTACCGAAATCTCAATGTTTCGACCAACATTTGAATGTTAAAACATTTTCTAAGTTTTCGCGCGCAAAATAGAACCAAATTTCACTAAATAGGCTCCCCCGCCTCCCCCAAAAATGCAAAACCGTCGAAAAGCCTATAAAAATCTCTAATCAAAAGGATACCTTGTTGGAATAGCCAATGCGCATCATCCCTCACATACACAAAACAATAGGCCGATGAAGTACGGGACTTTCCACCAATCGCATCATCGATCATCGCTTCCCGGGTGGTACGCTCGATTCGACGATCATTCAGCTTCACCCAACCATTTTCTACAAATTACAAAATATTAAATTATTATTTTATTAGGTTCCAAATTTAATAAAGAAAGATAATTGAGAATAAAATGACAAACCAGTAGTCCTATCCCTAACATATGCCCAATAATGGCCAGCGGTGGCTTCTCCTTGATGGATGATGACATAGTGCAGGGAGTAGCCCTCTGGAATTAATACATTACCACATGAAAATAGTGCAAAAATACCTCGATGCAATTCCGGGTCCATATCGTAGGTGCCAGCGATTTCTGCCTCTAATCTTCCAGCAGCAGCCGTTAGTTCTAAAATAACCATCAAAATATATTTTTTCAATTTTTATCAGCTCAATTACATTTAAAATAACGTCAGAAGAAACCTTTTCTAAAATAACTAAAAAATAAATTTCTCAATATTTTTACACTTTTAATTAAATTTCCAAATCAAATCAAAAGCAGCCGATAGTTCCAAAATAAATAAACATCTATTTTTTATCAATTTAATTAAATTTAAAACTAAATATTATAATTAATCTACCATCTTTCTCGGTCAACGTCTGCGCCAACAGCTCCTCCAATTGTATGGCCATCTGGGATCTCAGCTCCTCTGTCAATCGTGCTTTCGGGACTCTTTTCGGCCGATCCGGCACAAATGACGCTTTTGAAGACACCTACAATCAAAATAATTTTAGCCTAGGAAGAAACTCGAACCTCCTTTTCGTATGGTGATTCTCGATTGAGAGGGCCAAGACATGGTCCCAATATCACAGGGGAAGTATCATCATTGAGTCCTTTAGTGGAGAGATCACATGTTGATGTCTCCATTGCCTCACTATCGTCTTGTCGAACAGAAAATGAAGCCGAAGAAGAAGAAGTGGGTTGTTCTTCAGAGGGATTGATGAATTCCCGCATTCCCCGCAATACATCCGCCAGTTCCGCTTGGTGATTGTTGCTTTTTCCAAGCGGGAATTCGTCGAATCTAAAAAAATACATATCAATAAAATAATAACATGTTTTAAAAAGTAAAAAGAGCACTAAAACCGACCCCTTCAATTGTGCTCTAATATCGGCCAATTGTTCTCGTTGTCTCATCCGCTCTTCGTGAAGGGCGAGCACACGTAATCGATTCCGGAGGTAGTATCTAGAAAAGGACACGTAATTACTTTAAAGCTTGTCACATTCAAAAAAAATACAAAATAAAAAATTTTGTAAAAGTTTTATATTTTATTTTGGTTTGAAACATTATTAAAACAAGGAAAATCTGGATACCTGTCCATATAAATCGTATCCGGAAACAGGAATTCATTGTGGAGCTTTGACAGCCGCCCATCCTTGTATTGGAATCGATTTGGGTTGAAGAAGAGCACCGCCGGCAATTTGTCACACCATAACTAAAATCATAGATAAAAATACTTTTTTAATAAGCTACTTGTGCGCCATCACTGGGTAGATGAGCAGCCTCGAGCGCGTCGTGTAAATCTTCATAACAAACGGCCAGATTCCAGACTTGCAGGGTGGCCGGGGTACGCGAGGAGGAGGCGATATCTTCTAAAACAAGGATATGGACTCGTTCAAGCGATCGAAGGATACCTGAAGCCTTGTGCGAGACGGTTTGCCCGTAGAAAAGCGGTTCGAATGGAGATTCTGGTTGTGGGAGTTGTCCAGAAGAAACCGTACGCAGTCGTTCTCGCCTTGGAAGTTCTGGACGGGCGAAATCGATCAGATCCGGGCAGCTAAAGAAAGAAAATGGAATCCTAGGCTTTAACAAGGCGGAAAATCGAGCCATTTAGAGCAAATGTAAAAAAAAATTGCATTTTTGTGGAAAAATCGAATCTTGTGTTATTTTTAGTCCAATTTTTCATTTTTAGGGCTAGGAGTTGCAGAAAATGAACGTAGAAACATTTCCTATATCTGTATTGCAACTAAACAGGCTCTGAAAATCAATTTGGGCGAAATCGGTATTTTGAGCATTTTCAATCGAACTTTACGCCTACGAATTTTACAAAACGCTAAAAAATTTGTTTCGCACATCAAAATCCTCTAGAACCGATTTTTCCGCTCAAAATTACCTAGTAGCCGCCTGCCCGGGTGCCGATGTATCCATCTCACATTCTGAAGGGGTGGCAGATACCGGAAGTTCCTAAAAACAGAAATAATACATACTTTATGGAGCAATTACCATAATAGTGGGTGGTATGGGTGGAGGGGTCAGCGGAGCATCAACAATCTCGGGTAGTTGATCGGGTCCATGATGAGGACGATGATGTCTTGCCATTGCTTGATCCAGCCATTGAACCACTTGAAGAAGCAGTTCAACGGCATCTTGTTGTTGTCCGATGATACAGTGGCCCTCGACTTGTTTCTTCGCGTACGCCACGGCTTCCACCGCTTCCGTTGGGTCGATATAACTGAAAACCATTTTTTTTTGGAAAGTAATAAATTTGGAGCTTCTCTGTTAGTGGGGGATTTTCCACGCAGGACCATTTTTAGCGCGTCTAACATTGTTTTAGATGCAAAAAGCTAAACAAAAATTCACAAAAATCTTGAATTTTGGTCAAAAATTTTTAATTTACAGCCGTTCAAAAGTTCTCAAAAGTTTTGAATTATCAATAGGGTGCGGAACAGCATAAAAGCTTCCGTAATTCCATAAAAATCCTCTAAAAACACACGATCGTTGCGTGGCCTCCATCTGGGCAAAAAGGCGTCGTAGCGAAAGTAGAATCCGACGAGAAGCCGTTTCTTCACGAGATAGTGGCCCTGGGGGCTCTGGAGGGGAAGATACGTACAGTAACCTAAAACTGTTTTCGTTTTTTATTTAAAATAATCTACCTTCTCAACGCGGGCAATTGAAACAACAAATGGACAAGGCTGTTGAACCAGCACGTATTCCCGATATTGTAAAGGCCAGTCTGGAAAAAAAACAAAATTTAGAAATTTTTCCAAAATGCTACCATCGGCTCCTTTCTAATCAATTCGTGTGGATCGTCGGGTAGAGATGCCTCATAGCGACTTCTCGATAGATCACTATCTTGTAGAGAACTCTCGATTGCCCTAAAAGTTGATCAAAAAAAGTCGTAAAAATGTGCAACTTGTTGAGATCGATCTTCTCCTTGTCACTGGGGTCAATAATAGACTGTTCTCGCGATGCCTCAATCGCCAATTGCAGCTCGGCGTCCTCTTTGTTCGCACAGCTATCAACGCCAGGCTAAAAAAACAAAACTAAAATATTCAAATGAATTGCTTACGGTCCTTGGTGTCTGTGTTTCTTGTACTTGTTGATCACCGGAGAACCATTTCTCAGCAATATCCCCGGCTATTTCTCCTTCTCGAGGGGCGATCCGTTGACCTCGCACTTTCTAAAAAATTATTTCATATTTTCAGCTAGCTAAAATCCCACATGAAATATGCGGATAGCCTCGGATCGCGGAATTCCCAGCTGCAGGCATTGCTCGATTTCCTTTTCTTGAGATGGGGTCAGTGGCATCATCTAAAAAGATAGTTACGAATTATAGAAAACGGGAAAAACATAACATACAAAACTAGAAATTCTACCTCATCCATCTTGAAGGAGACCTGCTGCGGCCTGGGGAAATCTCGCATCGGTGGCGGAAAGTCGACGTCCTGAATTAGAAATTTAGGGATCTAATAGGTGAGAAAAATACAGAATTGGAAATTTCCTAAAAGAATGACTTGAAAGTTTTACAGTAAGGCTATCACTAGTTTTGAAAAAATTCTGGTCTTGGTCCCAAAATGGCCATAAAATTTTACAGTAAGCATAAAATTAGCTAATGATTTTTCCGATAAATTCCTCAATACAAAGTAAATCGGGACTTTAATGCGCCAATAGCTAAATCTCTCCAAAACCTCTACAAAGCTTTTAAAACCCAAAAAACTGGCCAGAACAAAGCCTCATTACTCACCGGTATATCAATGGTATCGGGGCCCGTTTTTGGGGCCATAATCGAGGGCAGAAAAGGGAGAAATGAATAGAATTATAGCGAGAGAATATAGAATGTAGTTTCACCAGGAAATAGCCCAAAAATATCAAGTTTTTAGCGAATTTCTGCTGAAAGACTTACGCGTTTCAAAATCGGCATCAAAAGGTCCGGTTACGTTAGAGAGCACAGGATATTCGTGTGCATTGGAGCAATGCGTAGCTGAGGTAAAGCCAGAAACTGAAGCCTTTGAAGCGTAAAAATAAGGGTTTAGGTGGCAAAAAAATTCCGAAAATTTTGTAGTTAGCAAGAAGATGATAGGCTTCAAGTCTATGTAGCTTATTTCCGGCTTAAAACCCCTGGAAATAGCTTAAAATTCGATGATTCCATTACTTAATTTTTGTAATTAATTAGGCAATTCTATTCTTTATTCATAAAAAGTTAGAAATAAAATTTATAGGTATATCACGTTGTATTTTTCGTGTGAATATTCGGGCAGTAAGGGAGAGGTAAAAGAGGGAGACAGCAAAGAGATAATAAGGGGTAAAGCTTTTTGTGAGAATTTTTGAACCGAGTCAGTCGCTGTAGAAAAAGTACAATAAAAGTAGTAAGTAGTAAAATGTACACAGAAAAAGCGTCGTAGGGAAAAATATAACATTTTTTATCGAGGTGGGGGTGATGGTTGGGCGGCTCGTCTTCTTTGACGATCAAATCTGAAATCTGCGATTTTTAGAGGGCTTTTTCAACAGAAAAAAAACAGCTATATTTTCTATTTTATGATGTGGGTTGGTCTATTAATCCGTGCGATGCCATTTTCAATACCTTTTCTCCATTTCCTCCAGCAATCGGGGCGTATATCGAACGACAAGCCTCACAGTCCCAGCCGCCGATTTCAGTAGATCCACAGCTTTTTCGTGGCATTCCGTCTCGACGTTCTAAATTTTGTTGCTTGTAGTTAGTTGTATTTTGTAGTCTTGAGTTAATTTGAGTTAAATAATACTTACCACCCCATTGACAGCAATCAATTGATCTCCCCTTTTCAGCCCTCCTTGTCTCTCCGCCACTCCACCGGGGATTATTCTGAAAGTTACGTAAATTTGTGGTGTGACGTCATTGGTATTTTGATGGAAAACGATAGAACTAACCTTGAAATATAAATGGGTGAATTTTGCTCCTTGCCGCCCATCACGTTAAATCCCAGGCCGGCATCGGTTTTTGGGAGTTCCACGATACGAGGGTGCGAATGGCCTGAAATCATAGTATTTCTGGCGCTTTAAAAGGCCGTTTGTGAGGGATCCGACCAAGCCCGATTATAGCTTAGCACAGTTTTCGACCCCGTTTTTGACGCCATTTGAAGAGCATGGTTGATTAGTAGATGGCATATTTTGAAAGTTAAAAGTTTAATTTTGGGGTAAATGGGCCTCAAGTTGCCGACACCGAAAAATATCTCGAGAACACTGACAGATTTCTGAAAATTTGGTCAATACCTAATTTGGTGTGGGGAACATTTCTCTAATACAGCGAGCCGAAAATGCCCGGAACATAGGTGTGCGTACACAAAACAGTTTTCCGTTTGTCCGGAACTGGGCGACGGGCGGCCTTTGTTTACTGAGAAGATGCGCAAGAAAATTCGCACGAATGGTGATCAAACTAGGCCGCCTGATCCTCAGGCCGCTATAAAGCATTACTAGGCAAAAATTGGCCCAAAAGAGGCCCCGAAAACTTATAAAATTCAAAATAACGAAATCTGAATTTCTTTTCATTTAAATCAAAACGAATTTCTTTTTGCTCTTTTTTGTAATGGTTTCAGCATGATGACTACATGCAAACTAATGCCTCAGATTTCGTTATTTTGAATTTTATAAGTTTTCGGAGCCTCTTTTCGGCCAATTTTTGCCTAGTAAATGCTTTATAACGACTAGGATCAGGGGCTCTAGTTTGATACACCATTCGATGAGAATTTTCTGCGCATCTTTCTACAGTAAACAACAGAGCCGCCCGATCGCCCAGTTCCGACAGAACGGAAAACTGTTTTGTGTACCAATACACCTATTTCCGGGCATCGAGCTCCGATGTATTAGAGAAATGTTCCCCACACCAAATTAGGTATTGACACAAATTTTCAGAAAATTCTGTCAAGTAGTTCTCGAGATATTTTTTCGGTGTCGGCAACTTTGAGGCCCATTTTAACCCCAAAATTAAACTTTTTAAACTTTCAAAGAATGCCACCCTACTAATTCAACCATGCTCTTTCAGATGGCGTTAAAAAAACAGGGTAAAAAAAACTGTGCCAAGCCTTGTTCGCGTCTGTCGCAAACGGCCTTTTAAAACTACAAACCACCCACTTTTTATGATTCCTGGCTTTATTTTGCCTTTAGAAACATAGCTTACTTTTCAAGCTGTCTTTATTGTTTTTACGAGGTACACTATCGATTTTAAGCTGTACTTTATTGTTTTCTATAGCTTTCCGTTTAATTAATTGTATTTTTAAAGATTTAAATTGAGATTTTATGTTGTTAAAAACCTACCCTGTGCAGCGGCAAATGCGGCAACAGTAGCTTTGGCAGTAGCTGAGGCTTTTACCTGAAAAATGCGCTTTTAATGCACTTTCTAAAAAGATAAAGATACCTCTGGCGGTCCCTCAATATCAATGGTATCATGGAGATGTTGATAGACCTCTCGGACGGCTGAGAAGAATTCCGAACGAAGGACCTGTTGCAAAAAGCAGTTATATAACTAACGATAATTCCAGTTTTAGTAGTTTTGAAATAGTTAAAAATCCCTAAAAACTGACCTTTTTCAAATGTTCCAATTTCGGTGTGGCCACTTCTCCAGTCGATTGTAGATGATCAATCAATTCCACGATACGTTGGATATCTAAAAATATACTTTGACTTATTTAGCAGCGTTTTCCGGCGACATTACCTAGAAATTACAATTTTAAGGTAAACGCCTACCTCTCTCGAGATTGATCCCATCATTTGCCATGTTTTCTCGATAGAAATACGGCTTTTTCTGGGTTATTCGTGCAGCTAAACCGTCGTTTCAAGAGTCTATCGGCTACATACTACACCTATCCACACGCTGGTTATATGCTTTTAAGGAGAGGGGGAAAGGGAGAGGGGATTAGCCGTTGTAATGGCACCGCAAGCGGAGGTTTTGCATAAAAAGGGAGTAAAATCAACCTTCGAAAGCGATTAACGTAGAATTTTAATGTTTTTTTTTGGGTAAGCTGACAAGCAAAGAGCATAATTGGCTGGCTTTCATAAAGCTTAAATGCTTATTATTGAAACTTTTGGGCTTTAATGCCTGTAAAAGTAGCTTTTTAGTTCTATTTTCATTTTTACGCATCAAAAATGACTCTCCCAGGTACAAACTGAACCGCTTGCGACGTGGGAATCACGGGGAGAAGCCCCCTTTCATCTGCCGATGGCTGGCCCCCGGCGACACCCTGAAATGGCCTATAAAATGACACACTGCAATGGAGAGGCGAACAGTGATCAAGGGCATTAGCACCCAGTTAATGTATCACAATCGCACGTCTGCACGGCAGTTAGACGAACAATATACGAAAATAGTAAAAATATACCGTGAAAAGCGTGAAAAATCGGATTTTCAGCCAAATTTTTCAGGTCTTTGTCAGGTTGTATCAAATTTTTTAAGGTTGTAACGTATTGATGATGCCTTATTAGTATCAATCCACACTGCCATCCAGTTAACCGATTACGATCTGTTATTAGGCGTATAACGTCCATTTAATGCATTATGTGATGAAATATTGAGTGTAATGTACCGAGAATCCATTCGCCAGTCTTTTTATCGTATCAGCAGTGCCTTTGAAATGGGTAATCAAATGCGAATAGCCGGTCCATCTCTATAAATGGCTGACAATGCACGGGTTCACACCTTTTTTTGGGGACACTGTCCATTTCATTCTCTTTCTCTCTCACTCGCCTGGTTACGGTAGCCGACCTGGGACCTAAAAATTGGCCAAAAATGAAGGAAATGGCGCCGGATGCCCAGGGTGGCATCATGAATTTGGGCTTTCAGAAGGGTCAGTTATTGATTTTATTTAACCTGGAAGTTGCCCAATTCTTTAAAAATTTAAGATAGAAAATGGCTCGAAATTTTTTCTCCATTTTTCTAATTTTTTCTCATTTCTAATTTCTAATTTTTCCCTAAAATCGACTCTTAAATCGAAGAAATCGTTTCAAACCCGGAATTTCCTCCTGAATTTTGATGTGGAAACAGGCATGTGCATCCGCTGCATGCATTCTTTTTACGGTGGCTGGGTAATAAATTTATACAATTAGAGTGATAAGCAGAAGAGAACGAGACCCCCTCGGAAATTTGGGACTTTCTATTTTTGACCTATCTTCTTAGCGGTGACTCTATAGCTAGCAAAAATTATGGCTGATCTTTATATGCGTGAGTTTTCATTAAAAACATTGAAAAATCGATAGAATATCGATTTAAATCTCTAAAATTCGTATTGAAAAGCGATCAAAGGTCAAAAAATATAAAATTACAAAAAAACCAAGCAAGTTTGACAATTTAAGCCTTAAAAATAACATCAACAAACTATAGAAAGTCATAAGATATTGTCTTAAACCTCTAAAAATCGTATTAAAAAGTTATTAAGAGTATCAAAAACGAAAACGGTTTAAAATTAACAATTTAGATGACGAAACCGAGCTCCAAACCCGAAGTCGACTGGTGAAAAATGCATTTCGAGAAGATCAGAATTGCATTATTTTGAGGGTACTTCTTAAAAAATACAATTTAATGGCTATTAAATATACTTTTCTGATATTTCTATTTTCTGTAGGTAGATACCCATATCAACAGTCACAAAGGTGTCAACCCATTCGGATTCCATTTTGAGATGGATAAGAAGAGATATGTCTCCAGGAAGAAGCAGATTAGGAGGGAAAGTGAGTCTTTTTACGGCAAAAGGGTACTTAGAACAGGAAATTGAGGATTTTTGATCAATTTTTTTTGTGTGGAATACCTTAACTAACAAGTTCTTTACAAAGTCTATATATTTTTAATGCCAATAAACCCCTCTATAAAAATAAAAGACAGAATTCCCAGTTAGAGATCACTCAATGGCTGTCATGGCTGGCCTATTATCATCATAAATTCGGCATTCGACATCTTCTGCTGGTTGTATTGTTGACAGGATATGTATTCCTCGGCGGGATGCTCTTCAATAAATTGGAATCCAAGAATGAACTCGATGTGGGTTGTTTTACGGCTTAACAACGTTCAAAACAGCTTCACTGCCAGGCAGACCGACTAAAAATTCCTCAAAAAATTTCTGTACAATTTAGAAGTGAAATGCTTCTCGCAATCGCTTTACTGGCCTACAGAAAGCTAAAAATGGCTTTAAAAAATATTTTATTCGGCGATTTCGGTCTTAATTACAAGCCGTAACCGGTTATCTGGCAGCCAGAATTGCTAAAAAATAGCTGTATAAATTTTAATTTTGTAATTCAGTTTGTTGGCAGTTGGCAGCCATAATGGCTGAAAATAATCATAAAATTTTTATCTCAGAATTGAAGTAGAATCTCCAGTGGTAATCGATAAAGCACCAGTTAGATTGTCATTTAAAATTTTATATTCTAAAACAATTTTATTACTGAGTTCGTCCTAACTGCCATCCAGTTTGCCTAAAAAAATAACAGCGCACCTTAAATATGGCCCCTCTACCGCAAACTCAGCCATTTCAGGATCTAAAAGAGACTCTGGTTCTAATGCAAGGGATAATCCGTGAAATGAGTGTCGAAGCGATAAATGTGACTCTTGTCGAAGTTGTCCAAAAACAGAATTATACCGTTGGACAGGATAAAATGGGCAAGCTGATTAAGGTATCACTATGAAACTAAAAATATTTATTTCATAATTTCTAGCGTTACTACAAAGAAATGTTAGAGGCTGAGGGGAGATTTCATGGCAGTGTATGGCATAAGGTAAGGAATATAGCTTTAAAGGGACTGGGAAGACATGGGCAGAGATTTTTCACGGCGCGTCAAACAACGCGTATCACCATATTTCCATTGCGTAATCGATTACGATATCTTTTTGGGACGAGCTAAAGGACGTGCGCGTTGTGTGCCGCCGCGCCCGAAAATCTATAATTCCATTTCTGCCTGCAATTTAAAGGGGCTCTGGCAGCAGGCTCGTTTTTCCACGATTCGTGGAAGCGTCGCGGTCGGGTGCGTCGCGGCAGGGAGAGAAAGAGCGCGCCCAGAGGAGAGACGCAGACAGAACTCTGCGTCTCTGCCCGGTCCCCAAAATGCCGTAATCGGTGTGCTGCCAGAGCCGCTTTAAAGGGACGAGAAAGCCAAAAATATAGATATTTTATGGATTTTCAGTCTAGCCACACGCAACGCACAAGCTAGTCATTACATCGCGTAATCGATTACGGTGCCTTTTCACGCCATTTTTCCCCATACGCGTTGCGTGTCGCGGCCACGGCAAAATCCCAAGCGGAAAAAAACTTCTTCACCCATCCCAGCCCCTTTAAATAATGACCAGGGTTGAAAAGCCGCTTCGCGACTTTTCAACCCTGGCCCCGTCTTGGACCCCATACTATTCCCCTTGCATAATTGTCCTCCATTCAATCAGAAGACAAAAATGAAAACGACCGTTTCTGCCTCTTTATATAGACGACCACCCACTTCCGCTCTATGCTAATTATTCCTAACAAAGAGGTTTTTACAAAAACCTAAATTTAATAGCGAAAATGGCTGATTTTTAAAAATCTGATATGTGTGCAGTCATCCCTAGACCATTACGCACCTAATGACGTATCATACGTAGCCTAAAACCCGCCCCTGCTTGAGATATCCTCCGGACAGACAGACGGAAGTGGATGCAAAGTGGCACACACACACACACACAAACACACAAACACACAAACACTATTTTTTTATATATAGTAGGATAACACCAATTATTCAGGCGGAAAACCTCGAACTGCATTTAATGTGGTACTTCTCATCGGCCACTTTCTATGCAATGACCCTTTTCACCACTATTGGATACGGTACGTATCCAAACAGCCCATTTTTGTCCTCTGACAGCCAGTTTAAACCTTAAAAATCCGATTTAACTTTAACGAACCACTCTTTAAATATCTTTAAATCGTTAAATCTTTAAATAGGCGCCTCAGGAACCCCAAAAAATCCCCCATAAAATCGTCCCTTTTGGCTGGGCTATAAAAATGGGTCATAAATCGCTAATCTGCTAGTTGCTGAGGGGGGTGTTGAGAGCTATATTTGGGAGGAGAGAGAAGAGGAATGCTTTATCGCATGACCCGGCTTCTCCTTTGAAGATCTACGCCAAAAATGGAATGGAATCCGGGCTGGGGAAGACAGAATAGTGACGCCGATCTATGGCCTAGAAAAAATAAAAAAATTCCGATCTCCAAAATTAGTTAAACTGGGTGTCAGCTGCAGATTAGATCGGAGCTATAATTTTGTTGAACTGGTGACCAGTTAACCTAAAATTGAGCAGAAAAATAGGTCTCCCAAAGAAACTCGGCTAGATTGCCCTGAAAACGCGAATCGGCTAATCGATTACGACATCAAAATCCCTCTGAAAACCGGTCAGCTGACAATTTATAGAGAGAAAATTAGAGATCGAGGTCGAGCTCAGATGGCTGCCAGTTAACCTAGAATCGATCGAAAAAATCTATTCCCAAAACGTCGGCGAGTCTGCCTGTCAAAATAGCTCGAGCGCCAGCCAGAGATTCAATTACGTCAACTAAATCCCCCTCGTCTATTCGATTACGACAGGAAATTCACGCCAAAACCTACTTTTTTCCAGGAACAATCACATGCCAGACATTCTGGGGTCGTTTTATGTCAATCATCTACGCGTCAATAGGTGCGTATTGTAGCGTACCTTCGTATCTTCCTCTAGGCATCCCCCTAATGCTGGTGACATTGGGTGATGTGGGTGAATGGTTCCAAAAGATTGTCACAAAAGCCTATGTATGGGTGTTAGTACGATACAAGTGGGTACAGTACTCCACAATACACCTTACACCCCTAACGTCTATAGGAAAGTGCGGAATCAAGCGATAACGAGACCGTTGGAGGAGATCTATCTGCCTATCTATTATGCACTCGGCATTGTTACTGTCTATATATTGTTGTGCACGTTAATTATAAAGGTATCTTTTCTTAATTTCTAGATTAGAAAACAGTTAATTTAATCTTTTTAAAGGTATCAAAACGTATGTTAACATTTTTAAAGGAACGGTAAAGGCAGGGCTATGGATTTCTGGCGCTTTCGGGATCCATAAAAAAGCCGATCGCCTTGTCCGTCCCTTTAAAAAGGCCAATCTAATCTAAAAAATCCAATTTTTTAGGAATTCGACCGCCAAGAAGGCAACAAACCGGGCATCGATTTTGGGTCGGCGCTGTATTTCGTATTCATATCCCTGACGACAATTGGATTGGGAGATGTTATGCCCTATAATATACAGGTAGCGATAACTTAGGGCCTGAAAATTTATAAACGTAAAAAACGTAGTTTTATCGTCAAAAAAACCGGTTAAAAGTTATATAGCGTAATTCATTGAGTAGACAAACGGCTGTTTAGTTTTTCTATAAACGGCAAAAAACTCGGTTTTCACAGCCGAATTAGTTAAAGACCATAAAAGACCTAGAATTACGTATCGTAATTTATTATCACAAAAAATAAACGAGAATTTCGGTTTCTAAAAATCGAAATGTAAGTCTTAGAAGGTAAAACTCTGAGAAATACCTATCGTAATGCGTTAAAACGTACCAAACCCCTCCAAAAAACCCGCAAATATCTACCGGAATTTTAAGACTCTAGCATTATTTTTATTTATTTATGTATTACCTGTAGTAATCTATTAACCCCAGGAAAAATTATTTTCAGTACTCCCCGTTCCTGTCTGCGGCCTTCCTGCTGGGTCTAGCCATGGTCTCTATCGTCAATACCTCCATCTATGCCGTCCTCTATGAAATATTCTTCGAAAGAGTCGAAAAAGCCGAGAATTGTAAGCTACCTAAACCCTAATAATAGAATTTCTCTATTTTTCTAGGGCTGGACCGTATCCACCGCCAACATAATAAACCAGAGGGATGGGCCGTATTCTGTGAATTAGAGCCGGCATTCAGAACTCTCGCTCTATCATTCCCACATTCAGAAAAGACTGAACAACAAAGGCTAATGACCATATTGAATCATCGAGATGGGGGAAGGGATAAGAAACCCGGTACGTTGCAGAGACCATTTGGGAATGGCCAAAATTCAGTAGAAACGAGGATTTAGCGTTTAGAATACCGAAAAACCCGCTAAATTATACAAAAATCCATAAAAACTAAAAAATTGCCGTTTAGACATCAGCCGTGGAATCGCGGGAATGTTGGCAAAAACGCTGTGGACGACGGCCAATCTATCGGATTATCAGGATGCGCCAAGTAGGCCTAACGGTAGGTAAAAAAATATTGCAAGAAACCTCACCCAAAAACCGCCTAAAAGGCTCGAAAATTTCGAACAACCCGTTTTCCATAATTTTTAGCGTAAAAAGGGTTCTAAAATATTTAAAAAATGTGCTCTTAACAAAAACCGAATACGCTAGAAAATGTGAAACATGCAAAAAAAAAACGAAAAATTCTAAATTCGCACCACAAAAACCCCTGAAAAAATTTCAAATTGTAAAAATCAGTTTTCTATAATTTTAATGGGTAACTAGGGCAAACAAAAAAACTCTAGATGACGTGGAACTTGGAAATGGCCGCCCACCCTCCTCTTCTACCCTTTCTAATGGCCATCTAACAGTACCAAATGCTACAAATGACGATGGCAAGCGAAAGGTACTAAATAAAAAGAGTTTAAAACTAATCACCTCCTTCTAGGTGGGCTTCCACCATAATATTGTCCGTGTTCGCACAAATTCCGATCTGGCGGCCCATGATCCAGCACATAGCAATGATCTGCCGGTCAGTTTCGAGGAGGTCAACCCTGAAAAATATCATTTCCAGACCCGAATCCCGTCATTCAAAGCGCGACGCCGTGCCCCTACCCTTGGGGCATTTGGTGGATTTGAGCTGCACAAATTCCGGAAGCAACGACGGCAGAGCAGAGATGCTAATGCACATGGGGGACCACCAAGGCCGCCGGCATCTGATTCATCCGATTATGACACCTAGAAATTTAACAAAAACTTCTTCCCATTTTTCAGCAAATTTCTCTTTTTTTTCTACTAATATCCCGGGTCAAAAAATGGTGCCAAATTTTACTTATTTTTTCAAGTGAATAAATCGTATAAAAATAACTCATCTAATACTGCAAACAACAATTTCATAGCGCCCGCCGTGTTTCGCTTGAACGGCTTGAAAACGACGAAAATCTACAGGCCTCAATAAGCATCTACAAATCATTACCATCATCTAAATCCGCGTAAAAAGTGTGAAATCATGGCTAAAAATTGCGCCCAAGCCATTCCAAATGCTACCCTCTTTGAGAGACGCCTCATTCCCCCTGATCATCTACTATCTATTTATCATTTCCCGATTGGTCATACAATCCTCTATTCTACATCTACAATCCACCATTCCAGACAAACAATATTATTGTTTTAGGTTGGTTTCTTAAAAAAACACACCAAATATAATCCTATTCAGAACAAATCTGAGTACCCCTCGTCGTTGTGTACCACCAGATCCGGTCTCTTACGCACTAAATGCTTCAACCATCCAGAAATACATCCCAACGTTCGAGGGAAGGCCGGTAGGTCAGTTTTTAGCCTAAAAAAACAGCTCTAGAAATAGCCTAAGAATCTAAATTTTTTCCAGATGAATATCTCCACGCCACCCCGGCCGTACTATGATTGGAGATGGTCAAAAGCGGTCAAGGGTCATCTTATTCCTGTTTACACCGGTAGCTAATCAAAATTTCGGCTTTTCTAACTAGGTGCCCCAACACAACACCTAGGTGCTGCCCTATTCGAAATATGCCTACTCTTCCACAATGGAAGAATGACGCACAATCAAGTTGGAATAGCATTCTTTTTGTTAAACGGTAGGTTAAAAGTTAGCCCTAAAATGCACAAATTTTACAGCGCAATTAGCTCTATTCCTGGTGACGAAACTGGGCCCTCCACGCTTCATCATCCCACAACTGGCCGCATCTTCAAACCCATTCTCCGCCCAATTCTCAGCACTCGCCTTCTCTTCCTCTATCTATCAATTAATCCATTTCCTCTTTTGTCTGTTCATCCTTCATACCTCCACTTATAGAAAGAACTTCTACCGCAAAATTTGTCTCAATTCTTGATTACTAAAAAATTCTCCAATTGTACATGGTTTCAATAAATTTATGAACGGGCACAGGGTTAGACGCAAGAATTTATTCGAAGAATTAAACCAATATACAAACACTATACAAAACAAAGACAATCCAAATGTAAGAGAAGCACGCAACCAGCTAATTAACTACACACAAAAACGAGAGAAAATGGAGGGGAAGAGGGGCTATTTGTTGACCTTTTCGAAGTATTCCTTGCTGGAGGCCGGCTTGATCGTTGGAGAATCTTCTTGCCAATCGGCCGGGCACACCTGCAAAACAGAAGAAATTCTGAAAAATCAGAATAAAAATACCTCTCCATGCTTCTCGACGTACTGGAAGGCCTTGATCACACGCAGCGTCTCGTCCACAGAGCGGCCAACCTAGAAAAATAGGTTTTAAAGAAATAGAGAAAAAAATTACGGGCAAATCATTGCAGGTGACGGAGCGGATGTTGCCCTTCGGGTCGGCGATGAACAGGCCGCGGAACGCCAGGCCAGTCTCCTAAATGAAAAATATTGAAACTCAAACTAAAAATACTTTACCTCATCGAGCACACCGAACGAGCGGGCAATCTTCTTGTTGAAGTCGGCCAGCACGGGGATGTTCATATCGCCGAGACCGCCCTCCTAAAAATACAGAAGTTCCAAAAGGTTCGAAAGCTATACCCGGCGCGGCGTCTGTGTCCAGGCCAAATGCGAGAATTGCGAGTCGCACGAGCACGCGATCACCTAAAACAGAATTTCTCGAAGAAACAATAGAAAACTTCACCTGAACACCGAGCTTCTTGAACTCATCGAATCGATCGCTGAAGGCAATGATTTCAGTCGGGCATACGAAGGTGAAGTCCATTGGGTAGAAGAAGAACACCAGCCATTTGCCCTCGTAGTCCTTCAACTGCACTGGCTAAAAGAAGTCGAATTAAATCGGAGCGAAAATATACCTTGAACTCGCCGTTGACCACAGCAGTACCCTTGAATTCGGGCAACTAAAAAGAGAAGAGTTCAAGAAGTCAGTAATTCAAGTGATACCTTATCCTTTGGGCCAAGGGGACGAAGGCCGTGTTGAGGGCGGGTGCATGGTGTAGACGATGAGGTGGAAGAGGCGAGACGAGAAGCCCTCAACAGCTGAGGGGCCACCTTCATCTGACGCATCATCGACCCCAACATCTGAAAAACCGGAAAGTTGTAGAGTAAAGCAGTTCTGAAAGAAACAAAAATTATCAACATTGCAATAAATTTCAGAGTTTTGAGTTTTGAAAGTTTCAAAAGTTTAGAGTGAAATAAAATGAATGATAATAGTAAGAAATCTGCGGGAAAAGCGAGAAAAAAGGAAAAACAATAAAAAAGGTAGAAAAGTAAAAACTCGTCAGAAAATGTCCGCGACATTCCTATCGACACCGCTTGTCCCGATACAGTACTCCGGGTGTGTTTTAGAAAACAGCGCTCCCGTTTAGCCGCCGAGTTGATTTTTCGCGTTTTCCAGCGCGAATTTTAAAGGGCTGCCGACGGCATGTGTCGATCCCCCCTCATCAACAAATTGGCAAGTAGCCAACAGGGCAGAGAGCGCGACCTGGGGAGAGGCGCAGAGACATTTTCTTTCCAGCGCGTAACCGATTGACTATGCCGTCGGCATCCCTTTAAAAACTTGAATTAATTAAAATTGTAAATTAAAATGGGTGGCACTTATCAAGTTGGGGGGGGGTCACTTTGGTTTTCGACTTTTTGAGTCTTTCTAGGCTAGTTTTTTTGTGCTGGTTTCGGCTATAACAAAACCAGAGTAGTAAAACACAATTATCTAAACGTTTTTAAGATTTTGAAATGCTTACACCCAATTTGTGCCTAAAATTAAGGCTTCGTGCCACCCGGGGCCTAGTCGCTTCGGATGGGTGCGAGCTCGTACAGGGTTTCGAAATCGGGGCGCCCGAGGAGCGCGAAGCGCCCAGGCGCCTCGATTTCGAAAGAGGGAGCGGCAGCCCATCCGAAGCGACGGCCCACCTTGCCTGACAATGCGGCAAGCCTCAAATTGTGCATAAGTACACCTTTTATTAAAAAATTTTTACGCTGTTTTTCTGGATAAACCCAACCGTTTCGCATGCTGTTGCGACTCTATTCGCACTCAGCGTAAAAAACTACCCCAGAAAGAGTCGAAAAAGCGATAAAAAAGTGTCTCCTAATAGGTACCCAAAGTGGCCCCCCCAACTTGATAAGTACCAAATGGGTAATTAATAGAAAACGATAATAAATAAATCTGCAATTAACATAAAATACTTAAAGTAATGATAAGCCCCGTCTAAATCGTAAATCCCCGTCATTCCCCCCACATGGACTGCCGGCGGCCGGATGAGCACCAGTGAATCGATCCGAAAGCCCGAATTTCGGCCGGGAGATGTGCTGGCTGGATGGCACGTCATCCGTCAACTCGGCGCCGGAGGCTTTGGCACTGTAGTTGAGGTAAGTCGCTTCAGAAATTACTTTTCTAATCCCATTTTTGTATCCTAAAATTCGTCCATGTTTAGGTAATAAATGAAAACGGGCAACGCGCGGCGTGCAAAGCGGAATTCGCGGATGAGGATGTGCACATGCTGAAGAAGGAGGTGCGCGTGCTGCAGGTGATGCAGGGCAACAAGCACTTCTGCGAGCTGTTCCTGGCTGGAGAGGTATTTGAGGCTTTTTTCTGATAGAATCCATCCCTTTTTTTAGTTCATCTACAAGGACGAGCGGGTGAACCTGATGATGATGACGCTGCTCGGGGAGCCGCTCTCAAAGTTTGCGTATTTTGGCGGTTTTCTATGAGTTTTTTTTTAGGAAACGAAGGCAGTGTCCGAATCAGCGTTTCACGCGCTCGACGGCCGTCCGGTTGGCGAAGCAATGTCTCGAGGCCATCCGTCTGCTCCATTATTCCGGCTTTCTCCATCGTGATCTCAAGGTAAATTCACATTTTATGATCTTTATTTTGTTTATTTTAGGGCGGCAACTTCGCGTGGAACGACGCCAATCGGACCGTCTATCTCCTCGATTTTGGATTCGTACGCCAATGGGTCGGTTTTTTGTCTTTTCAATTCAATTTATGATTTTTTTAGATTATTTGGAAAGACGATGGTGGCAACGAGACGATGATGCGCCCTCCACGCAAAAAGGGACATTTTCTGGGTGAATTTAGATTTTTTTGCAAAACTATTTTTTGTTATTTTCAGGCACTTCCCGTTATGCTTCCCCGCACGTGCATGCCCGCAAAGATCAGGGCCGTCGCGATGATCTTTGGTGTTTCCTCTACATGGTCGTCGAGTTTATTACGGTAATTTTTGGGCAGAAATCTCTTATTTTTGTATTTTAGGGCAAACTGCCGTGGCGCAACGACTCGGACCGGGTGATTGCTGAGAAGAAGAAGACGGTCGGCACCAAGCTCCTCAAAGGTATTAAATGGGCTTGGTTTTTACGTGATATCGAAAAGTTCTGCCGTTGTCTACTATGTATAAAGATCTAAATTAAAAAAATTCGGCTTAGAAGACAAAAATAGCATATGTTTTTTCACGACAATGATAGCTTTCTGAATTGGCGTTTGTAGGTTGCCCGGTGGAGTTCTTCAAGATGTACCACCACATCCGCTGGTTGAGATACGAGGACAAGCCCAATTATGGCTTCCTAATGGACATGCTCAATAAGGTAAAGATTCCTCAAAATATCCATAATTATATTCTTTTAGATCTGCGAACGCTGTGGCTACGGAGAGGAGGACCCGCTCGACTTCGAGCCGCACGGACGGTGCGTCGAATTATGGACATCAATTTAATTTTGTATTTTTAGGCACTACGAGTATATCATGAACCACAAGTCTTCGTCGAGTGAGCCGTCGACTGAGGGGGCTGATGATGAGGAGGAGGAGGAAGAGGAAGAAGAACCCGCTGCCGTTAACCCAGAAGACCCATCCTCTCGTAAGTTTCGGGAGTTTTTTTAGTGAATTTAGAATTTTTTCTAGAATTTTAAACCGTTGGAAAAAAATTGAAAATTTTAGTCGAAGAAGCGGATTTTTGCGGTTCTTTATCAAAATTTGCTCGAATTCTAGGTTTAGGAAAATGAAAACGGTTCTGAAACAGTATCTCTTGCCTTACAAAGCGGTTTTTTCAGAATTCAAAGGTGAAAATTCTAAAAACCGTAAATTTCACTTTTTTTTTTCAGCCGGCGCCATCGAAGTGTCGCAATACGACCCGTCGTCTAGTGAAGCGAGCGATTCGAGCGACTACACGACGGTGCCCACCAATTCCACTACCGTCTAGCCCCCCCCCAATTAATTCCAAAAGAAAAAGAAGAAAACGTTTGAATTGCAGTCCGCCCGGGGCATCCGGCTCCCCCGGTCCCCGCCATTTCTTTTGTATCACACCGAGTTTTTTGTGCTGATGGGTTGTTTGAATAAATATTTTTTTTGGAAAAGGTGTTAAATGAAGAGGGAATTGCTAGAAGAGTGCAATATTATATTTTTTCGTGCTATCGAGTTTTGCGAATCTTTTAGAGCTTTGAAAGGATACTGTGCTGTATGTGTTTTTGACAGTGAGTATCCGTTATTTTGGCGTGAGGTTGAAAGCAGTGTCGTTGCGTTTCATTTTTGAGTACCGACCTGTTAGAATTTTAGATTTCTGGGCAAAACCGTACGAAAATGGTCACAAATTCGTAATTTCTTTCGAGCTTTGTTAATGATATTTAGCAATCAAAAACTTCTAAAAGGCTGTGAAGCACTAGAAATTATGCTGGATAGCCTCCCCCGCTGACGGACAAGTACCCATTTTCTGCGAACTTTGATGATTTTCGATATTCCGTTTGACGTCCATTTATTTTTTTGTTTGCTAGTCGACTTTCTAAGCGAAGTACTAGCTAGCCTAGCTTCTCCTCCTCCCCTGGCTAAGACAGCTGTCCTTCCACTCCTGCTCTCTGTGCCATTTCCAAAATTCATTCCTCCTTCTTTCGTGTCATTTGTCGAATCGTGGACATAGACCAGCTGTTGGCTCTGTTGACAAGGGGGTACGGCCCCCCGATTTTTGTCGCCCCAATTTCACTACCCTCTTTTTCTAGTGCGGTCCTCGGGTCCCCTGGTAGTAAACTATGCATTGTACTATCCATTTTTACGAGCTTCTCCCTTGGGCTTCTTCTAAATGGCCGGTTCGCACAATCTCCCCATTAGTTGGCGGTTGGCCAGCTGCATTCATGGGCGTTGTATTGTTTGGTTTGGGGTTTTCATCTTCAGGAAATCTGGCCGAGCTTCAGCTGCACAAGATTGGGAAGAAATTTCCCCAATGAACCCTGCTAGCCTGTTGGAATTTTTGGTGTTTTCAGCCTGTTACGGGGGAGTTAACGTTGTGATCAGCCAAAAATATACCTTTCTCCGTTTCACAATCAGATCTGAATGCTTGTTCATATCTGATTCATTTCTCCCCATCTCACGCGTCTCTCTCTCTCTCTCTCTCTCTCTCTCTTCCTTAGATGACTTGGACATGTGTGAAGAGCGAGATAGGGGCAAATGTTTATATTTGCCTACCAAGGGTCATGTCCCGCCCTCCCCTTCCTCTTTTTTCCTTTTCCTTTTCCGTTTCCCCTAATATCGTTGGATGGCCCCCTGTATTGATCGATGCACGGTTCTTTCCCCCGATTGTTTTTTTCAGTGCCAAAAAGAGAGACGACGGATAGGGGGGATGGAGCGCGGGCGAGAGAAGCACCAAATGCATGCATGCGCCCCAGACGAACTATTTTTGTCGCTTTCTGCGGGCGCCAAAACCGCAAGCGTTGCCATTTCTATACTCCTTTTTGTTCCTGATTTACCGGGATTTTGCCCTATGTGTTTTTTTCATTTCATTTCATTCATTTTGGTTTTAGGAAATGACCAGTTTATTTGTCCCTCAGCTTTTTCCCTTTTTGACCGCCCTGAAAAGCGCCCGTAATGCATTGCAGATCAGGTTGCCCGGGATATCTTTTTTCCTGTTTTTGGCTCGAAAAGCATCAAATTCTTCGCGGGATTCAACGGGGGTTTTCTGGCCTTTTTGGCTGAAGCCTGAATTTAGGTTTTCCTGCTTTGAAATAATAGGATTTTTTGCGTATTGTAGAATTTCTTGTTGCCCTTTCCGTATTTTAAAATTTCAGTCCTATACGTGGCTTTTTCTGCGCGAAAATCATGCCATTTTTAGGGGAATTTTTTTCTCTCTTCTACGTTTTTCTGGAAATTTTGTTGTTAAGATTTTTCCTGTAAAAGCGATTTTGCGGTTTTTCGCATTTTTGCTGAAGGTTGGTTTTCATTTTCATTTCATTTATGCTATCTTAATAATTGTCCTTTTTGTTTCTCAAAAATAGCGTTTCTTGCCTAATTTCTGGATTCCAGGTCGACATTTGGCACGCCAACAACTTTTCTCACCCATCGATCGACTTTTGCCTCCGATAACAGGTGAGTCAAGCGGAAACCCCCGGAAAATAGTGATTTATTTCTTCAGTGCATCTTGAGGAGCAGCTTTTGAAACGCCTAAACTCATTTTAATCCTTGTTTTTTTCAGGATGGCGGTGCCAGCGTGTTGCTGCATGTTCCACAACAATGTGCGGCATCTGGTGCTCCTATTGGCGACGTTGTGCATCTCCATGCTCTTCGCCAATATCGTCATCTTTGGCCTCACCTCGGTAATTTTCGTACCTTAAACTCGTCAACATCGCTTTTTTTTAGGTGGTCCACTCGCGGGAATTGAGTGGCGGACTGCGGACTGTGGAACAATTGGAGAATCTCCATCCGGGACCCGGAAGGAGGAGGAGGACCCTCAATGAGACTGTCATTGGTGAAGAAGCAGAAGCGGAAGGAGGAAATGGAGCGGAGACGCTGCTGCAAAATATTCTTGGTGAGCAAAATGGTTGCTTGAAAAAGGACATTTATAGCCTGTCAAATTCTGATAACGAAATTAGAACATTCCGGATGTTTATGGTTTTTAGCTCTGTATCGTTCGAATTCTGTAGGCTATTTTAATTTTTTCGTATGAATGAAACTGAATCAATATCGAAATTACCAGTTTTTTTAGTCAATTTTTCTTGTTTTTAGACGACAATTCGACTGTCCCATCCGCCATCACCACCACAGTTTTACAGACGACAACCACACAACAGGTTTTTTTGGCTTTTTGAAGTTATTAATCTTATTATTTATTTAGCCAACCACCGAGCCCTCTTCGACGTCAACCGAGGCCATTTCCACGAAAGAGCGCTTCGAACGGAGTACTGCCGAGGAACCGACACCGACACAGCCCGGCAAGCCCAAGCTCTATTCCAAGGCTGGAAAGTATCTGATGCCACTGCCATTTGATGGAGATGTCTATGATCCAAATATCACCCAATACAAACGATTCCCCACCGATTATGAGCGCGACAAGTGGTAAGTTTTACAAGGTTTTCTGGCCAATAAAAAGATATTTTCAATTTTTTGCGCGCTTTTTGGAACTAATTTTTAGTTACTTTCTGTTAATTTTAAGATTGTCGAATTGGTTTTCAAAAAAATTGGAAATTAGAGCGTTTTACGATTTTTCGTGTCATTTTTCTGTGAAATTCAGAGTTTTGGAATTTTTAGGAGTTACGAGGATGGATATGGCGTTTTGTGGGTAATTTATGCTTTTTTGGGCGCTTTACGTAATTAGGCGGACTTTCTAGTGAATAAAAACATGTTTTTGTTATTTAAGCTTTTTTGGGCTTAGTGAATTTCCTTGCTATGGATTTTACAAATTATAAATTTTTAAATCATTTTTAATTTCCGTATTTTGTAAATATTTGATGATGTTTTCAGGCGCTACAACCAGACTCAAAATATCCAGCGGCGATTCATCTACTCGGCTCCCGGAATAGCAATTCTCGTCGGAACCCTCCCAGCCCGCTCTGCCATCGACAAATGGGGCGCTTGGCCGGTAAGAAATTTTTGTATATTTATTTGCAGGATTAAGGATTTCAATTCCCCCCCGATAAGGCGGAAGAACCCCGTTAAATTTTTAAATTTATTTTTAAATTTCAATGGCAGGTGATGGTAGTGTCGATGGTGATCTCAGCAATCTTCACAGCCCTCACCCCTCCAGCCATCCCTCTCGGTTTCCTCCCAATATTCATTTGTCGTCTCGGTGTCGGCCTTGGATTCGCCTGTGTCATGCCCATTATAGGTACATTTTACTCAATCGATAATTCAATAGCAGATTAAATTGATATTAAGTAATTTTTAAATCTAAAAAAACTAATTGGAATTAATCTCATTATTTACACCCCAATTTAGGAAATATCACGGCGAATTGGGGCACCCTTAAAGACCAGGCCTCCTTCATCGCCACCATGTTCCTCTTTGTTCCGGTAATTTTTAAGCTTAAAAGTTTTATATTTTCATTTTTCTAGCTGGGAACAATCTTCTCGTGGAATTGGACAATCTTCTTTGTCAATTCGTTGATCCGAATTGATGAGGTCATGAAAATTGTCTACTGGGCACAGGCTGTACGTTTTCATGCTTTTCAAGTTTTTAGTTTATTTTTAGATACGTTATTTTTAAAGGGCCGTATGATTTCAAAATTAAAAAAAGCTAAACAAATCTTTTTAAAACATAATTGTTAAATTTTTGAAGTTGGTTAAATTTAAATAAACGATTTTCTGACATTTTTTCAGGGCTTCACCTTCCTGCTGGCGCTGATATTTGCCATATTCTACCGTGAAAAGCCCCAACTACACCCCTGGGTCAACGGCATCGAACTGAATCGAATTGTCGCCGGAAAAGTGCAGGTTTAGCGATTTTTATTTTTTTATTTTTATTTTCTTATTTTCTAGGAATTGAAGAACAACCGGTTGTTGGATGAGCCACTCTGGACCCTCCTCCATTCATTCTCGGCATGGGCCATTTGGCTGGCGATGATCGGCTTCTTCTGGATTGTCGGTATTTCTGAAATCTATTTATTAGTTTTTATTTAATTTAATTTTAAATTTAATAAATTAAGAATCTATTTATTTGCATTTAATGTAATTTAATCGATAAAGTGAGAATTTTTTGATTTTGGAAAGTTATTTATTTCACATTTAAATTAAATTGTCTATTTGTTTTCCAGATCTGTATGTACGTCACATTCCTGCCAACATTCTACGGCAACACTGACATCTTTCTCGTCGACCTCATCGGACTCTACGGGTGCCTGCCGTTCTTTGGAATGGTACGTTGTTGATGGATGACGTTTTCGAGCCGTTCACCTTTTTTATTTCCATTTAAAGGAGCTGGAAAGCTATGGCGTTCCTGTTGATTTTGCCATTAAGCGCGTAATTAGACGCGTTGCGTGTCGCGGGTGCGATAAAAAGCTTAGGGAACCCAGAAAAAAAATCCACAGCCCTGCCTTGCCATTCCCTTTAAAAACTATTTTTTTCAGCTCATCTGCCACATTATCGCGTACTTCGTCCATCGCTCCAACTGCTGTTCATCTACCTGGCAGGTATATTCCTCTTTCTTTCCCGATTATCTTCCTCTTTTCAGGTGCGAATCTGGAATTCGGTGGCTTTTGTGGGTGCCGGGTTCATGATGGTGGCTGTGCCGTACATCTTCTTGAATTATCGAGGGGAGGCCAGTCAAACAATGTATGTTTTTCTCGGGTGCTTTTGCATTGTCGGGGGGGGGGACCCCGAGCTTTTTTGAAATGTCTATTAATTTAATAGAAAGTGTTTTTGGGGAAAAAAACCATATTTCAACTAGAAAACTATCTAAAAACGCGGAAATTGTGGCCAATAATGGCCGTTTTTGGTCGAAAAATCTATATTTTTTAGTAAAATTTGTAGTTTTCACGTTTAGAAATAGTAAAAAACCATTTACAAACACTTCCACGATTCATATCTGAAAAATTAGATTTTAAGAAAAAGCCCCCCCCGGATAATGCGAAAGAACCTGTGTTCGTCTCAAATGGCCTCTGCTAACCCTCCCCTCTCTTTTCAGTCGTCTCTGGACGATGTTCTTCTCTATTGCCCCTCTCGGTTTCACAACGGCCGGTGCCCTCCGGAGTGCTACTCTTGTCGGAAGGTACTCTATTCTCATTTTGATGTCGTAATCGTTTATTTCTAGATTTTATGCTCAGCATATACTGGCCCTATGTGGAGTGTCTATGGGTTTCGCCTTCACTTGTGCACCGCCCGCCGCTTTGCATTTTCTGCAGTTCAAGTCAGTTTTTCTTGGCTTCTCTCTCTCTCTCTCTCTCTCGCTCTCTCCTATGATCTCTCTCCTTTTCAGTCGTCTCCAAGAATGGGTTGGCTTCTTCTTCACGTGTTCGGGTGTCATCTTGGCTGGTGGAGCCGTGTTCGCCATCTTTGGACGTGGTAGCAGTGCTGGATGGGCCGAGCAGAGGTTCGTTTTGGGGCTAGCTAGCAGAGGGTCTTTGCGGAATCCTCTGTATTATATACGGGTTTAAATTCCGGAGCTTTTGCATTAGTGGGGGGTTTTCCTTGGGGTCGAACTTTTTACGAAAAACTTTACAAAAAGTTTTTGCAAATAAAAATATCCTTTTCGACAAAATTTTGGAATTTTTGGACAGTTGTCGGCTTCAAATAAAAATTAAAGTAGTGGATAAATATGTAAATATATATAGATACATTTATTTTGAAATTATCACCTAAATTTACTTTAAATTTTTGTTTTAGTGATTTTTAATTTTTGTATATGATTTATTGAATTTTAATTTTGGTGTATTATGTGATTTTAAATCAAAAATCCTTTTTGCAGCTGGGACCCAGCCCAGGCGCGTCGTGCAAAGGATCTGGTGTTGATAGACGAGGATAGTGCCGAGTGTGGACTGATCGAGATGCGAGTCGTCAATCGTCAAGGCATCTATGGAAGTACCCTCTAATTATACACCCTTAATACTACAGTACATTTATATCCCAATTTAATACGTCTACTATCTGTCTCTCTATTAATGTGTTTTTATATCTCCTCTACAGCTGTCACTCTCCCTTTAATATCAGCCATAATGAGGTGATGCTCCCCTTTCTATCTCTAATCTATTTCCCCATTCCCTCTCTCAACAATTCGGGTCTATTTCCGTGTGTCTCTCTCCCTCCGCAGCAGCCTTTATTTGATACACCTGCCATTTCTTGCCTAGATGATGTTGACACGTGTCTTTTACAGGCTTTATACCGCTCATAAAGGAATTATCGCTTTTCTGAGGGTTTAAATGCATCGAGAGGAGTTCTTTCTATCAAAATACATACAAACATACACATTATCATCGAGAAAAAATAAATTATAGCGAAACGATGCTGAACAAACTGCCCTTGAGGGTGATGGAGGGTATTCTGGCATTACTCGAACCCAGCGTCCATCTCGAATTAGCCTGTGTCTCGCCGAAAATGTGGAACATTGTCGAGGAAATTCCAAAGGATTATTGGAACTTCCATTTCTACGACGATCCGATGCACGGCAGCGAATTATTCATGCATATGATGCCGCATGGAAAGTCGATCCGTGCCGAGTTAATACACCCACCTGGGTCAGTTTATAGAATACTCAAATGAATTCGTCAATCTTTTACAGGTGTCGATTCCTTGAAGTGCCAAAAAGCCGGACCAATAGAATGGCCGTGATACGACTCTTCCTTTCAAATTCTACTGTTACGGCGGTTGGTTTTAAATACTGTTGGAATATTGCTGTGTTCCTTAGCTTTTCAACCCGGCTCTGTGCCTCGGCATCGAATTCTGGTCTTCGCTGAATATGAAAGTGACGCGAATCGAACATCCAGACTGCGTCTCGTCATTTTTCGAGTTGGCCCAATTTGTCGGTACATAAACCTATATTATCTATATTTTTTTGCAGATCAGTTGAAGATTACGCAATTCGTCGATGATAGCTTTGAGAATAAGATGAACGCTTGGCCGAGGGATGGCATCGCATTCTTGAATACACGACTGGTTACTATTCCTGAGATACCTATAAAAAGACAATTAGATACGCTCGATGGAATGGGTGCATTTGTTGGTCGAAGACCACGATTTGCAACATTTGCACCGGATTTCAGCGAAGGAGATGATAATTACGGTCCGTATGACTCATTTCCCTCAAACGCAGCCGGTGCACGACTTTCTTGCCGCAAAGCTTGATGTTGGTCATTTGTTACCTTTTTCTATGGCAACTTCCAGGGATGGCTGTACGGCACCGTGGAAATCGACAAGCTCCAGATTGGATGGAATCTCGGCGGGGGTCCGGATGTGACTTTTGGCCTACGTATGGCATTTCAGAATTTGTCGTGAAGTGTTTAGTGATTGATTCGCTTGAAGTGAGGCCTGATGTCGGATGGATCGATCGAACATATGAAGGGATGGTGCTCATTTTAAGGGCTAGTGATGTAGGCCATCACAATCCTGCGTATATTGCTCTATTTTCTGAGTTTAGGGACAAGCATTGATCGCTCATTTCGAAGCCCCCGATGATTATTTCTATCTGATAAGAAGCGAATATAATTTTCGACGGTTTGGCGCCTCTCTTTTATTCATGTATATTATGTATTGTAGGGGTCGTTGCCTTGGAAGTTATCAACGAAATGCACTGGCCCTCGCCCGTATCTCAAAACTAATGGTTTGTTTTTTACCCTGCTGTACGAGACTAGATTATAGGGAAGTTTAATTCGTTTTGTAACTGAAAATTCCAGGCGCTCTCGACATCGTTGGAGGGGAAAAACCCGGCAGTGGCCGATGACGCGAAGAAGAAGCTGAGGGAGGAATGCATTGACTTCAACGAGTACAATCGCGGTGTTTCAGAGAGGGATTTACTCATCGATTCGGTCAGTCAATAGTTGTACATGCCTTTTAATGATCTTGTTTCAGATCTGGCGTTCAAAAGGCCAACGCCGCTCTCCATGGGGATGCTTTCGAGGCGCCATGGTTCGCGATATGCCATATCCGGTCAGTGGAAACATTCGAAAAAAATATAGATTGTATTTAAAATAATCTTGCATTATAAATAATTTATATTGATAATAAATAAATAATTGTATTTATAATTTAGGTGGACAGGAAACTCGCCCCTGCCTACAAATTTACGAAAGTGTTCGGAGAGACCGGGATGCTGCCAGAAATTTATCAATTCAAGCCAGAACCGGAATATGGGGTCGGTGGTTGGGAGGAAGCGTTTGCTCCATTGTGCTTTTAAGCTTTGTTATTCCAGCAATATACCATTTGTTTATACGTATCCCATGCTGGTGTCTTTCATTGTTGTCGAATTTAACATTACGAGAATAATAAATGTATTTGTTTGTCATTTTGAAAGTGTACGATTTTGCTGAAAGCGATAAAAAGACACTCGAAAGATTCTTCTTCTTTTCTAATTGTATAAAATCTAATTGAATGCAATTTCCAGCGAAACGATGCTGAACAAGCTACCCTTGAGGGTGATGGAGGGTATTCTGGCATTGCTCGACGTCACTGATTATCTTCAATTGGCCAAGGTTTCCCCTCGAATGTCGAAGATTGTGAAAGAGACACCGAAGAAGTATGGCCGCGTTCGATTCAGGGCTCCGACGGATACGTTATCTATTGAATTTTACAAGCCCGCAGAGGACATGCACCCAATTCGCATCTCGATCCCCGTCGAGGAGAACGCCCGAACTCCGCTGGTCGCCATGGTGAAGCTGATCAAATTATTCCTTTCAAATGCGTCGATGAAAGAGGTTTGTAATTCGCACTGGCACCTATTCTAATTGCCCATTACAGCTCAGATGCCCTTCACTCGGTCTCAGCATCGAATTTTGGGGTTCGTTGAATATGAAAGTGACGCGAATTACCGCTCCGGTTGTTGTAAAAACAATTTGGCGACTACAGAAATTTCTCGGTAACTGTATTGATGTTTTATTCATCATTTTTATAGCAATCATCAAGCCTAGCGAGCTGGTCTACAATAATTTCTTCGTGGATATTGAGGATATGGCTGACAATTACGAGCAATTCTTTCAGAGCAAATTGGTTAGTGTTTAGGCCTTCTTAGAATGAATGATCCTCTAAACATCCCCGATCCGATCTAATTGCAAAAACAATCAAATAAAACTTTGAAAAACTTTTTTGAGATGACATTTTGTCGAAAAATTGCTATTTTTGTATTTGAAACAAAATTTGTAAAGTTTTTACGACTAGGAATAGTAAATAACACTTTAGAAACCATTCCTCTATTTATATTAACAAAATTGGATCCTCAGCCAGAAGTTGGTTCCCCCTACCGATAAGCTACCCCCCGGTTCGGCCATGACAACTGTATTTAGATGTGCTCACTAGAAAAGCTGCAAATCCTCGACTTCAGTGGCAATTTTGCAAGTCTGATGTCGATTCGTGCCAGCGATTTGTGCATCGGCTTCTTTGACGAGGACGTATCCCATTCCCTCCCCATCTACACTTATTTGCGTCGAAGAATTGACGTAAAATTTATGGTTTTTGCCAAAGTCTTCGATTTTCAGAGATGGCTGAAAGGAAAGGGTGAAATCAACATGATTCAACTCTTCTTTTGCTTGGATCTGGTCAGCCCTGGTAAATGATTAAATATTTGAGATCTAATTACATCTTAGTGTTGTCATGGATCGCTGACAATTTGTCTCCAGAATTGGGATGGATCGATCGAACATACAGCGCAATGCCGCTCATTCTAAGGGCCAGTGATGTACGCCAATTTTATGTAAATGCTCTTAACGTCAAATTTTAGGGACAAGCATTGCTAGCCTATTGGGATGACGCGGAGAAGTGTATCTATCTAATACGATGCGAATACAATTTTCGACGGTAAGCTATGGTGTTCGACGGTTTATAGAGATTGTATTTAGTGGTCAATGCCTGGGAAGTTATGAGAAAAATGAGAAGTCTATCCGCAAGATTGCCGATCTGATGGTATACTTTGCCCGGTAGTATATCATTATTCCTCAGCGTATCGCGTCGCAACTATCAGCCATTCGACCAGCGTTAGCCGAGGACGCAAAGGAGAAGCTGAGGGAGGAGTGCATCAAGTTTAACCAGTATAACAAAGGCGCCACGAAAATGGACCTGTTGACGGATTCGGTGAGAACTTTGGAGACTTTGGAATGGTTCTTCTTTTGCAGATCTGGCGTCCGGAAGGTTATCGGGTATCCCCATGGCGTCCGGAAGTGAGGGACAAGTCCCAGTATGTGATCTATCCGGTGGGTGATACCCTTCAAAAAGATACACATTATTTTTTATAGAGTGAGATGTCCCTATTCTGAAAGGTAAGTGGCGCGCCAAAGGGGGTTTTTCCCCCCTTTTGGGGGGGGAATATTTTGGGGGGGGGGGACCCGATATAATTTTTTTTTACGCCCCCCAACCCTTGAGGTCACGCCTATCAATTCACAAGAGCCTTCGAAGAGAGAGGCCTACTCCCTGATGTCGATCAATTCAAGCCTGCCACCAATAATGCCGGAGCGAAATAGTGCGGAAATATTACAGCGTGGATTTTAGTTATTCAAGGGAATAAAGCTATTGTTTGATTACCAACTCTTTCTTGTATAATACAGCAGGCTTTTGATGCCGAATAGCCTATTTCAAAAGCCTTTCAGAACTGTCAAATTTAACCGAATTTTCAGGTAGTTTCGGCAATAAATGCTGGACAAGTTGCCGCCCCGTGTAATGGAGGGTATTCTGGTACGACTCGATCCATGGAGCCATCTCCAATTGGCATTATCGTGTCCGGAAATGTGGAATGCCGTTGAAGAGACGCCAAAGAAGTACCATACGGTCCGATGGGTTGATCTTCCGGCTGAATGTGGCAACCAATTGACCCTCCGCATCACCAAGCGCCCGGATGATTCCTACGAAGAGGTCATTCCGCTCTTACAGTTCACTCCTCCCACGTACGTTTCCTTTCCAACAAGCTTTTCAACTTTTTGGCAGAAATGAGCTGAATATATGAATTTATTTCGTTTTTTAGCGCTTCTCAGGTTCAAAATGTTTCCGCTAGTTTCAGATATGTTTAGAAGCGCCACATCAATTATTTTAATGGCCATTTTAAGGGAATTGAGTGATGAAAATGCATAAACTTTTCAACATTTGAAATTCTCTGCCAAAATTGTACTTTTTATCCATGTTTGTAACGCTTTTTGCGTTTAAAACGCAGGAAACTTACGGAAAAAGGATCTCTCGAAAATCGTAAAGAACCTTATTTTTAGATGGGCACTACCAGATGATGGTGTTCCTCTTCTAAAGGCTGGTTGCAAGGGGACCGAGACGAGTCTCTACCGAACAGCCCTCATCCGATTGCTCCTTCTAAATGCCACGATTCACGAGGTATCATTCTCAAATTTGTAGAAATATTTCACTTTCAGATGTCGGATGCGCCGTTCTCATTTGGGAACAAATTCTGGGTCTCACTCAACTTGAAAGTGACCAGAATTGCCAACCCGGCCGACATCCCATCATTCAAAAGTCTTCGCAAATTTCTCGGTAATTTCATGATGCGGGGATTAGGAAAATATTGTTTAGGTCTTTTCCACGCATCGCAACTCGTCTGCCAACATTTTATAGATATTGTGCAGGACGATCCAGATGGATGCGGCCATTTCGTAACACATCCAATGGTTCGTTTAAGCCTAAATTTTCATTTTTACGATTATTAATAAGAAAGCAAAAATTATTAAGCAAAATTTTTCATGTTTAATTTTTATCATGGGCAAATCATTGTTTTTCCGCGACAACCTTTTGTTTTAGGATATAATGTATTTTTAGAGTGTTTTGGGTGGTTTTTGATTCCTAGAAAATTACAAAAAATATTTTATAAGATGTTGAAAATTCGAAAATTTTGACGTTTTGGCAATTTTTCATACATTTAAGAATTTTTTGAGCTTGTTATGACTAAAAACTGTATAAAATACTATGAAAATCCTCTATTTATAATTTATTTTGTCGAAAATAGGAAATTTTGGAAAACCAGTCTTTTAGCTATAACTTTTCGATTTCAGATCCGTTCACTGGATTCCGTTCATATGCGCTTCTACCTTGGTGTTCTTGCCCCGTTCCGTCATATTCGAGCCAAGAAGATGCTTCTTGACGTCCAATTCCAGGCTCAAATCTTCAAATGGAACTTTATTGGGGAATTCTTGGAGCACAAAATCAGGGTATTATTTCCTTGATTAATGACGAAATTTATATTTTTTTTTCCCAGAATTGGCTGCGAGGAGAGCAGGAGATTGATCGAATCCATATAATCACAGCCCCGGCCAGCAACGCCGAGCATAACCTCAACACTCGTAAGTGAAATTAGGGTGAAAATTTCGGTTCTTGATAGATATATACTATACTTCGCCCGCCACCCTGGTGGGCCCACCCCAAAGGTGGGGAAAGGTGGGCGCGGGGGGTGGGCAGGGGGTGGGCGCCGGGGTGGGTGGGGGGTGGGGGTGGCGGTGGGGTGGGAGGCGACCACCCTACCCCCACCCCCATCCCCCACCCACCCTGGACGCCCACCCCACTGTAAGACTAGCGAAAAAGCTAGCCTTTAACCAAGTTTATTGACAGTATAGGACCGTATGGTCCTATAACGACCATTTTTATATCATTTTGCACAGTTTGTGGATAGGAAATTTCCTTTAATAAAACCCCACAAATTTTTTTAAAAGCCAAAGTTTTCTCTAAGAGCAATCCTCCCGTGGGGTGATTGGAGAAAATGGAACCACCGGGAATCTACAGCGGAAAACGTTATAAAAATTCGTCAAAATTATAAAAATTTACGAAAAATATTAACTTTTTGATCAAAAATGCATGAAAAATCCCTAAAGAGGGTCAAATTTGTTGAGAATTTTATGTACCTTTTTAGCAATAAAAAATTACTAACTAAGACCTATAAAAAGCTTCATTACCTATGTGATCTATTTTCTCGGCTGTAGATTTGATGGCTTTCCTTGGCGGGGGGGGGGGGTCGTCTCCCCACCCCGACCCCCCACCCTCTGCCCACCCTCCACCCCCAACCCTGCCCACCTTTTGGGGGGGCCCACCAGGGTGGAGGGCGAAGTATAATATATACGGTCACAAAAAAATCTAAAAATTTTCGAACATTTTCGCTCAAAATGGCCAAAAACTAAAAATTTTCGAATTTTTTACCGCTTTCTAGTAACCAAAAACTACAAAAGACATTGTATAAATAGTATTGGTGACTAACCGTTGGGATTTGGCAAAAAAAAATTTGCTCTCCCCCTCCCGTTAATAGGAAAGAACCAAAATTTCAAATTTTAGCCGAAAGGTTTGGTTGAAAAATTTCATTTTTTTTTAGTTGTAGCCCGTGTTTCACGGCTTATGCCTGACGAATTAGGATGGATAGATCGGACGTATCAAGGGATGGAACTGATTGTAAGGGCCACTGATGTAAGCGAGCAATTATAAAATAAAGATCTATTTTAGGGGCAAGCGTTGATTGTCTTTTTTGACAAGCCCGATCTCTCCATCTATCTGATCCGATGCCAATACAACTTCAGACGGTACTCCACGGTACACAATTGAATTAATTACTTCTTTTTAGTGGCCGCTGTCTCGGCAGCTATGAACGAAATCAGAAATCGCTCGCTCGAATTCGCCAATTAATGGTCGGCAATCCCAATGAAATTCCTTAACCCCCTTTTAGTGCATCTATGCAAAGTTGAACGAGGAAAAGCCACTACTCGCCGTCGATGCGAAGGAGAAGCTGAGGGAGGAATGCTGCAATTTCAACAAGTACAACAACGGCGCAACGACCGTTGATTTGGCGACTGATGCGGTCAGAGAATCGGAGAATTATTCATAAACGACGTTAAAAACTGATTTTTACGCTTTCTGAACGTAAAAACTTTACAGTTTTTTGTCGAAAAATACCAAATTCTCGATTTTTCCACGAAAAATGCTGTTTTGGATAGATTTTTCTATTAAAACATATCGATTTTTTCGAAAAGCACTAAAAAAACCTGCTATCAATATATTATACATTTCTGGAGTCATATTTTTAGATCTGGCGACCTGCAGGCAAACGGAGATCACCATGGGGCGTTTCTAGAGGACATATTATGCGCGGTACATTTCCGGTATCCTTGAATTCTATTGGTTAACTTCAATCCCTGATGAATAGATGGATCGATCCCTTCGCCATGCCTACCAATTCACGAAAGCATTCGAAGAGAGAGGTGTACTTCCTGATGTCGATGAATTTCCACAAGCATCTCGTGAAGAAATCGAGTCGTGGAATTCTCATTGTTCTGAATTGATTAGTTGACAATTTATCGTTGTTGTTGTTTTTTTTCGTTGTGAATTTTCATGTTGTATTTTTTGTTGAGAAAAAAGTTCTTTGATTGAAATTATATAATTGGTATAAAGGCAGTTGTTGTAACTTTGAAAGCGTACGATTACCGTTGTGGGCGATCAAAAGACGCAGAATATTTTTCGGCTTGTTTTGATATGATAAAAGCTACTTCAACCCGATTTCCAGCGAAACGATGCTGAACAAGCTGCCCTTGAGGGTGATGGAGGGTATTCTGGCATTGCTCGATCCACTCGATTACACAGAGATCGCCTGTGTTTCTCCGGAAATGCGAAAAATTGTCGTGGAAACGCCGAAAACGTACCAGATCGTTCATTTTCACGACGATCCGATGCATGGGAGCGATTTCAAGTTGTACTTGATACGAGAGGGAAGAGAGCTTCGGATCTTTGTACCTGGCTCACCTGGGTTGGTTTTTAAGTGAAGGAATGCATGGTTTGAATATTTTCCAGTGAACAATTCGCTGACGTGCAGACCCGTGAGGCAAAGCGTCTGGCCATGATTCGACTCTTCCTTTCAAATTCGACGGTTGATACGGTTGGCTGTACATTAGTTTTAGAACATTCCAAGGCTTTCAGTTGGAAAATCCAGCGCTGTGCCTTGGCGACGAATTTTGGTTTTCGTTGAATATGAAAGCGACGCGAATCGATCAGCCAAATTGCGTCACGTCATTCTTCGAATTGACCCAATTGATCGGTACGAAATCCTAGAGATCCAACTATATTTTGTAGATAAACTCAAGGTTACACAATTCGTCGATAGCTTGTTTGAGGAAAAGATGCTGGCCTGGCCGAGGGATGGCATCGCATTCTTGAACACACGACTGGTTTTTATTAAATACAATTTGTTGTGTTCTTGGTATGAAGTGGAATGCGCACAAACGTACAGTTATCGAACAACTGTTTATCTACATAAATGGTGGCAGGAGGATCGGCAACAGAGCTAGTCTGTGCCGATAAGTGGACCCGCAACGAGATAATACAATCTAGTCTTAGGCGGGAAGTGGCGCACGCGACGCGACCGCAGGGGGGCGCGCGCCGGTGGCTTACCCACTGGATAGGAGGGACAGCCGGGAAAGAGGATCTATTGTGGTCTAGCAAGCTAGCACCACAACACCTCCCCTTGTACAACAACAAAGTACAAGTTCCTAGGAGAAATTGGGACAGGAGAGACAAATAAGGCTTAGCCGGATTTACAGTATATGGAAATACACACCAAAAAATAAGATGACACTTATTTTTGCTTATTTTCTTCTTACGACGCACACGAACACGACGTGGCAATCATCCTTCCCTCAACCTTGAACACGCGCGCGAACACGACGTGGCCATCATCCTTCTTTCCTTCTTCGGCTTCACTTGTAGACGCGGCCTTGGGCTTGACACGCGCACCTCCTTCGGTCCATGGCAGCGCCAGCGGCCCTTCATCCATCGATGATCCGCCAGCTTCAGCACGCTTCTTCGGTCCTTTCGTGGGTGAGGACTAACCAACTTCTTTCTTCTTCTGCAACCTTCGCGGCTTCTGGGCGGTCCTTGGGGCAAAACGGCGGCCGGACGCCGGGCACTTCTTTTTGCGCTTGCACCCTCCTCCTTCATCGACAACGGCAGCGCGCCCTCCACCCGAAAATGTGGGGGCAAAAAGGGGAACAAAACACCTCCCTTTCAACTGATCCTGCACGAGCGGCCACCGGCACATCATCCATCGATGGCCATCATCTGCACGCTCTGCTTCTCGATCTTCTCGCCATGCCTTCTTCCTTGTCGCTCGCCAACCATGTAGATGTCCCTGACCTCGACCTTGTCGCTCTCATTGACCTTGTCGCTTTCTTGGTCCTTGTCTCGTCGGCTTGACTTGACTTCTTGCGCTTGACCTTCTTTCTTCATCCTTGATCACGTTCCTTGGGCACGAGTGGCTTCTTGGCTTGGAATTCCTTGTTCTTGCCTGAGTTCTTGATGATCCTGCTCGCCAGTGTTGTGTTCTTGGTATGAAGTGGAATGCGCACAAACGTACAGTTATCGAACAACTGTTTATCTACATAAATGGTGGCAGGAGGATCGGCAACAGAGCTAGTCTGTGCCGATAAGTGGACCCGCAACGAGATAATACAATCTAGTCTTAGGCGGGAAGTGGCGCACGCGACGCGACCGCAGGGGGGCGGCGCGCGCCGGTGGCTTACCCACTGGATAGGAGGGACAGCCGGGAAAGAGGATCTATTGTGGTCTAGCAAGCTAGCACCACAACACAATTAAAACAAGATAATTAGATACGTTCGCTGGAGCGGATGTATTTGGTGGTGGACGTGCATCATTTGCAACATTTGCACCGGATCCGAGCAAACGAGATTAGTATCACGATCCCTATGTTTCCTTTCCCAATGATACGACGGCTTCCGGCAATCGACATCCTCTTCGCAAAGCTTGGTGTAAGTCATTTATTGTATTTTGCAACCTACACTGTAGGGATGGCTGGCCGGGACCGACGAAATCGACAAGTTCCAGATCGGCTGGGAACGCACGGGCTGGCCGGATGGAACGTTTGAACCTTGTAAGGCAATTACCGATTGATCAGAGTGTTTTTAGTCATCTCTACACTGAAATTGGATCCTGCTTTGGCACATATCGACCGAACATATGAGGGAATGACGCTGATTCTAAGGGCTAGTGATGTATGCCATCACGATCAATACCTTATTAGTTGATTTCCTAATTTCAGGGACAAGCATTGATCGCCTATTTTGAAGAACATGATGATTACTTCAATCTGATAAGCAGCGAGTATAATTTTCGACGGTTTGCTGGCTGTTTTTGAGACGCAAGCCCTGTTTTTAGAGGTCGTTGCCTTGGAAGTTATCAACGCAATGCGCTGGCCCTTGCCCGTATCTCAAAGCTAATGGTTTGTTTTTTTGCGCCAATAAAAAAAATGGTATTATTCATTCAACTAGGGGCAGACTAATAAATTTCAGGCGCTCTCGATGACCCTGGCAGAGAAAAGTCCGGCATTGGCTGATGATGCGAAAAAGAAGCTGAGGGAGGAATGCATCAACTTCAACAAGTACAACGAGAACGTTTCAGAGAGGGATTTACTCATCGATTCGGTCAGTCATTCTTCGGTAATTTTCAATTGTTTCGTTTCAGATCTGGCGTTCGAAGGCGGAACGTCGCTGTCCGTGGGGAAAGTTTGGAGACAATGTTTTTCTTGATATGACATATCCGGTTAGAACAAATCGTCAAATAACTTATGAATCGTATATAGGTAGACAAGAACCTCGAGCATGCCTACAAATTCACGAAACTCTTCGAAGAGACTGGTGTACTACCAGAAGTCGATCATTTCCAGCCAGTATCTGAACGTGAGGGCCGCAGTTGGAGGGAAACCTTTGCTCCGTTGTGCTTTTAAGCTCTGTTTTTGTATTATTGCATGCTGGTGTCTTTCATTGTTGTCGAATTTAACATTACGAGAATAATAAATGTATTTGTTTGTCATTTTGAAAGTGTATGATTATTGCCGAAAGTGATAAAAAGACACTCGAACGATTCTTTTTTTTGAATCGAATAGAAGCTGATTCGACGCGATTTCCAGCACAACGATTTTCAACGGTTCTTTAGCATTATCGGGGGGGGGCTTTTTCTTGGGGTCCAGTTTTTCAAATATAGATAAAGGATGTTTTTCCTAAGTTTTAGTTAGTTTTACAAAAGCTGTTTGAGTAAAAATGCAAAAAAAATCGGGTTTATGACCAATGGATGGCCGTTTTTGAGCAAAATCGCGACTTTTTGAAGGTTTTCATGCCAAACCAGGGTGAGCCGTTCGCGACTTTCAACCCTGGCCCCTCTAACCCCATTTATCCTTCATTACATAATTGTCCTGAATTCAGATGACAAAAAATTAAAAACAACTTCTTCTGTGCCTTTATATAGCCGAATCACCACTTCCGGTCTATGCTAATTATTACTAACAAAAAGCTTCACAAAAACTTAAATTTAATGTCGAAAATGGCTGATTTTGTAAAATTTGATATGTGTGCAGTCATCTCAAGACCATTGCGCACCTAATGACGTATCAAACATACCCGTAACTTCATCCCCTATCGAGATATCCTCCGGACAGACAGACGGAAGTGGATGCAAAGTGGCCACACACACAGACACGCACTATTTTTATATATGTGGATAACCTATCTGAGTCAAATTTACCAGAATTTTCAGGTAGTTTCGGCTATAAATGCTGGACAAGCTTCCACCGCGTGTGATGGAGGGTATTCTGACACGACTCGATCCATGGAGCTATCTCCAATTGGCATTATCATGTCCGGAAATGTGGGATGCCGTTGAGGAGACGCCAAAGAAGTATCATACTGTCCGATGGATTGATCTTCCGGCTGAATGTTGCAATCACTTGAGTATTGCCATTTCTCAACACCCCGGACAAATCTACGCATCCCGGATCCCGCTCTATCAATTTACTCTTCCTGAGTACGTTTTTCGGTACTGGATTGTTAGCGGGGGGATGCAATAGCTAGTCTCTACCTAAATATACTTTTGTTGTTTTATGGCATGTTTTTATTAGTGTTGGATTAGTAGAAAAGTTTGAAGATTAATAAGCTTTTAAAAGATTTCAAAATGTTTTCAGTTCCATCGAAATCAACGTTTTTCAAAAGTTTATAACTTTTTTCGATGAGGGTCTATACTTAAATATAGGTGCGTTTATGCTTTTTCTACGAAACTGGGGTGTATTTCATTATTGGTCGCCCGCCCGCCCCCCCCCAAAGGGGGGGAAAATTTTTTTTCCCGGGTTTTTTTTGTTCAAGAATCGTAATACAATAGATCCTAATTTTTAGATGGGCGCTACCAGTTGATGATATTCCCCTTCTGAAGGCTGGCTGCAAAGGGACCGAGACGAGTCTCTATCGAACAGCCCTCATCCGATTGCTCCTTCTAAATTCCACCATTCACCAGGTTGGTTTTATTTTTCTTTATTTCGGCTCAACCATTTCAACGATGCTCATATTTCACTTTCAGATGTCGGATGCCGTTCTCATTTGGGCACAAATTCTGGGCCTCGCTCAATTTGAACGGGACCAGAATTGCCAACCCGCGGACCCCAAGTTTCGGAAATTTCTCGGTAATTTTGTAATGCGGAGAAGGTGGGGGAATGTTTTTAGGCCATTTCCACACATCTGAGTTCTTCAGTCAAGGCTTTCTAAAGCTTCTACTCGACGATCCACATGGATGTTGTGATTTCTTGCAGACATCAGAGGTTCATCTAATTCGAATGTTTCAAATCGGCGTCTTTAGTATATTATTACCCGAAAAGCTACTGGGAAAAGTGAAGAAATGTAACTTTCAAATTTTGGTCGAAACCGGCCATTTTCTTTTCGAATGTTTTCAGTAGAAAGAAAGTGTTTACGTTTAGTGATTGTAAAACAAACAGTAATCGTTTCTTTTTTACAATAATTTCGAATTTTAAGGTGCGCTCGATGGAATCGTTGTCTCTGGCGCTCTACATTGGTGCTCTCGCTCCCTTCGGCCACATTCGATCCAAGCAGCTTGTACTTGATCTCCAATTCCGGGCCGACCTATTTAAATGGGATATCATTGGCTGTTTTTTGGAGGGAAAGATCTGGGTATTTCCTGGATCAATTCTTGATCCCTGTTTTTATTTAGGATTGGCTGGAAGGAGAGCAGGAAATTGATCGAATCCATCTGATCACATCCCAAGCCACCCATGCACAGCACAAACTCAGGAATTGTAAGTAATTTAGGAGTATTTTTTCACTGATTTTGTTCAAATTCAGCTACATTTCATGTGGAAAAACGCTTTAGAACCAGAAAAATGCTTGAAAATCGGAAATTTCATAGAAATGCACTCATTTTGCCCGAAAATCTTTTCTTAACCAAAATTCCGAAATTTTTCGTAGTTTTGTTTTAAGTTTTGAATGCTTTAGTTGTTGCCCGTCTTTCACGCAAATTGCCATACGAATTAGGATGGATCGATCGGACGTATCAAGGGATGGAACTCATTCTAAGGGCCACTGATGTGAGTCATTCATTTGAACTCCTTCTGAAAATGTTCGCTTAGGGACAAGCATTGATCGTCTACTTTGACACGGTGGATCTTTCGATCTATTTGCTGCGCTGCGATTACAACTTTAGACGGTTCCGCCCATTCCCGTTCATCCAATCGGTTTATTTTGCAGTGGCCGTTGTCTCGGAAGCTATGAACGAAATGGGAAGGCACTCGCACGAATTCGTCAGTTGATGGTAAACCATTCGGATCTTTTCAAATATCGGGGGCAGCCTTTTTCGTATAGTAAGCGTTTCTACACTTTTTTGCAGCTGTCTAAACCTAAAAAATTTCCAAATTTGTACTGAAAACACAGAAAAATAGCGATTTTCGACCATAATTTTGCATTTTTGGACGTTTCTTACCCTTCTAATTGTTTTTCCACTTTAAATATGGAAAGGGGAGGATGTGATCCCCCATCAACAAATTGGAGTAGCCAACAGGGAGGCTCGGGGGAGGGGGAGACATTTTATTTCCAGTGTTGTTGGGCCCTTTAAATGATATAAAAAACACCATTAAATTACTTGCTATTATTAGGTATTTCTGAACTTACAAGTAAAAATCCGGGGCCCCCCGATATTGCATAAGCACCGAGTTTTCTTTTCGATGGTCAATCCCCTTTTAGTGCATCTATGCAAAGTTGAACGAGGAAAAGCCGCTGCTCGCCGCCGATGCGAAGGAGAAGCTGATGGAGGAATGCATCAACTTCAACAAGTACAACAACGGCGCAACGACGGTTGATCTACTTACCGATTCGGTTGGAACATAGTAATAATAATTATTATATTTAGCTGCATTAAATTCACATTAAAAACGATGATTTTAGATCTGGCGGCCGGCAGGGAAACGACGATCACCATGGGGAGTTTATGGAGGACATCTTATGGGTGGTGCCTATCCGGTACGTTCGGTTCTTTGCTAAAGCATTTTGTGAAGTTTATCTACCTTTAAACTAAAAAACTTTGCAAAATCAGAATATTTGAAAACTTAAAATTTTGGTAGAAAATGGATCTTTTTCTATTTTTAATAAATATCGATTAGGTGGATCCCTCCCTCCGCCACGCCTACCAATTCACAAAAGCCTTCGAAGAGAGAGGAGATGTACTGCCCGAGATCCACGAGTTCAAGCCAGCACCGGAAGAAGAAATTGAGCGCTGCAAAAAGTATTGTTCTGAATTGATTGTTTGACAATTGATTATTGTTGTTTTATATGTTGTCACTTTTCATTTTTGCATGTTGTTTGCTGAGAATAAAGGGTAAATATTGAAAAAGTAGCTGTGTATTGGCATGCAAAGCGATAAACTGCGCGCAAAGGCTTCTTCATTGCTTACGGTGGAACGAAGCGAGAAATCGGTACTGGAAGGTTCGCGGGGGGGGGATCCCCTGGTAATAATAAATATTGTGATTTTATAATGTTTTGCATAGTCTTTGGTTTTTTAAAAGTCATAAAAATATTTTAAACGTTTGAAAATTCGCAAATTTTGTGGTTTTTGGACATTTTTGACCAAAAAGTCAAAAATCATCGACAAGTTTATAATTTTTAGGAGACTTTTATCTATTAATTTTATAGTGCCGTGAAAACGGTTGATTTTTATTAAAGTACCGTATCCCCTGCTAATTTCCCCCCCGCGCTAACAGTGCAGTACCGAGAAATCGACGATTTTGCTCTTCCCGTTTCTATATTTCTCAAAAACAGCAAGACTGATGCTGAATTTTCAGAGAAACAATGCTGAACAAACTTCCGCCTCGCGTGATGGCGAGAATCCTGTGGTTGATTACGCCAATGGATTGTCTGTCAGTGGCATTCGTGTCTCGAAAGATGTGGGGAATCGTCGAAGCCACGCCGAAGATGTATGGAATGGTGCGCTGCATCATGAAAGATGGCGCTTTGTACCTGAGCTTCATGCCTAGCCCCGAACCCGTCAAGCCATTTATCCTCCCAGTTGACAGGATGATCGCACAAATGCAGTTAGGAATAATCGTGGCAGGCAAAAATGTCTTTTAGGATGCAGCCTGGCGAAGGTTCGAACTTTGCTGGATTGATGGATGGTTCTGAAGACTTCATAATACGGCTTTGCCGAACAACCTTCTTCCGAATGCTATTTCGCAATTCGATGATTGATGATGTGGGTTTTAGCGAACCTTTTTATGAGAAAATTATTTTTTTTGAGCGAAAATCGATTTTATCGACCAAAAAACCGACCAGACCAAAATTTCGCCTTTTGTCAAACATCGTTCCGACTTTTCGAAAGCTTTTCTGCAAAAGCCCCCCGCAAACGCTCAAGTACCTCCATGTTTCAGCTGTTTGACATGCCCCTCTCATTCGGCAACAAATTTTGGTTCTCGTTGAATATGAAAGTGACGCGAATCTCCGAGCCAAAAGCCGTAGCCTCAATCTCTCAACTACGACAATTCCTCGGTACCGCAATTTCGTCTATTGATATTACCATCCATTTGTCAGAACATTTCCAACCCACCGAGTTGGTCTACAACTATTTCTTCGCCGACTTTCTGCCCTGGCTAGGGGAATGCGAGCGATTTTTGAGGAGCGATTTTGTGAGTTTCGTACTCGCACTTCCACATTCCAGCATTTTTAGATCCGCGGGCTGCAAAAGCTGCATCTATATGGCTGCATTGGCGATGTTCGATATCTACGAGGAGTTCGAGCCAAAGATTTGCTCATCGGTGTCATGGGTATCGATCTCAACTCCGACTTCAAGAACATTTTCGGCTTTTTGCTGCGCAGGGTTTCGGTAAAATCAAGAAGATCCTGGTGTATTTGCAAATTTTATAGGATTGGCTGCAGGGGAAGGCGGAAATTGACAAGATCCAGATATGCATTGGGGAGAACACTGGTGCCGAGAAGATGTTTAAAAGCTGTAAATCGTAAACTAGCTTCGTGTAATCTGTTTTAGTGGTTGACAAGGTGGCGGTTACTCTGAAGACCGAAATGGGATGGATCGACCGGACATATGAGGGAATGGAACTCATTCTAAGGGCCAGTGATGTGAGGATTTTGTCATAAAACGAAAGGAATACTTTTTAGGGACAAGCGCTGTTGGTCTTTTGGGACGACGCCCATGGATATTTCTACCTGATACGATGCGAATATAATTTCAGACGGTAAAGTGCCTTTCTTTAAAGTAGAAAGTTTTTTAGGGGTCGATGCCTCGGAAGTTATGAGAGAAATGAGGAGTCCATCCGCAAGATTTGTGATTTGATGGTAGGTTTTGTTTAAAATCGGGCAATGGACTGTTAGCAGGCGGTAAATTAATTTTTCCCCTCTATAAATACCTAATAATAAACAGTGTTTTTTAAGTAGTTTTTATTTGCTAGAAAGTTACAAAAATATTTTAAACTTTTTGAAAATGCGAAAATTTTGATCTTTTTTTGGTCATTTCTGATATATTTTGGGAAAAGTCAAAAAATTGGGGAAAATTTGAGAGTTTTTCTATCTAAAAACTGTGTAAAATTCTATAAAAAGGGTACAGCAATACTGGAAAAAAATTTATTTACCCACCTGCTGATAGTCCAGTACCTAAAACAGAAGCATTCTTTCTGCAGCGGATCTCTTTACAACTCGCCACACTTCGCCCAGCGCTAGCTGAAGATGCGAAGGAGAAGCTGAAAGAGGAATGCATCAGGTTCACCGAGTACAACAAAGGCGCCACAACCGTCGATTTGATGATCGATTGCGTGGGAATTTCCTTTAAAACGCTTTAAATTGATTTGTTTTAGATCTGGCGTCCGAAAGGCGATCGTCGATCGCCGTGGGTATTGATTGACGGCAAAATCCTCCATGATAATTTCAATCCCGTAAGTAGTGGCCTATTTTATCCGGAAATCAAAATCTATTAGATGAACTTTGCCGTTCTGCATGCCTACCGATTCGTGAGAGCCTTCGGGGAAACCGGTGTGCTTCCCGAGATCCACCAATTCCAGCCCCTCGACCGCTAAACTTGAATAAACCTTTCGAAGGTGCTTAGATTCTGTTCTTTTCGCGTAATAAATTTAATGCTTTAAACAAAGTCACACAACTGGAAGAGACCGCTGTCAAAATCGATTTCCCGTTTTCTTTATTTGCCTAAACGTCGAAGCTGAAAATTTTCGCACCCTCTCGGATTCAACTCGAAATTCCCGGCCTAAATTAAAATCTGTACGCTCGCTCATTTTCTCCCAAAGAATACATTTGCTAAATTCTTTTTTCTAGGGGAATAATGGCGCTCGAGAATATCTCCACAAAACGAATGGAGGGTATTCTGGCATTATTGAATGCGCAGGAATGTATGGAACTTGCCTTTACGTCTCCAAAAATGTGGAAAATTGTCGAAAGGACGCCGAAGAAGTATGGAATCGTCCAGTTTTTCGACGGAATGGCTGATGAGCCGGATAGGTTGATGCTTTTCCTGGCAAAGGATGAAGAGCCATTCGAAAGAAGCGGATCGTTCATTCGTATTCCCTTCTCATGGGAACATTGGTTCGTTAAATGTTTTTTTCAAAGCTTTTGGTACTGGGCCATTAAAGGGGGGGGGGGGCAGAACTAATTTTTTCGTATTTCACCAAAATCTATTAATATTAATAATTTTTTAGAAGCCATTTTAACGAAACTTTGTTCAGGTTCAAGCAGCCTGCACGATTTCCGGTTTGGCTTATCAAGGAGTTGTGCAACAAGGATCCGATCTATGTCCGTGCAGCTTTTCTCAGGCTTTTCCTTACAAATGTTCCTGTCCAAAACAAACAAATATTCCTTACAAAAACATACATTAAAGAGGTATTTCTGTCTCTATGTTCAATTATTCTTTCAGTTCCGCTTCCCATTGGCTGAATTCGGGAATGAATCGTGGCGTGCATTGGGCATGAAAGTGAGGCAGCTGTTCAATCCGATCGAGTTTAGGACTATCTCAGAGCTATGTCAGTTCCTTGGTAAAATACATTTCAAAGGATTTGAATTCGCTTTTGTTAGATGTCATCAAGCCGTCACAGTTCATCTATCATGGAGGTTTCGACGAATACATTGGAGAGCTCGACGAGTTATGGAAGAACCCAGCGGTTCGTCTTTTTTCCTTCGCATTTGGGCGCGGGGGGGCGGCTTTTTTGTTGGTCTAGAAATATGACATATTAGGAAATATTTTATCAGTGGTTGTAGTCGAATCTAGATTTCAGCTAGGAAAACAATCTAAAAATTCGATAAATTCGAAATTCTGGTCGAAGAAGTTATGTTTGTACATCTTTTATTCAGAATTTGTCAGATTTTACGTTCAGGGATTGTAAAAGACAGTTTAGACTTCCTCATTTGTCTTGGCAAAATCGGATCCATAGAAAAAAAAGCTGCCTTCCCCCGATAATGCGAAAGAGATGCATTCTCTTTCGTCATTAAGATACGTTCGATGGAGAAGCTGCGATTTTCAACCGAGATCACGAAATTCCCAGCCCCTGGCAGCTTGCTTGCAAAAGATACATGTATGGTTCTGTTGGGCGACCCACCGTTGAATGAAGCTATGTTTCACAGTCCGCGAATTACTTGCTTCGTTCTCCAGAAAATTGAGGTGATCTTGTGCGGCGTTTTTCTATCAATATTTATAGGCTTGGCTGATGGGCAAGGTTGAAATCGACAAATTCCAGGTGCATGACCCTGTTTACTTGATGTTTTCCTTTATTTTTTGGCCGAGTAAGTCAGTTATAGCATTGATAATTGCCCTATTTTAGTGATTGGGGGACTTGCTTCTACTCTTCCCGCTACAATTGGATGGATCGATCGCACGTATGAAGGAATGCATCTCATTCTAAGGGCTACTGATGTACGTCATTTGAGTTTTTTTGAGCAGAACGTCGCTTTTAAAAAGTTTTAGATGGTTTTTCCAATGAAAATCTAATTATATTGTACCCAAAAACACTAATAAAATACCTCCTATTAGGTTTGCTAGACATCTCTCGCATTATACAAAAAATTCTCGCTTCCTTCCCCTCCCCCGATGGTGTAAAAGCTCAAACAACTTTTTTTAGGGACAAGCATTGCTGGCTTATTGGGATGATGTCAACTATTCCTTCTACCTCATCCAATGCCAATATAACTTCAGACGGTATGGTTGATTGAATAACTAATTAATTTTCACCTTTAGCGGTCGCTGCCTCGGAAGTTATGAACGAAATCAAAAGTCGCTCCAAACGATTCGCGAATTGATGGTCTGAATTTGACATGAAAATGTTATTCAACTCTTGCGTTCCAGCACAAACTTCAAGAACAACATGACAAAAATGTTACCTCCCCTTCCGCTGAAACGCTGGAGAAGCTGAAGGAGGAGTGCATCAAGTTCAACAAGTACAACAAGGATGCGACAGAGATGGACTTGCTCGTCGATTCGGTTAGTTTTTCCATTAAAATGGATCTCTTGTCTTGGCTTTTCAGATCTGGCGTCCAAAAGGGCAGCGTGAATCACCGTGGATGATGGCCGAGAAGCAATCGTGGGACATTCGTCCAGTCTATCCGGTGCGATTTTCTTTTTTATCCGGAACGCCATCCAAAACCCCTAGAAAAGTCCCTAAAAAAGTTACATTTCGGCCGAAAAGTCGTTATTTTTGGATTTCTGATAACGATTTGTAAAGTTTTGCTGTTTAGGAATGGTAAAAACTGTGAGTGACACTTCATCTATTTAAATAAGGCGAACGGAAAAGTTGGTCGCACCTCGCGATTCGGCGAAAAAAACCAATAAATATTTTCATCTGTATAAAGAAAAATAAACTCCCTAAAACTAATGGATTAATTTAGACGGATGCCTCCCTCCGTGATGCCTACAAATTCACAAAAGTCTTCGAAGAGAAAGGTGTACTTCCTGATGTCGATCAATTCAAACCGGCAAAAGAAGCAAAAATCGAAAATTGGATCAGCTATCGGGGATGATTGTTTATTAGGCATTAGGATCTGTTGATTTTACGTAATTTTAACAATATTTTTATGGTTTATTCTTCAGTTGTTTGCCTCGTTTCGATTGTACGATATTTCTTGCATGCAGGTGTCTTTCATTGTTGTCGAATTTAACTTTACGAGAATAATAAATGGAGTTGTTTGTAATTTTGAAAGTGTACGATTTTGCTGAAAGTGATAAAAAGACACTAAAAAGATTTTTCTTATTTTCTTGTCATAATAAAAGCTAATTCAACGCAATTTGCAGCGAAACGATGCTGAACAAGCTGCCGGTGAAGGTGATGGAGGGTATTCTGGCATTAATCGATCCACTCGATTACAAAGAGATCGCCTCGGTATCGCCGAGAATGTGGAAAATTGTCGAGGAAACGCCGAAGACGTATGCGAGCGTTCATTTTCTCGACGATCCGATGCGTGGGAACGAATTGAAGATGCATTTAAAGCCGCCAGGAAGCTTGATTAAATCACGGCTCCTGCGGGCACCTGGGTATGTTTTTAGACACGAAACAATAGTTTTTTTGTGTTACAGTGGTCCTTTAATTGAAAAGCCGAGAAGTCTGACGAATAGAATGGCCATGATGCGACTCTTCCTTTCAAATGCCACCACCACCGAGGTTCAATTCTCGTTAATTTTCAATTATATATTGGTATTTTAGATTGTCTACCCGGCAATCTGCCTTGGCATCGAATTCTGGTCTTCGCTGAATATGAAAGTGACGCGAATCGAACATCCAGATGTTGTGATGTCATTTTCCGAATTGGCTCAATTTATTGGTATGAAAATCCTGGCGGGACCACATTTACTTTTGTAGATCATTTCAAAGCGCCACAATACGTCGATGATCGTTTTATGACTCAAATGAGTAAGGAGCCGAGTGAAGGCATCGCATTGTTGAACACTCCTATGGTTACCTTTTATTGTAGGATTTCGCCAAAAAGAAATTAGATTCGTTCGATGGAGCGGCTGCATTTACAGCTGGAAAGCCAGCACGTTCCACATCTGAAAGATTGTCGAGCCAAGGATATGATGATCACAGTCACTACCACTCTTACGGGCGTATTGGTTCCACGAGAGCCCATACTTGACTTTCTTCTCGCAAAGATTGTGGTTCGTCATTTTATCGAATTTACTACGTATAATAGGTTCTAATTGGTTAACGGGGGGAGGCTAACTTCCCTGATTCCACCTTTCTTTATTCAATAAAAATAGCCGATTTGTATAGTGTTTTTAGCACCTTCCGATTACTAAAACGATCTCAAAAAAATTCAGACAGCTCAAAGCTAATTCAAAATTTTTCGAAAATTGTTGTAATTTTGTCAAACGTCAAAAAGTCATAAAATTCTATTAAATTGCGATGTTTTTTGTTATTCGGCGTCTAGGCGACTAATGGAAAAATTCAGTTCACCCATGCTACCCCCCCGCTAACGAATCAGAACCATACAATACAGGGTTGGCTGAAAGGGACCGAGGAAATCGACAAGCTCCAGATTGGATGGAACCTCGACGGCTTTCCTGATATGACGTTTGGACCTCGTAAAACAATTTTCGATTTCTTCAAATATTTTTAGTAATCTCGAAAATCAATGTGCAGCCTAGTCTTGGATGGATCGATCGAACATATGAGGGAATGGAACTCATTCTAAGGGCTACTGATGTAAGCCATCATTTATAAAATAACTCTCTTTTTTTAGGGACAAGCCTTGGTCTTCTTTTTTGATACAGCTGATGGCTATTGCTATTTTGTGAGAAGCGAATATAATTTCCGAAGGTATGTTCCCGATTTTCAATAACGACCTACATTTTAGGGGTCGATGTCTTGGAAGTTATCAGCGAAATGCACTCAATCTCGCTCGCATCTCAAAGCTAATGGTTTGTTTGTTGCTCACAAACGGACAGTTTTTAGGCGCTCTCGATGACGTTGGAGGGGAAAAACCCGGCATTGGCTGATGATGCGAAGAAGAAGCTGAGGGAGGAATGCATCAACTTCAACAAGTACAACGAGAACGTTTCAGAAAGGGATTTACTCATCGATTCGGTCAGTCAATCTATTGCATTTCAACAGTTTTTCCTTAGATCTGGCGCCCGAAGAGTGAACGCCGTTCCCCATGGGGGCAGTTTGGACCTGTGCTCCATCGTGATATGCCATATCCGGTTGGTATAAAGCAGCAATTATTTATGAATTGTATTTAGGTGGACAAAGGCCTCCGCCATGCCTACAAATTCACGAAAGTGTTCGAAGAGACCCGTGTACTGCCTGATGTCGAGCAGTTCAAACCCGAACCTGATAGCGAGGTTCGCCATTGGAACGCGACCTTTTCCGAGTTGTGTTTTTGAACTTTGTTTTTATATTTCATGTTCGTGTCTTTCATTGTTGTCGAATTTAACTGTGCTTTTACTTTTTTAATCGTATAAAAGCTTACTCGACGAAATTTCCAGCACAACGATTTCCAGCGGTTCTTTCGCTTTATCCGGGGGGGGGGCTTTTTTAGGATCCAATTTTTCAAATATAGATAGAGGAAGTGTTTCCAAACTTTTTTAGTGAAGTGATGTAAGCCATCATTTATAAAATTACTCTCTTTGTTAGGGACAAGCCTTGGTCTTCTTTTTTGATACAGCTGATGGCTATCATTTATAAAAGATGGCTATCATTAAAACGTAAAGCTACTACATTTTAATAAAACTACAAAAAAATCTATTTTCGGCCAAAAATGGCGGTGTTTGAGCAAAATTTGGACTTTTTGAAAAGCTGTCGAGGGAATGGAGCTCATTCCAGGGGCCGGTAATGTGAGGATTTTGTGATAAAACGATAGGACTGCTTTTCCGGGCTTTGTATGAAAAATATCAAAATTATCGATTTCTCTACAGAAAATGGCCGATTTTTGATCCAGTTTCGAGTTTTGTAACAGTTTTTAGATAGGTTTTCTGGCTGAAATATCGTTATACATTGCCAAAACACTATTAAAACACGTTCTATCAAGTTACTTGCGTTTCTAGACTTATACAAAAAGGTTTCGGTTTACTTTGCGATTACAACATTTATCTAATCGCTCGGCGGGGATGTTTTTGTGATGAAGAAGGTGACATAAGTGTGGATGATATAGTGTCGATTGTCTGTCTCACAATATTCCCATGTGGATCCCGTTTCCCATGGTCCTTCTCGGTGATTCATCTCTTTTATCATCCCATCCATCATCTGCCGTGTCGCCGTTCCGATCCGAAGTTGTTCTAGCGTCGCCTAGAATTGTTTTTAAGAATCACGGGACGGGATCGGCCTACCATTGCCCCCTCAGAAGTCAATCTATCTGCCCTGGTTCCATTGATGACGATGCTGAAAAGAAGCTTATCCCTGTCGCGAATAGTCCACACTAAATCCTTCAAGCGTGCCAATTGACTTACTGTTTGAGCCGTGCAGCTTCAGTCAAATCGACCACTGGATTGTATTCGCCACTGCTCCATCTGTTCAACTCAGACGGTGGGCCATCTTCTTTGGGCCACGAAACCGAGACCTTTTCGCATGATTGAGGGACTGTTAGCCAACAGCCCTCACAACCATCAACGTGTCTAATGTTGATCACTTTCGGCTGGATATTTCTGAAAACCAGCAGGGATTTTCAATAGCTCTCTCTCTCTCTCTCTCTCTCTCTCTCTCTCTCCCTCTCTCTCTCACCTAATAAATTCCCTCGTCTTCTCATTGACCTCTGCCGATAGCACGTGAATAATTCGTGCTCGTAATCGGTCAGCCTTTGCAAGCATTTCCAATGGTCCCAAATTAATTTTGAGCCTTGCGGAATCCTGAAAAAATTTTCTCTGCAGATGGGCATGGGCAGATTACATCTCTCCACCCTACTATACAGGGTGTCCCAAAAAATCAGCCCTTCTATGGCGGGCCGCAGAAGCGTCCGATTGTGACGATTTAGGTATCTATCGAAATCTCTCGGAAAGGCGAGAAAACCATCACTTTTCGTCTTTCAATATAGACATTTTAGTTCACGATATCCTGATAGTCAACGCGGTCTTTTTTGGGTCCGTTACCCGATTTTCTCAGTTGATTTTGATGAGAGGGGTTCGATGGTATGACGATTAATCGAAATGGGCCGTCTCGTTCTTTTTTAAACGATGCATTTTGGTTAAATTTAGCTGATTAAAAACTGACCGTGATAGTCAACCACTGGACGAACAAATGACGGAATTTCCCTAATTGTTGATCGCTGAAGGGGCGGCTGTCGATTTGGAAAAAAGTTGGGTGCTGAAAAAGAGTTTCTTCTTGATTATAGAGATTGTTAACAATACCTCAATGACTTTCCGAAAAATAGCCAGGCAAAAGAAGCGGCAGTTGGAGCGGAAGTAGTTGTCAAATGTAGAGTGGACGCATCGGATTTTGAGGATAGTTCTCAGGGGTAATTCGTTGAGGATACGAAGTTGAACATCTACTGGAAGATCCATTTCCTGCAATACACATGTAGAAAAAGTATTGTAGATTGGGACGAAAAAGGGAAAATAGAGTGAAAGCTATTATATTGTCGATTATTGCTGTGGAGGTAGGGTCGAATCCGGATGAGCTGCTTCTTTGGTGGACTTGCAGATGATAATCAATCTATTGACCTGCCATATCAACATTAGGTTTTTAGCTTATGCATCACTTGATCCATTAGTGCGAATGCGATATGGTCTCCGCGGCGCTGGAGGGCTCGTTTTTGGAAAATTGAACTAATGAAAGCTTTCTGCAGCGTAAGTCTTTAAGACTCGCCACACTTCGCACAGCGCTCGCACAGCGAAGGAGAAGCTGAGGGAGGAATGCATCAGTTCAACGAGTACAACAAAGGCGCCACAACGGCGATTTGATGATCGATTGGTTGGGAATTTTTTAAAATAATCTTTCGATAGATTTGTTTCAGATCTGGCGTCCGAAAGGCGATCGTCAATCGCCGTGGGTATTGATTGACGGCAAAATCCTCCATGATAATGTCAATCCCGTAAGTAGTAGCCTATTTTATCCGAAATCAAAATCTATTAGATGGACCTTGCCGTTCTGCACGCCTACCGATTTGTGAGAGCCTTCGGGGAAACCGGTGTCCTTCCCGAGATCCACCAATTCCAGCCCATCGACCGCTAAACTTGAATAAACCTTTTGAAGGTGCTTAGATTCTGCTGTTTCCGCGTAATAAATTTAACGCTAACTCGCTAACTCAGACAACTGGAAGAGACCGCTGTCAAAATCGATTTCCCGTTTTCTTTATTGGCCTAAATTTCGAAGCTGAAAATTTTCACATCCTCTCTTCAACTCGAAATTTCTGGACCTAAATTAAAATCTATGTATACGCTCGCTCTCTTTTTTTTTCTTCATAAAGAATACATTTTTTAACTTCTTTTCTTTCCAGGGAAAGAATGGCGCTCGAGAATGTCTCTGCAAAACAAATGGAGGGTATTCTGGCATTACTGGACGCAAAGAAATGCATGGAACTGGCCTTCATCTCCCCAAAAATGTGGAAAATTGTCGAAAAGACGCCGAAGAAGTATGGAATCGTCCAGTTTTGCGATAGCAGCGACGATTGGCATGATGAATTGCTGCTGATGTTTTTGGGGAATGATGACGCGAAATCTGAAGGAGAAGGAGCGTGTATCCGGATGCCTCTGTCATTGCCATTATGGTTAGTTATAAATATACTTATTTAAGTGGGTGTTCTTTCAGGGTGACTACACCGGGTCTAGTTCCCCTTTGGCTTATCGAGGAGTTGAGACACAAGGATCCGGTCTATGTCCGCTCAGCCTTTCTCAGGCTTTTCCTTACAAATGCAACCATCAAAGAGGTAATACATATTTATTTCTTCTTAACCAGCCGATTACAGCCGCTTCGCGACTGTAATCGGCTGGACTTCGGGCTACCCTCCATATTCTACATCACCACATTTCATCCCTACCTTACGCTGATGCCTTCATGGCAATACCTACACTGATGGCTTCAGATACCTCCTCTAGCCAACCCCCACAAAAACATAGCAACCTTCCCGATGGCTTCAGATACCCCTCCGAGCCGAAGTTCCCTTAAAAAACTACTTCGATACCTCTGATGGCTTCAGATCCCTTCCTTAGCCGAAATCCGGTTAAAAACTACTTTGATACCTTCCTGGTGGCTTCAGATACCCCCCATAGCCGAAATCCCCTTAAAAAACCACTTAGATTCCATCTCGATCCTTTATATGATTTAAATAAGAAATTAACATAATTAAAAAGTATTAAAAGTATTAAAGTAACTTAGAAAGCTATTTGGGCGCGGGGAGGGGCCTGGGGGAAAGGGGCGTGGCCTCCCGGGAGAGGGGCCCCCACCCCTTTTACTAAGGAAAAACTTTCAAAGTTAATTTTAATAATTTAAACTAAAACTTTTGCCTAATTTTTTTATCAGTTTGGGGGTTTCTGACCACGCTCTATCCGAATGGAAGAGACCTAAGCTCTAGCTCCTTTCCCCTTCGAGTTGAATCTGGGACACGACAGACACACTACTTTTTTATTATAGTGGATCCCATTTTCAGCTCCGTTCTCCAATGGCAATGTTCGGCAACGAATTCTGGTTTTCGTTAAATATGAAAGTGACACGAATCTTCAATCCAATTGCTGTCGACTCCTCCCTAGGATTGCATCAATTTCTCGGTAAAATCTATATAAATGTTGATGATTAAGCTCTCTTTTTCTAGATCACTTCAAGCCGACCCAATTCATCTTTCAAGGCTTTCACCGCTTTTTGCGCCGAGTGCCAGAAGAATGTATCGAATTTTTGCAGAGTCCGGTGGTACGTTCCTCGGTGAAGGTCCTTTTTGTAATATCTATTTCAGATTCATTCGTTGGAAACGTTGTATTTATCTATCGACGTCGCCAACTTCCCACTACTGCAAGGCATTCGTGCAAAAGATTTGCGCCTCGTTATCTTAGGAAAAACGACGTCAGTAGCTGAGGTTCTCCAAATCACACCCATTAGCTGGTTTGTTCTTACGAAAGTGAAGGTATAATTTGTTATAAGGATTTTCTCCAGTTTTTAGAGTTGGCTGGAGGGTACGAATGAAATCGACAACTGTCAATTTTTCGATCGTTTTTATGTGGTTACCGGGAATGCGTTTTTGTCTGGTATTCCTCATGATAATCCAGAATAGATTTTAGTGATTACGGGATATGCGCGCGTTTTATCTCCAGAATTGGGATGGATCGATCGAACATACGGGGATATGTCGCTCATTCTGAGGGCTAGTGATGTGAGATTCTTTTCTATAAAAATATTCTTTTGATAGGGACAAGCGTTGCTGTCGTATTGGGATCAGGATGATTCTTGCTTCTATCTCATCCGATGCCAATATAACTTCAGACGGTTTGATTCATTTACGAACTACTAAATTTTTCCCTTTAGCGGTCGCTGTCTGGGGAGTTATGAACGAAATCAGAAGTCGCTCGAGATGATTCGCGGATTTATGGTCCGCTTTCTACATAGGATATTATCAAAACTTCCTTTTCAGCACAAACTTCAAAAACAAAATGACCAAATCGGAGAAAATCCCGCTGAAACGACGGAGAAGCTGAAGGAGGAGTGCATCAAGTTCAACGAGTACAACAAAGGCGCCACGCAGTTGGATCTATTGACCGATTCGGTTAGTAATATAATTTCTATGAGCTCTTCTCTCGCCTTTTCAGATCTGGCGTCCAAAAGGCCAGCGGTACTCACCGTGGACGATGAACGATGAGAAATTATTTGACATTCGTCCAGTATACCCGGTTCGTTTAAAAAAATTATCTAAAAAATAGATAAAAACAAGTTTCCGAAAACAATTAATGGATTAATTTAGATGGATGCCCGCCTCCGTGATGCCTACAAATTCACGAAGACTTTCGAGGAGACGGGCCTACTCCCCTGATGTCAATCAATTCAAACCAATTACGGACGAGCTTTATTCGAAATTGTTTATTTGAAACATTCTTTGTTATGCATGTTGGTGTCTTTCATTGTTGTTGAATTTAACTTTACAAAAATAATAAATGGAGTTATTTGTAATTTTGAAAGTGTACGATTTTGCTGAAGGTGATAAAAAGACACTCGAAAGATTCTTTCTTTTCTAATTGTATAAAATCTAATTGAATGCATTTTGCAGCAAAACGATGCTGAACAAGCTGCCGGTGAAGGTGATGGAGGGTATTCTGGCATTACTCGATCCACTCGATTACAAAGAGATAGCCTCAGTCTCTCCAAAAATGTGGGAAATTGTCGAGGAAACGCCGAAGAGATATGGAATCATTAAAGTATACAACGGAATGCCGGATTGCAAGGATGGCCTTTGGCTTGGATTCTCGGATTGTGAGACCCCGAATGTGATGCGGTTAGTAGGATTGGCGCCAGCGCCACTTCCACGGTACATTTTGAGCTGTGATCGTCATTTACTTTTTTAGATGGATGGATAAAGATGCGAGTCGTAGTGTGTGTATAACTGGCTTGAGGGCAAGGAGTATGAGAAAAAGAGATTCGACTAACACGCGCACGACATACCTTCAACTCTTGCTGGCAAATTCGTCAATTAGACAGGTTGGTATTTTGTTGATACCTATTTATAATTTACCGTTTTTTAGTTACGCGACGCCCCACTTGTCTTCGGAAATGCTTTTTGGTTCTCGTTGAATATGAAAGTGGCGAGGATCTACAATCCGACAATAACATCAGCCATAAGACTATGCGAGTTTGTTAGTAAGTTCTAAAATCATGGAACTGAAATTGAGACGAAAAATCCCTGCTTTTTGCCCCCCGGCTAATGCAAAAGAACCCAATATTTTTGTAGATCATTTGAAACCGAGGGAGTTCATCCACGACGCGTCTGCCCGGCCTTTCGCCGATGATCGTCTCGAAGTTGAGAAATCATTGCGCAGTCCGGCGGTACGTTTATTTGAAATTACGGCCTAAAATTGACTTTTTTTTCTCCAAAATGACCAAATCTTCGAGATTTTCAACCCGTTTTGTAATGTCCTGTAAAGCTGCTGTTTCTAATATCGTTACTAAAAGCTTACTAAAAACAGTTGATAATGCGAAAGATCCGATTTCTCTTATGACACTAGGTGGTTCAGATGTGTTCGTTGGAGAAGCTGCATATAACGATTGGTCGGAATAATTACGGATGTTTGGATCGTCTACGAGGGAAAGATGTGACTGTTCGAATGACTACGAGTTGCTCCACATTCGCCCCGGTTGCCGACATCCTCATCAACACGGCCGTCGTGATTTTTGTCTCAGACACTGTCTTGGTAACGCTTTTTCATAAGGCGATAAAAATCTCTTTTTTCAGCGTTGGCTTCAAGGGGACGCTGAAATCGACAAGATTGAAGTGCCGGCCGGCGTTGACAGCAATTTCGACTTCTTTTTTAAACCCCGTATGGCACAGGTTGTGTTTTTGAGAATGAATTTAGTGATGAAGAAGATGACACCGGAATTGGGATTGATCGATCGAACATATGACGGAATGGAGCTCATTTTAAGGACTAGCGATGTGAGTTTGTTCTCGTTCCAGATCTATCAGGTTTAGGGGCAAGCTCTCATCACATATTTGGATAAGCGGGACGGCGCGTTGGTGCTAATCAGATGTGAATACAATTTTAGGCGGTACATTGGCTGCCAAAAAAACAATAATGGATATTTTTAGAGGTCGCTGCCTTGGAAGTTACGAACGAAATCATGAGGCGCTGAACAGGATTCGTATTTTGTTGGTAGGTGTCCATTTTGTACCGAATATTTTTATTACAGAGCGAATGGCAAATCTGCGAAGAGCGCTGGCCGGGCCTGATCGTCGAACTTCCGGAGAAGTTGAAGGAGGAATGCATCGAGTTCAACGAGTACAACAAGGGCGCTACGGAAATGGACTTGATGACGGATGCGGTAGGCCAATTATTCATCACTAAGAATTATTTGTTTTCAGATTTGGCGTCCAATAGCGAAGCGACGTTCGCCGTGGGGATGCTACGGAAACGCGACATTTCGGGATGCCACTTTTCCGGTCAGTTTCATTCTTATAATTAGAATTAAAAAGGAAAAATAGCGCAGATGTTTATAAGCGGTTGCTTAATATTTCCCCAACCGTATAACCTTTACAAATTTTGATTTAAAATACAAAAAAAACGATTTTTCGTCAGTTCGCGTTTCCCAGGAAATTTTTAGAAATTAAACTTTATTTTAAATTAGATTTTAGAAATAGCTTAAATAGTGTTTTTAGTTAGAACTTGCCGTTCGTCACGCCTACCAATTCACAAAAGCGTTCGAAGAGAGAGGTGTACTCCCAGATGTCGATGAATTCAAACCAGCTAAAGAAGCAGAAATCGTCACACGGAATGCGATATCGTGAATGATTGTTTGAATGGTTTTTCTTCGTTATTATAAAAATATTGTTGGTCTTATTCGTTAACTGATTCGCATTTAGCTTTTGTGATTGTGATTGTGATTTGTGATTAGCTGTGATTTTTATAATTTTCCCGTTTGTGTCTTTCATTGTTGTCGAATTTAGTTTTGTGAAAATAATAAAGATATTTGTTGGTATATTTGAAGCGTATGATCTTGAGGAAAGTGATAAAAACCACAAAACATCCTTCTTCTGCTTGCGCTGCTCCATCGACCTGATTAAAAGAAATTTGCAGCGAAACGATGCTGAACAAGCTGCCCCCGCGGGTGATGGAGGGTATTCTGGCATTACTCAACACCGTTGATTACTTGGAATTGGGCGGTGTTTCCCCTCGAATGTGGAAAATTGTGACAGAAACGCCGAAGACGTATGGATCCATCCGCGTTTTCGACGGTGTACCGGATTCTGAAGGAATGCTCGTGCTCGGTTTCTCCGCTTGGGAGACCCCAAATAACATGTGTTTACACGGATTGGCCCCATCGAGACTTCCCAAGTATTTTTTAGCTAGCATCTTAATTTACCTATTTTTTTTGAAGGTGGATCGAGAAAGATGATGGTCGTACGGTGCTTGTAGCTGGTTTTTTCGCCAGGGATAAGTATTCGAGTGTTACTCGAACTGCCTTCCTTCGCCTCTTACTTGCAAATTCTTCCATTAGACAGGTTAGCCGTTCTTTTATTCGTAAAGTTATTTTTTTAGTTACGCAACGCTCCACTAGCCTTCGGGAATCCTTTTTGGTTTTCGTTGAATATGAAAGTGACGAGGATCTCTAATCCAACAGCCGTATCATCAGTCTCAAGACTACGCGAATTTATCGGCAAGTACCGACCTGGTGCTGAATATTGTTCTAGGTCATTTGCAACCGAAGGAGTTCATCTACGATGTGTTCGATCGTCATCTACCGGATGACGGGATTGGATGTGCGAGGCTATTGCGCAGTTCAACGGTCCGTTTGCGATGCATGTTTTATGACCGAAGATTTAGATCTGTTCGTTGGATATGCTGCAAATCACTTTTGATCGTGATCGTTTCCGATATTTGGATGGGCTACGAGTCAAGGATTTGACCGTTAGACTGAATATGATCAGCAGCACGATCCCGGCGCTGCCCACAAAGGCCACCGTCTCATTTTTGTCGCAAACAGTCTTGGTAACATTTTTTAATACGGCTCTAAATGGTATCTTTCCAGCGTTGGCTTCACGGTGACACTGAAATCGACAAGATTCAACTGCCCGCCGGCGTTGACAGCAATTTCGAAGCCTTTTTTAAGCCCCGTACGTGATAGAATATTTTTCCGAGGATCATTTTTAGTGATGGCAATTTTGACGCCAAAATTGGGATGGATCGATCGAACATATGAGGGAATGGAACTCATTCTAAGGGCTAGCGATGTGAGACTGTTTAGCCCTAGCATTTTTCTGATGTTTAGGGACAAGCTCTCATCACATATTTGGATAAGCGGGACGGCGCGTTGCTGCTTATCAAATGCGACTACAATTTTCGACGGTATGCTGGCTGCCAAAAATGGATAATTTGTGTTTTAGAGGTCGCTGCCTCGGAAGTTACGAACGAAATCGTCAAACGCTGAACAGAATCCGTGATTTGTTGGTAGGCGCCTCATTTTCCACGGAAATATTTTTACAGCGCAAATGGAGAATCTGCGACGAGCAGCGCTCCCCGGGCCTGATCAGCCACATTAAGAAGGAGCTGGCTGCGGAATGCATCAAGTTCAATGAGTTCAACAAAGGGGCAACGAAACGGGACTTGATGACGGATGCGGTAGGTCGATACTCCTTTGTCAAACGTTATGCTTTCAGATTTGGCGTCCAATAGCGAAGCGCCGTTCGCCGTGGGGATGCTATGGAAATGCCACACTTCGGGATGATACATTTCCGGTTTGTCTTTCACGATATTTTGAGACATTGTTTTTAGTTAGAACTTGCCGTTCGCGACGCCTACCAATTCACAAAAGCGTTCGAAGAGAGAGGTGTACTCCCTGATGTCGATGAATTCAAACCGGCTAAAGACACAGATATCGCCACTTGGAATGAGCGGTATCGTGAGATGATTGTTTGAATGGTTTAGTAGATGAAAAAGATCGTTATCCCTGATTTTTCCTTGTTTCGTTCCGATTGTTGTCATTTTTCCTGCATGTTTTTATATTTCATTTTTGCGAATTTTCAAATGAATAAATGTATTTCCAGCCTCAATACCATAATAGTAATAATCATAATAATTTATTCTTTGCTCTTATGAGGAATCTAGAGCAACGAACTGAACACAGACTGTATCGACCGGCATTAGGGGAAAGGGAGGAGGGGTGTGTACAGAGGAGTCGTGCGTAATCAAATGGCCATAATTCGATATTACGGTATTTTAAAGGGATCAAGAAGGATATATCGATCACTGGCAAGCAAGGAGTATTGGATATCCCAAAACTTAAAATTTGGACAAAACTTATGGCTAAAAATTCGTATGTATCCTTCTTGGTCCTTAAAAATAAACAGATGAGGGGCAAGAAGTTGTTCAACATTTTGAGCACAGAAAATTAGAAAGCGAAAGAGTGAGAGAGAAGCAGAGCAAAAAAATAATAAAGAAAAACGTGAATTGCAGGGGGAATTTAGGTACCCGTTCGGAGTATAGAAACGGAATTTCTTTGCTAGATTTTCTAAAAAATAAGGCAGAACCATCAGAAAATACCACACAATTTTCAGCCTAAATTATCTGGCAAGAAGCTCATCTTTTGGAGGGGGATACGGTAGGATAGACATGAAATAGAACGTTTTAAAGGGCCCCTCAAGGCTCAGCCAACAGCGGCCGATTCTTATGGATTAGTGGCCGATGAGGGAATGGGATAGAAGAAGAGGGAGAAGAGATATAGGGATGATTATGGGTATGAGAAGAGATCTTCGAGTGTAGAGGACGATGAAGGAGAGCATGAAGAAGATAGGCAGTCTCGATGATGATGACTACGAGGAGTACAGATGACACTGCCCATCCCACCCAGCCACCATCTGACTCGCATACAACGCGATCCACGGGTTGACGCTCCATCTGGAAGCCGGCGAATTGATTGAGGGTATCTTTGGGGTGTTTTAAAGGGACATGGACAGGGGAGTTCCTGAATCCTGAACATCAGGTACTTTAGTAATATCGGGGGAACCGAGGTTTTTCGTAGCCGCGAAATTTCTATACACTATTTATCGCGGTTTCCATAAAAATGAGCCATAATTCAGTGGAAATCTATTTTCAAAAAGGAGAAAACCGCTAAAAAATTATGATTTTGCTCGAAATTCAATATTTTTGCGTTTTGAAGTTGCGTTTGCGAAGTAAACAATTTAGAAAAATTAGATTATGCTTATATGCAAAAAATTGGATCCCAAAAGCCCACCCCCCGCGATATTGCAACAGTACCTCTTCAGGTAGCTTCTTGTTTTTTATTTTATAAAATTACAAAACGAACCACAACGACAGGCTCAGTGTTGTCAACAGTCTCTCGTGTATCACAATCACCGTGGTCTTTCTGAAAAGAAATCATTTTAAACGATTTTTTTTGAAAATTTGACGAATACGGTAGCCAATCAATACGATAACTTACAATTTGCGTAATATAACAGCAAGATTGTGTGGTGGTATTCATCGCCGGGCGTCCCGAATATTTTTGAGCATCGGCTGGGTTGCATGAAATCACTGAAAACATGGATTTTTCGATTTTTACAGTTTCTCAAAATTTTGAAAATGTAGTTTGTAGTCCATAATTCTGTTTGTAAGTCAGTGTAAATGTTAGTAAAACCGCTTGTCGGTCTATTAGTGGATCTACGATAAGAAAAAGCTGGAAAATCGAATTTTCGCCATTCCAAGGTTTGGAAAATGTAGTCTTTAGCCCATTATTTTCCCTGTTTGTCAGTTTTAACGTTAATTGCTCTGTTTGTCTGTCAAACTGTCAATCTGTCCACTAAAAGCTCGATAAAACTCACCAGTTCCACAGAAATTCATCGTCAAATGCTCGGCGCCACAGCTGGGCATGGCCGATTCCGAAATATGGAGGTATTCCGCGCATTCCCCCCGACAGTACACTGTACGGATTATGTCAGCTAGCGCCGAATCCAGGCTGACAAACGCCAGAAGCAATAATCCTTGCCACGCCATGGTTTTTGAGGATTTTCTGAAAAAGTACGGATTTTTAGGGTTTGAAAAATCAAAACCGAGTGCCATGGAGGACAGAAAACGAGTTTAATTTAAAGAAACCTGTCAGATTGGGAATTCTATAATTTAAAAATTTAATCTGTCGTGTGATAGAGCGAAAAAAAACATTAAAAAGACAGATTGGAAGTAGATTTGTTGAAATGAAGAGGGCAAGGGGTAGCTAATTTCGTGTCTCTCTCTGTCTCTCTCTCTCTCCCCTTCTCTCTCCCTCTCTCTCTCTCTCTCTCTCTCTCTCTCCCTCTTTCTCTGGGAACTGATCAGCCAAGAGATAAGACGCGGAAGTTCGGACGCAGGAAATGTCTTGCCCCCCCGCACCCCCAATCACTCAATCACTACATTTCACACTTATTGACAGTCTATCGTTCAGAGGAGCGTAGTGGAAAGAGAGAAACAGTCCGCATATATCTTTAAAACCATCTTTCTGACGTGCTAATTTCGTTAGCAAATTCGTCTTACTTCCTTGTATCTTTCGAAACGTCTGTCAAAGGAAAATATACCTAGGGCTAGTTGACAGCCAGTTTAACCGATTACGGGGGATAAAGCTAAGTTTCTGGGCCCTTCAAATTATTTATCCTCTTTTCTGTCTCTTTTTTCTCATGGCTTTCTCATGGCTTGCATAAATTTCCGAAAAATGCTCCTTATTTTTATTTCGCAACTGCTTGTATACATGGAATCCATTAGAAGAGAGAAAGAGAGAGAGAGAGAGAGAGAGAGAGAGAGAGCGAGAGAGCGACAGACACAAGGAAGTATATCTAATCCATCAAAGATCCCCCTCGTTCCCCCCCAGAAAACGGCTTTTTGAGATAATTGCCAGGCAGCTAGGGGAGAAATGAGCTATTTTCTGCGACCCGGAACTAAACTGGCTTCCAATAGATGTTGCAGCATATAAAGCGACTTCCTAATGTTTGAAAGGGGACTGGGAGTCAGTTTAGAAAATGACAGCCAAGGAACAACATTTCCGTCAAATGTACAGTGTGTAGTGGGTCGGAAATGAATGGGAGGGGAGACAGTTCCCTTTCTTTTCTTTTCTTACTGTCTCCCACGCTATCCTATAGAAACCCTGCAGAAATATCAGGGTTCGATAGGGAATGGGCGGAGACATGAAAGAGACTGTATTTTGGAGAGTAGATGGCTAGCAGAAACCATTTGCGAAGGCAAGCTAGCAGAGATTATTTTCCGAATTGGTAGAATGGCCGACAGATAGGCGGATTTCAGATAGTTAGCAGAGAGCATCGAGCAGGGCCAGCTAGCGGAGATTAATTGCGGAATGTATAGATTGGCTGGCAGCTAGCAGAGCTCATTGAGGAGGGCATGCTAGCCAAGATCATTTGTCGACCTGGCAAGCTGCAAGAGGTTAGGTGAATTCTAGTGGGGCAGGCGAGCAGAGATCATTTAGGAAAATCTCGATCAAAACCACGGAAATATGTCCAAAGGATCGCCAAGATCAAATTCGGTATTTACTTATCAAAATTTTCCAGAAAAAAACTATTTATCAGTCCGAACAAAAACGGTTGCGGAATTTTTCAACTGAAAATTTCGAGTTTAAATTTGGGTTTAATGCTTATAAGCTAGAACAAATGAGAGCGGGACTAACAGTCTCGAAAAAATTCGGATTACAGCTCAAAATTAAGCTAAAAAGCAAAAATTATTTCTGTAGTGATGGTGATTAGGTGAGGTGGGAGACAGATGGGCCAAAAACAGACAGAACACTGGGGAACCACCAATAATCCGTTCTGGGGAAAGGAACGGAAGGAATGAGGAACAAGATGCCATCTTCTGAAGAGAGAGACAGAGAGAGAGAGAGAGAGAGAGAGAGAGAGAGAGATCCAGATGGGAACACACAGGCCCCTCCAGTGGCCACGCCCCCTTCTGGAAAATGGGCTTCTGAGGGGCAGAAAACGACAACAAAACACGCGCAAAAAACCTCGGAATAAAAAATGGATTTGGGAAGTAGGGTACCTGATTTGACTAATGGAGTATGGTTCGCTAAAAAAACACTGCTACCAGGCCTAGAAGGTGATAATTCTAGAGGTTGGTAAGCAGTTCGGAGCCACAAATTTTCAAAATCCTCTCTGCTAGCTTGCCTGAGCTTTTAGCCCGTCAGAAAAGCTAGCTGAATCCCAAGGAACTATCAGGAAAAACTCTAAATGTCCAAATGAGCCTAAAAATGAATTTTTAACTAGCTCGCATGTCAATTTCGCCATCTGGCGCCAAAAATACGAACTAATGGTCTCTGCTAACTTGCCACAAATTTTTCAGGCGAACTGAAGCCTTGGAAAAGTCTTACTGACTACCCTGATCTATCTAAAATTAAAATCAGAGCCATAAAAATTAAATAGTTAACTAGACTCTACACCATTTAACCATCTGACGCGACCCCTGAAACTGGCTGGCCGCCACGGGGGTGCATCTCCGGAAAAAGACTGTAAAGGGGATGGGAAGGGAACGGGAAGGGAGGAAGAAGCTCCCCCTCCCAACGGATCGGACTGAAATCGATGGTCTCGCAAAGAAATAGAGGAAGGAAGGGATGGGTGGGAACTTTCTGGATGAGCAGATGTCTCTTCAATCAACCACCAGGCCCAAATATGGGAACAGGAACTGAATCCGGCCATTTTGTCCGGAATCCATTCACTTCCGGGTCAATTGGAAAGTGGGGTGGTGGCTTCTGACATACAGGGAATTAAATGGGCCCTGATTTTCAGGCAAAAAGAGCCTAATTAATTCAGATACCTTCCAGGGTACCTGAATTTTCTAAAGGTGGAGCAGCCCTTTTTGCCTCCATAGCCTCCGTTGCCAGCCAAAACGTACGAAAGACATTTGTTACGTGCCATCCCGTGTATAGGAATCTTCGTACTCGTTGAGTACCCGGAAACTCGGACAGATTGAACAGCTCTCTTCTATGGTTCTTCTAATAAGGGCAGGTGCCCTCGAAGCGGAAGTTTATTTCGAGGAGATTAGCCGTTTATTTTAGTAGTTCCGCTCATGGGAAAATGGAATAAGGTGGTACAGACAAACTGACAGTCAAAAACATAAAAATAAAAATATAAGAGTACTGTAGAGGGAACCTGAATTTGAAAAATGTTATCCGAACCTTGAATTTAACGGTAAAAGCAAGAATTTGCTATTAAAATATACTTAATTTCTGTCAATTTGAATTTTGAGTAGCAAGGGACAGTTGAAATACACGAGACAACCCAAAATCACCGACGAAAAACACTGGAATCATACCCCCCCAAGGGGGAAATGTGGGTCGCATCGAGAAGAGAGGTACAGGGGAACTTGTCGCTCCCATTCTCTTCTATTATCGGCTTTAAATCGAAATCGAAATAGAAAGAGAGAGAGAGAGAGAGAAGCGGAACACACAGTTCCACCTCCACCCCAATAGCCGCCTTTTGACCGAGTCGGGGATGAGCCGCCCAAAATTTATGGGTTTGCTTTTTGGACTGTCCGGTGATCGAGGATTTTAATTACGCAATTTTTGGGGGTACTGTAGGTCAAAAACTATGAAATTGACTGCCAGAGCTACTGATATTAATATCAAAATTGAAAAAAATAAGGTACGATAACGACGTGGAAATCTGGTACCCGGGTACCTGACAAGGGAACCACCTAAGGTCAAGGTGGCGTTTCGTTATGGGACCCAGCTTATTTTGTGCAGAATTTTTTGCTGATTTCGAATCCGCTTTTATTTTTTGCTAAATAGCCCAATTTAAAAAGTTATAGCGTTTCAAAGTTCCATTTTTTCCCAAATTTTCGATCTTCAAAGTCATTTATCTTGCCTTTCCCGTCTGATTCCTCAAAAACAAATATCGCCATCGTATTCAGAAAAATTTTCTCTATCGAATGACCTATTTAACTCAAAATTGTTGAAAATCGAAAAAATGGACGATACTTGGTATGGTATGGACTCAAATCATGGAAAATATTAAAACTATGGGTAAATTAAAAGCAAGTTAGTTTCGGCAAGTTAAAAATCAGGTACCGGGTACCTGAATTTTAAGGGACCTCGCCCGGGAACCTGAATGTTTGTACCAAAAGCTAAAGGACCGGCCAGAGTTGCGATCGAAATCCAAAACGCCCCGGTTTTCGAGGTTGAATGGCGGGATTTTGGGTGGTAGATGTGTTGAGGGCTGTGGGGGGTTCCATCTCGTGTGATCCGCATCCCTTTTCAGCCCCTCCATCCTCCGGTGCTGATCCTTCCCCCCGATCCCTTCCCCCCTTGGGGGGTTACGGTAGACCGGACAGATCATCTTCTGCTCCGTCTGGCCCTTCAAGAAGAAGCAAAAAGTCTAATACGGTAGCCGACAAAGTGGAGAGAGACAGAAAACATCGACTTTGGGATGAAATTGGGGGCTGGATTATTCCCCAGAGGGGGAACTTCCTCGAACTCCACGGTCCATTACCGAAATTGGAAATTTTTTTAGAAATGTGGTATGGGGGACAGCTTAAAAAGTTCGAGCACTGAAACGGGCTAGAAAATTCTGGAAGTCAGAAAAAAGTACGAATTATTGAGGAGGGAGGTACCTGCAATTTGATAATACGAATTTTTCTGGATTTCTGAGATTTAGACATGATTTCCTACGGGATATCTCAAAATTTGCTCAGCTTTTCGATTTTAATGTCGAAACTGGTTGTCAGAAAACAGAAGTAAATCCCCAAAACTTACGAGAACATCCGCAACAATATTTTTGTGGTCAGACTAGCCTAGCGCGAGCATGCAATAAGCCATATTCCACACAAAAAAGGCCAGTCTAGCCCCCAAAAGCTCCCGAAATTAAATAGCAACAACCACAAATCCGCACCAGGCACCGGCAGCAGGGCAAAAGCACTGTACCCCAAGCTGAAAAACCGAAATACTTGCTCGATTCAAAATTGGAAAATTCGCGGGGTGGGAGGGGACTGTTGCGAGGTGCACTGGATGGCATTCATGCCAAAATGAGGGGAGAGAGCGAGAGAGAGAGAGACGAGGGCAACACAAAAAAAGGGGAAGTGAAATTGGAAGGAGGAAGTCATGAGTCTCCCCCACACCCTTCCCTTTCCCGCTCAAATTGATTCCTTCAGCACAACCAGGCAGAGAATAGAGGAGGGAGAGCGAGACAAAGAGAGAGAGAGAGAGAGACGGAAAATATCGACATAATCGAGAAAAAAGGGTTTCGTACAACTAGCTGGGTGGTCTGACTGGCAACTGAATATTATACAGGTCTCCGAAAAAATGTCACTTTATAATTTTTAATAATTTATAATTTTTTAATAATGAAAATTCAGGTACCCTCGAGGTTACCTGATTTTACAGAGCCCTGCAAACTCCAGTCAACTCTCCCCACCACAAGTCAAAGTGCATCATCTCCATCAAAGTATGGCACTCATTCTCTGTCTGAAAGAAGTGCTTTTGCGTGTCAAAGCAGATCAACATCCGCCTCTAGCCTGCCCCTAGCTGTCTTCTCTGTTTTCCACATCTCCTCCTATTTCGGGGGCCGGGTTCCGGTTCCTTGTTGGGGCCCACGAGGGCCTCCCTTGCAAAGCAGAGGGGAGAAAGTGGAGAGGGAGCATCGACTTTCTCTGCCTCTTCTCCTCTCAGCTAGGGGCCCACTTCCGGGTGCTCGTCCTCCTCCTCCTTCTCATCTTTCTTTTCGGGAGGACCACACATCGCAACAAAACCCGGGTCCCTAGCCTCCCCCTAGGGCCCGACAAACGTTTTTTCTGCAGAAGTGGCGGGCGGTTACGAAAGGGAGCAAAATACTGCAGCTGGAGTGTTAAAAAACTTAAGTACCTTTTTCAAATAAATCCAAAATTTTTCGAAAATTGCTGGAAATAAACAGTAATGATACAGTTTCAGCTACGCCCTACAAGTTTAATGAAATCCTATGCTAGCTTTTTAAATTATCCACTGTTCCCAAGAACTATGAAGCCCGAACCACACAGTACCTCCAAAACGCCTCAAACATTGCTTCCTGGATCCCACGGAAATAAGGGGGGTAATTGCAGAAAATGGCGCCCCAGCCATGGCCGGAAATTACTTTGGCGCCCAGGTGGGACCCCAGAGAAGGAAATGAAGGCGAAGCGATCTATGCAACGGTTTTTTGGCCTTTTGGAGGGAAGGAAGGTGGTGAAGGCATTAGTAGCACAGTGTCAAGTGGAGAGTATCTGAATTTTCAGGTACCCATCCAGATTCGATTTTTGGCGTTATTTAGACGCGCGGTCCTGGGTCCACGAGTCCGCTCAGTTGTTGGTCCGTTCTAAAAGGTAATCTGGCAGCTTAGCAATCGACAACAATTTTGTCAGTTCCGAGTGCAATCTGCGTGCGCTAGGTCGGCGGTGTGGTACGTGCGATCGGTGGCTCTGTTTCCGCCAATCTCCCGGCCAGCGGTTCCTTGTTGTATTGTGTTGTGTGATGGATGGCTAGCCATTTCAGCCCGCACAATTTATCGTCTCTCACCAAATGGATCGTTGGTCTGTCTGTCTGGCTGTCTCTCTCTCTCGCTCTCTCTCTCTCTCCTGTCAATCTCTATTCCGCCTGATTGACTGCTTGCTATCCTCACGAAATGGCTGCGAACCGAAAGAAGAAGGGGGCTGACCCTGGCATTTGTTGGATACCGCTGATAAATCATGGGGAACGAAATGTATCGGTTGGTTGGAGGGCAGCTAATAAAAATTGTATTTGAAGTTGTAATTTTAATGGGGGTGTGACAATTCAGGGATTTAGTTGCCAGACAGGCTGCTAGAGCTTTCTAAACCATAGCCTCGGGGGTGCCTCAAATTTCAGGTACCTTCAGGGTACCTGAAATTAAAAGTACCTCTGTACCTGAATTATCTGCTATATGCTTCAGATACATAAGTGGGTTCCTGAAAAACCTTGTTCCGCTGATTTCCTCCTTCCACCTAATTACCGTAATCCGCCCCATGCCCTCCAGTTTCTTTCTTTCTTCCTTTCTTTTCAATATCCGGGGACCCAGCCACCTTTTTGTTAGCTATACAAAATCCCTTCCGGCTGGGAATTTCCCCCACCCCCGGATTACCTCCCTCCTTTTTTTTGGCTACAAAAATATCTCCCTTCGAGACGGACACTTCTTGCAGCCTCTCCGAAATCACTTCCCGTTCTGTTCGGAATCGGAAATTCCCGCGGTATATTGCAGCCCAAAAAAGAAGCAAGCACCCCGTGGGGATTAGCTAGAAAAATGCCGAGAGGGGGACCAACTACAAATACGGGAATTCAGAAGAGAGAACCTAAAAACAGGAAATGGAAGTGGAGCTTGTTTTCCAGGGGTGCCGGTGCGCGTAAAATGGGGGACGAAGAGGGTTTGGGTGGGCAATGCGGAAGTTATGGGTATGAGTCGGTAATTGGGTGGATTCCAGTCTGGTGGTAGGTGAGTGGAAAAAAACCCGAAAAATCGGATATAATGATAATATCTAGAAAAACAGAGGATTTAACTTGCAGTTTTCGAATAACTGTCGCCCGGTGCAACTAAAAATCCAAGGTTTTAATTTTCAGCAAGAAAAATTCAGGTACCTGAAAATTCAGGTACCTAGGTACCTGAATTTTCCAAAGCTTTCGAAGCCTGTTTCGAGTTCAATTAGATTGTATACAAGCTAAAAGCCATAATTTTTATTTACTGGCAAAAGGCCAATTACAATTTATCATGTTTACCTATTTCAAGGAAAAAAGTGAGGTACCTGAAACCTGAGGTATCCAGGTACCTAAATTTCCCCAAATGTTTTCCAGACGTTTCTCAGGTCCACGTAGATTCTACGCCTACCAGAAACCATCATAACACGGTTTATTCCGGAAAATAAATAATGTGCATCAAACTGGAGATAGTACAATCTCGTACTACCCCCTAAAGACAGGCCGTGAAACATCCATATTGGCATTTGTTGATGCAATGGGTCGAGGGGCAGAATTGTCGGCATAAATCCGAGCATTTTGGAAGGCACGTATTATAGTCCGTCTACACGCGTCAATTGTAAAAATAGGATTACAGTACCTGTCTAGGCATTCTTGTGGTCCTGGGCGCCATTGTTGGTGTTGCCATAGGCTGGCTGTATTGCATTTGCACAGAGGATACGGTAGCCGTAGTGCATACTGGGCTACATACTTTCTCACAGCCACATTGCTTCGGGGTTAGCTGGCTGTCGCGGCATGCTGACGCGCAGGCTTGAGAACAGGCATTACATGGGGTCTGAAAAGGGGGTTAAAATCGATAATTGGTTGCCAGATTGTAGTTTGTAGTTTTGTAACTTTTTTGTCAGTTTGTGGTTTTAAATTAAATTTAAGCGACCTGTGGGATTCGTTGGGTGACAGTTTGCGTTTTGGGCGAGACGACAGGTTGGCTAAAGGTATATGTAAAGTTATATAGGTCAAAAATCGATTTTACCACGCGCAATATGGCGTCCCCTGCCTCGTGACGGCGCAACGACAATGTGTAGGGCTATAAAAATTAATGAAATCATTCAAAAATTTTTAAACGATTTTAAACCCTAAAATCAGATACCATTTACAGGATGGCTGCTGGTAGAGAGGAATTGTCTGCTGCATTTCTACTTCCATCTGAAGACAAGAAGCGCATTGTCGCTTTCCACGCACAATCTGGAACACAGTTTAGGTAAACGGACCGTCAAAATATGAATTTATCCGAGTTTCGAGGTATCCGGTTTCAATACCGTACCAACTGGCCGGTGACGCATACAAAAAACGCGTCAAATGTTTATAAACAATAAATGGAATTCTATTTCCTTGTTGTTTTCGTGGTTTTTGAACTCTCTGCCGGACAATTAGGCGATTTTTCTAGCGTATGCTTTCAGAAAACTAAAATATGAGGATCTTGGGGGTTTTTTGGCAGCCAGCGTAGAAAAAAACGGAAATTATGGCCAAACTACTAATAGAATTCTATTTTTTGGTGGTTTTCCTTATTTTTAAACGCAATGCCAGGCAGTTCAGCCAATTTTCAAGTTTATGCTTACATAAATTAAAATCTGAGCCATACCTGTTTTCCACTGACTGCCAGTGCTGAGGTACAAACAAGAATTAGGACAAAAATCGTTCGCATCGCCTCGGTGCGGAAGCGGAAACGGCAACAACAAGAGGAGGAATAAGATGGGGAAGGAATGGTCCATTCTGCACCCCCCCCCACCCACCCCCCACGTGTCATAAGCCGCTTTCTCGCGCCTCGTTAGGGACTAGGGTGTTAGCATTTCCTTAGTACATGGACGAACGGGTGGACATACAATGTCCCGAATTGCTGATTTCCCGTCAGTTTAGGGAGGTAAATAAGTAAATATAAATAAAGTAATACGAAAATAAGAAGGTACCTGATTGAGGATACCTGAATTTGAGGTACCTGATTTTTGCAAGCCAATTTAAACAACAGATATTCACTTAAATAAGATTTTTTTTTTTGATTTTTAGGATGATAATGGCATCGAATGTCAAAATCACCTCACTTGGCGGGACCCGCATCCGTTCTAATAGATCCAAATGATATAATTCTTTCAGTTATCGCTTTATTATCAGATCTAGCGGGGTAGGGAAAGATGAAATTATTCTGTACGTCATCTGAAGCACATCGTTCAAGCACCCTGCAGCTTTCCCCAGCTACCGTAATCCCTGTGGTTTCTAGAATTGGAATGTAATTAATTCCGCAAACTGCCATTAAGTTAGCACAAAATTATAACGAAAATCCAGAAAGTTCCGTTTTAAAGGAACTTACAATTCAGATACCCTAATCCAGATACCCTCAATTCAAGCACCCTGCAGTCCCTAAATGTGCTTTTGGCGCCTGTAGACACCTAAGGGGGCTTACGGTCCCCGCCAAATTTTTAGGATATCTAAGCTGGAGGGCAGAGAACAGCTTGGTGAAATAATTCAGCAAGATCTCATCGCTAAGGATCTCTGCAAGATATCCCATGTACTTGCGTAAGACACAATCACAACATCCGGTTCCAGATGTCACACTTCTTAAGGTTTGTCACATTTATTAAGGGGTAAAGAAGGCTTGTCGCTTTATTTTCACTTAATATTCGAAAGGTCGATTCCGACGAAAACCCTATGAAAAACGCATTTTAAAGTTTATTTTTGTTGTATCTCAAAAAGTACTGTAGCGATCGGGCTATAACTCAGGATTGTGGTTATTTACGGTCTGTTACAACTCTGGGCCAATTTTGGGACCGATTGGATGTAATAAGGCAAAATGCCGGCGGGGTGCTTTTTTTGAGACACCCAGTAGTTTAGTGTTGTAGTCTGTAGTCAGGGCCCTCAAAAACTGGGACCATTACAGGTTAGCAACGACATTTAAGCAACTCGGCAAAAACGACAAGAGAGCAACTGCGACTTTTAAGCAAACAGGCCAAAACGACATTTGAGCAACTTTCGCTAGAAAAAAGAGAAAAGGCATATAAAATCGCAGTTTTCATTACTTTTTTTTAGTTTTAAAAATGTTTGGTGTTAACTAAAGCTTAAATTATACCCCGGATAGGCCGGTTTTCGGTCCGTGAGTCTTCCATAACGCCGTTTCGTGTGTGTTCACTCAAAAGATAGTTTTATCCGGTTTTCGCTTTATTGGTGGCTTGTCCGTAGCATTTCCGCGCAAATGCATCCACATGTTTGATAAAATGGACTTGGGAAAAAGAAATCTAATCAAAATGTATACTTTATCGGCGATTTGCTGGGCTTTTCCAGTAAAAAAAAAATCACGTTTGGCCCTTATTTATACTTTCCTGATATTAAAAACTTGTTTCTCGATGATTTAGACAAGAAAACAATATACAAAAGCACAAAAGTTTTATAAAGTAGTGTATTCAGAAGAAGCAAGGCTAATTAGCTGAAAATACATATATCCTGCAAAAAACCAGCCTATCCGGGGTACAATTTAAGCTTTAGAAGACTTTAGTTAACACCAAAAATTTTTAAAACTAAGAAAAAGTAATGAAAACTGCTATTTTATATGCTTTTTCTCTTTTTTTCTAGCGAAAGTTGCTCAAATGTCGTTTTTGCCGAGTTGCTCAAATGTCGTTGCTAACCTGTCATGGTCCCCAAAAAGTGCCGCCGCGGCCGAGATGCATGATTTCACGACTACAAATTCTTTATTTTCATCCAAATTGTAGCAAGTGACAGGAGAACAAATTAAAGTTTATTCTGTGGAACGGACACTCCACCCCTAATCAGAACAGCCTTCTCATGGGTGAAATTGTCGAATGAATATTTCCCATTAATACGACCCAATCCAGAATTGCCGACACCTCCAAATGGAACCGATGGCGCTACAAATTTTTGTATTTATTTTTAATAGATTTTGATAACTTACAAAAAGCATGAGAATGAACATCATTGACACACACTCCACCCGACCAAGTTTCCGTGATAAATCTAGATTTATTAGCGTTTTTTTTGTGATTTTTATTAGGTTAAAAATACCGTCTAGCAGCCTCGGGATCTTTGGAGAAAATATAAGCAGCCAATGGCTTCTCCCTTTCCTTCACGAAATCTAGAGCTTTCTCCAGATTATCGACTGTCAGAATTGGAAGGATTGGGCCAAATATCTAAATATATTTGAATTCAATTTAATAACTATTCAAAATACCTCATCCTTCATCAATTCATCATTTTCTTCAATTTCATAGATACTAGGTGGTAGATATCTTTCTGATCGATTCTCTTCTCCTCCTGCTTTCCATGCCAATTTACCATTTGTTTTCTCGGTCAACGCTTTTAGACGGCTGGAAATGATCGGTAACATAGAAAGGGAGGGTTATATCAATTAGCTGTCTAACCGATTACGCGATGCAAATGTTTTTAGGCGACTAACAAGGAGTGCTTTTTTTTGAGTCATCGGCAAAACCTTACGAGACCTAGCTCATTCGATAGAGAATTCGATTCTGAAAAAACCCCGTTGTTCTTTTTTGCAGAATGGCTATCCCTGATTTTATAAAATTTTAAAACTGCACCCAAAAGCCTATCTTTTGGCTCGAAAGGCGCTCATGGTAAGAGACGGTCACTAGTATTTTAATTTTATAAAATCGGGGACAGCCATTCTGCAAAATGAACCTTATAGTGTTACTCAGAATGAAATTCTCTATCGAATGCACTATCTTTGGAAATAATTTGCGTATGACTCAAAAAAAGCACTCCTTATAAGTAGTTTTTAAAATTCCTGCATCCTAAATGAGGAACCCACCGTCCAACCGGTTACGCGATCATTTTGGGCGCGCGGTCGCGTAATCGATGATCAGTTCTTTCCCCTTATCGGGGGTGGAAACCAATTTTTTCCTTTGGATTTAATTTTTCAAATATAAATAGTGGAAGTGTTTCTAAATGGCCAATTCCTAAACGTGAAAACTTTACAAATTTTTATCAAAAATATCCAAAATATCGTTTTTCGGCCAAAACGGCCGATTTTTGAGCAAAATTTCGACTTTTTAAAAAGTTTTTAGATAGTTTTTATTGTTGTTTTTTAAATTCTATAACTTCAATGAGGTACCCACTCGAAATGGCGTTCCGAGATGATCCTTGCAAAAGCCTTGTTCTCCTTGAGTTCTCCCTCCTTCTCAAAGACTTGCTGAATGGCAGAGATCAGTTTGGGCTTTGTGATTGAAGTGGTGAGCACCTGAATTAAGAATTATTAATTACCTTAAAAAGCGAAACTGACATAATCGGGATTGATACAAATCTGTCCACAGTTCATCATTTTGGCCTTGGCGATCTTTTCAGCGGCTAGGGCCACGTCAGCATCATCCAGAACCACGGTTGGACTATAAAAAATTGCATTAAATCTCACTAAATTTAAAAAAAATCAGTTTTGATGAGTATCGGCCCAGAAAACGTACTTTTTGCCACCCAACTCAAGGGTGACAGGGGTCAGATTCTTGGCTGCGGCCGCCATCACAATCTTAATAAAGTTATATAGCGCTTTAATGGTAGACAGTTAAGATAAATATCTATTAAGGATACCTTTGCGACGGCCGGATTTCCGGTATAGACGATATGATCGAAACGTTCGCTCAAAAGGGCCGTCGTCTCTTCTACCGCTCCATTTACCACCGCAAAAACGTTCTGAACAAAAATAATTAGGATTTAACGTTTCTCGATTTTTATAAAATATAATTCGTGGAAGTGTTTCTAAACCGAAAAAAAACATTATGCAATTTTCAGTAAAAAATATCAAAAATATCGATTTTTCGATCGAAAACGATCGTTTTTTAACTGAAATTTCGAATTTTTTAAAAGTTTTTAGATTGTTTTTCTAGTTGAAAATAGTTATAGATTACTAAAAACACTATTAAAACACTTTCGATTAAGTTCCTACGCATTTCTAGACTTATACAAAAAGGTTCGGTTTCGGCTTACTTCATCAAAATGTTTGTTGATAATCTTCTCAAATGCTTGAGCGGTGTGCTGTGCCAGCTCCGATGGCTTCAGAATTACCGTATTTCCCGCGGCAAGGGCCTAAAATTGAGTTTTGTGACCTTTATTATTAATCAGTTTTAAAGTATATTGCTTTTGACCTACCTGAACGAGTGGAGCCGAGGTGAAAAGCGGGTAATTCCATGGGGAAATGACCAACACAACTCCAACAGGTTCACGAACAATGAACAGCTCGTCGTTTCCGTCGGAGGACAGCTGAAAACACGCAACTTTTATAGTTGATACTTTGTAAAGCATTACAAAATATTTTTAGCAACAAAAACGGCCAAAAACCCAGAGAAAACCGGATCAGCTTTTTATCGCACAGGCTAAATACCTGTCGTAACCGATTTTTTTGTGAATTTTAGTCCAATTTCGGATTTTAAAACTGAAGATCGGATTAAATAGCTAAAAATACCGAAAATAAAGTCATAAATTTAACTCCAAATAGTTTTATTAGGAAAACCAGGCAAAGCAACGGGAGCGCCAAAAAAGACGCGTTACGGCGCGCGTGCCAATCGTTGACCACCCGTGTGCCTTCTCAGCCCCTTTAAAATACCTTAGTAGGAGCACTCCACTCTTCCAGCTTCTCCAGCGTCTCATTTATTTGATGGGTGACACCGAATGTCTCGAAATGGCCGTCCTCAAAAAAGAAATCACTTATTTTCATCGATTGTTGTCAATTTTTCCAAGTTGTCAGTTTCACCATTCGCTAACTGTCAGCAGTCATTCAAGTATTTGACAAAAATTCATGCCAACAATCGATAAAGCACAAGTTTTTTTGCATACCCTGTGTAAATCCTTGAAAATAGCCGCTGCGATCTGTTCCCCATCTTCTTCCAGCATTTTCTTCAGTTTGTTGAGCGTCTCCTGAAAGGAAAATTGGATATAAACTACAAAAATTTGTACCGAAATAACTAAAAAGCCCTGGAAATAGCTTACAAAGCTGAAAAATGACCGCAAAAAGCTCGAAAATCAAGGTACCTTTCTGTTCTCCAACGGTCTCGTCGCGCCCGACTTGAAATAAGCACGTTGCTTTTCCACCAACTAAAATAGAAAATGAATAGGCTATAGAAAATTATGAACTTACGGCATGATAGCAAGGCATTTTGTATCGATCGATCGATTAGACGTTAACTACCCTAAAAATTGTAAATTAAACCTTTCAAAGCGTAAATTATTTGGCGCATAAGGAATTCGTGCAAAAAATTGGCTACAAAAGGCTTTCTGGCGGACAATTTGTTTAGAAAAACTTTAAATAACTTTACAACCGATAAATAAGATTTTTTTAAAGAGTGGAATTCCAGCCAAATAAGAGAAATGGCACCTAAAATAGGGTTTCAGTTCGAAAATTCGATTATAAAAACGTCAACCACCCAAAAGATTAAGTCTATCTAGAGCTAAACTTTTTAAATGCAAGATTGCTAGGCAGTTAAGAGAATTCCGACAAAAATTCACCACAAAGAGTTTTCTGGCCGACAATAAGACTATAAGACCACCTTTTCCGGATCTCTCGTCTTTATATGACCCTCTCCAAGGGGGCTATCACTGCCCAATTTGATAAGAGAAATACCACCCAACCCCCCTCGAAAACAACTGAAAGACCCGAGAATTTGTGGAAAATGCGAATTGCTTGAAGAACAAATAAAAACTGGGCCCCAAAGAACTTTTTGAGGCGATGTTTAGGTCTATTTATTTAGGGAGGAGAGGAGCAGGGGGTACCTGATTTTCCAGGTATGAAAACAGGTTTTTTTGAGGGTTAGAAAGTTTTATTTTTATCAATTTTCAGCCAGGCAACAGCAATAATATAAAAGACGTGAAAAAATGATACAGACAAATTGGAAAACTAGGAAACAGCCGGAAAGGATACCCGATTTTCATGGCAGCAAAACCGGGTTCCAAGCATTGTATATTTCTGTTTTTATCAATTACCTCTCACCTATAATTAATTGGCATCCAGTTAACACAAATTAATATAAAAAAGCTAAAAAGGCGTTATCGAAGGGCTAGAGAATCAGACAAGCGATTGGGCAGCGTAGCCATGAAAACAGGGATTTTCCAGTGTTATATAGGCTTATTTTTATCACTGGCCCGTCCACTAATACGAATTGTCATCCCTCCAACACGAAATACAACAAAAAAGCGCGCAGCAGCCTTTTCTATTTGAAGACGATCTGATTTGTGCCCGGGCCTCGAGTTTGTGCTCCAACAATTCGAGCCATTGGGCGAGTGTAAAAAGGTATTTTCACCCCCAAAATTTCATCTCCTTGCAAACGCGTGTGTTCGTCCTAATTTGGAGAAAGATTTCGAGAGTCAGATAACAACCAACGAGACAGTTTGGACATTGAAACGAGAAGAATTCGAGAAAATCCTTGATTCGGTGTTTTTAGAAAACGTAAAAATTTGTAAACAACTGAGATAGCTTTTTTCAAATGTTGTCATTAGAAAGGTTACATGACAGTTCAAAATTACAACAAAACAAGAAGTTCGAAACTGGCTTGAAATGCAGAGTTTTAAGGTATTTTCCGAGCTGTACTACCCAGAAAATCAAATTTTTCAGAAGGTAAAGATGGTATTCGAGCCAGTTTAGGTTATTTTAATATTTATTCGTTTTCTTGTGGCTACTGACTAGCATAGAAAATTATAAAAACCCGGATTTGTGATGTAGCGGAAACTTGAAAAAAATCTGAAGCCACTCCATCACGTCTTCTGGCTGATAAGGAGCCACGTGGTGTCTGCCTCTCCTGTCTCTCTTCTGTCTCCTAAAATTCACTAAATGATTTTGTACCCTTTATTCATAATTTTACTCGGTAATTCGCCAGCCATATTGGCAATTACCTGTCCAAATGGATCCGAATGGAAAGATGACCTGGGTTATTGTCTGCTTCCGATCAATACTGGTATGGATTTTGCGCAATTTCGCTTGTTATTCTTAATTTTTGGTCAAAATTTATATGTTCCAGGTTTAGAAACGCAGGAAATCTTGTTCGATAATCAGAAAAAGTAGTGGCGGACCTGAATGAAACAAATTTCAGAAGTGAACTATTCAGCTGCGACAAAAGCATGTGGAAAGGTTGGAGGACATCTCATCTCGATTCATAATCTATTCGAGAATATTCTCCTGTCTGCCTATGTTGATGAATGTCAGTTTATCATAACATTTCATAAAAATGATTAAAACCAAAAAAAATTACGATTTTTAGAGTAAAATTTCAAAAATTTAAGCGCTTTTCTAAGTTTGCTAAACAGTTTTCTACTTGAAATATCGCTAAATCTTGCCAGAATCTCAATAAAGATACTTGTCCCCCCCCGGTATTGAAAAAGTACCTAAAATTCGTACATTTTGCTTCAGATTTCCCAAAGACGAAAACTTCTTGGCTAGGGATGCATGCTGACCAATTTCAGGTAACTTTTTCCAACAATTTTTAGGCTTTTTTAAACGATTTTTGATGCTAAGTACGCTAAAAATGACGTTAGCTAAAGTGGCGGATGTTGCAGGTATGGGGTTGGGATGACACTTCAAAATGGGACTATGAACATTGGGCAAAACAAGAACCATTTGACGGCAATTACTGTGCACAACTCCATTTGAATGGTATTTCAAGCTATTAGGGCTTTTTTAAATAACTTTCAATTGCAAAAAATATATATTTCCAGCCAGTTAAACGACACCTAAAACGCCATAGCAATAATTATAGCTTTTAAAGTTATTTTAAGACTCTGAAAGCTTTGCTGGCTGCCAGCCAACCAATATTTAGCTAGCCATATAATTTTCAAAGTTTTTTGAGTAATTTTTGGAGCTCTAAAATAATCGTGGCCAGCCAATTAAGCCATTTTTAGATCAACTCTGGCATTCGGCCGATTGTGATGAGGATAAAGCGGCGTTTCTGTGTGGAATTCAACCTCAAACTACAGATTCGACAACACCGGCAATTACTAGTAAAACTGCTAAAAATTTGCTTAAAATTTTAGCTGGCTTTTAGCCAAATGGCCTGGGAAATGCCCGACGGAATGGTCGTATTTTGACAAAACGAATGCGTGTTATTACGTAAGTTCCTACTGACAGTAGTTGCGCGCTTACGAATTATACGTGCGTAAGTTCTTACTGATAGTCAGTAGCTATGTAGCTGGGTACGGTATGTCCGTAAATTCGTACTGACAGTCGATGGATACATCCGTACTAACGATACGTGCGTAAATTTCACGTATTGCTTAGATTGGCGCAAATATGTCGTGGACTGACGGAGAGACCTACTGCCGCTCACAACACTCCCACCTCGCTTCTGTACATAGTTTCGAGGAGAATCAGTTTATTTTGGGTATTTTTTAAGATTGAGTTAAGAACATTTGTTTATTCAGATCTAAAATACACGACAAATTGTGATGTTGTGGCGAATGATTGGATCAGCATCACGCTTCTTGGCTCTTATCGGTAATTTAGCTTTTTATTGTAGTTTGTAGCCTACAAAATGTGGATTTACCGTAAAAATCGATAAAACGGCATCCATTTCAGCTTACTAAAAGGTTTTTTGTAGTTTGTGGCCTAGTAAACCCATCCCTAAGCATAAAAATCGTTTAACTTCCTTCTATTCCAGTGATTACCATGATCAAACATGGCTATGGAGTGACGGGACACCGTTTGACTACGCCCCCGATCTGTGCAATGACGAATTTGGAAGGCATTTTATGGTATGGAATATTTTATTAGACGCTTAACATCAAAACACATATAAAAAAACAAATGATTGAAAATGAGGTACCTAGGTACCGGGATCCTCGTTTTGTTAAATTTAATTTTAACTCAATTTAAAGTATCTTAAAAGGTTAATTGTGATTGAGATATCCTGGAAAATCAGGGACCCTTATTTTACTTGATTTAAAGGCGCCATCAAATTTTTGATTCAGATCGATAATACGAAATGTTCGATGTGTCAGAATGGAACGTGGTTCTCCGTTCTCAGCGACTACGATAATAGTATATACCCATTTTTTGCTTGTAAATTCGTGTTATAAACATTAGTTGGCTGTCAGTATACATAAATTATTCGTATAAAAATTCTCTCATTGGCCGAGTTTTTTGATGGGATACGGTGGACCGGATGGCAGTTTGCCATTTCGAATACTTGACTGAATACGATAATTCCAAATGACAGCATTTTTCAGGTAACGATTATTTGTAGGGTCCGCTGCAGGTCATATTACAGTCTTTCACAGATTACGGTACGTTCTGGGCTACCGTACTCTAAAAATTTTGCAAAAAACCTGGTCTTCACAAAAATCACTAAATGGCCGACTTTTCCGGGGTTACGGTAGCGTATAAATCACGGAATTTTGTAAACTTTTCTGAAAGAAATGCGCAAAAATCCTCTTTAGTGCGTTTCCCAAGTTGTCGCAAGTTTTTTGAACGTCGGCGCGCGCCGTGTTCAAAAAACGATGTTCACGAAAAGAGAGGCGACGCGGCAATTAATCAGGATGTTGGAGTAACGGGGTGACGGGAGACACACGAATTGAATCTACTCCACTTGCCAGCTAGCTCTTTGTTTTCGGTAGATTTCGGATAAGTGGATGGCAGAAAGGAAGAGAAACGACGTTAGATACCTTAAAAAATTTGAATTTTGATTGTAGCCCGAATTTTTCATCAACTTTGGTAGGAATGGATGGCAGAAAAAAAGATCCAAACAACCCAAATATCTCCTAAAATTAGAATTTTGCATACAGTTCGAATTTTCCAGTCCCTAGCTATGGGTTGGTTGACCTTGTTGGCGTATAGGTAGAGCATCTGGCTGATCAGAGCCATGTGTCCAGATAGACATCTCCCTTTTCTCCCCATCGGCAATTCGGTTTTGCGGCAACAGGTGCACACTGCATCGTCTAGAACCGCATTGCCATCTGAATTAAATATATCTAATTGTTTAGCTAATTACTAGAAGGTAAATTTCATGAATAAAATCCTGGAAAAGCTAAAAACTTTTTGAAGTGTTTGAGTATATTTCGAGAAAGCGGGCGGATCTACCGTACCATTAAGCCGCCTAGGCTTGGCGAGCTTCGTCCTGGGTGCCAAGCTTCACATTCCAGTAGTTGGAAGCCAAAACTAGCGTTTCAGTGAGTGTGCCTGAATTTTCTTTTATTGAAAAGCCATTAATGCGTATAGGAAATTCCTGACTAACCGAAGCCTTTTCCCAGTTTCCTACTGCGTGCCAGGCTTCAGATTCCAGTGATTATCGAATTAAGATTTGTGTTTAAGTGGGGGTTTCAGGGTTGATTGGGGGTTGGTTTGGCACTGATTTTTCAGATACCTGAATTTTCCAATCCCTCGAAAAAATTAGATCCGTCTAAGATCCGGCAATCTGGGTGCCATTTGAACCGACACGGACGTCCCCTTTAGACCGTCCTTCACTACCGCATACTTACAGACAGGTGTAGAGAGGGAAGGGCTTAGATGATCGCTATCTCGACTATTCCCTCACTTCACACCTCTCTAAATGTCTCTCCGTCTCTCAAATCCCTCTGATCCCTCCTCTCATTCCTTCCGTTCCCCATCTAAAGGTGAGATGTCGGCCTTCTACTCTCTCTCTCTCTCTCTCTCTCTCTCTCTCTCTCTCTCTCCTTCCTGTCCCCCAATGTGATTCATTATGCCGCGACTCGTAAAAAGGAACGCACGTCCCAACTTGGCCGATGGCAGGGCATACACATGGACGGTTTGAATTTTTGACGGAACCCCTTGTTTCGAACGGATTTGGGCGGGTTGGCAAATGAGGAGCCCGATCTGATAGGGTACTGAAAATCGTACTTGAATTGAAGCAATTGAAACGGTACCTGAATTGGGGACCCTGAAGCGGGCTTCCTGCTCTTTGCCAGGGAGCACGAGCTGCAAAATCCCTGACTTGGCTTGACAAACTTCCAATAGTTCTCGCCCGAAACTAGGTTTTGAGAGAGGGTACCTGAAGACCCGGGTACCTGATTTTTAAAGGCACTGCGACAGCAAATTTTGAATATTTTTTAAATCCCTCTCCATTCTGCCGCCCACCCATCAATTTCCCCTAAAACCTGCTCCCTGATGGGGCGAACGGTTTAAAAAACAGCAACTTTTCTGGCTCATTACACCGAGGGGACCCCCCAGGGGGGAATAGCGCAATATCCGAGCTGTGTACAGAGAGACAGACAGAGAGAAGAGCTGTATTTTGTCAACGGTGGATCTATCTGTGTGGTGGGCCAGAGGGAGGGAGGGTACTTCTCTGCCCTCTTTCAAATCCCTCCTTTGATCATTGCCGTGAACAGGCTCCCCCTACCTCTAAATTCCACACTACCGGATGTACAAACAGACAGATAGAGAGACTGACAGACAGAGAGATAGAGAGGATAGAGAGAGGCAGGCTAGCAGAGACCATTTCCGAGTAAACGCCCGGGGGCTGAGTGACAGTGACAGTCGCCCCATTTGGCAGCTAGAAATGGCGGATGATGGGGGTAGAGAGAGGTAGAGTCCACCTACCGGCCAGCCGCTATTCAAAACGCGGCTTACGGTAGCCAGAAGACACTTTGCCATACCGTAGGGCTATCTGGCAGGCCACGGTAATTGTTGAATATTGTCGGGCCGTTTTTGGAGGCATTTCCCCTTCACCCCTCCCTTTGCCGTACTTGAATATCAAGCGGACATTCAAACGATGGAGATGCTCTTATGGAATGGCCACGGCAACAATCATCATCTACACTGCCCTGCTCTCCGCCGGGAGAACCATGGGAAGCACCAAGTTTTGTGGGTGGGAAAGGGCGGAAACAGCAAAGGGGCAACACGGCCGGGGCGCCATTCATGGGTACCTGAAAAATCAGGTGCCCTAGCAAAAAAAGCTTGGGATTGCTCGGATGTTGGGATGAAATAACATGGATATTAACAATTTTAAAAACTAGCTGCCCCTACCGAAGCCCGGAAAAGCCAATTTCATCAAAATCAGCAAATCTGAATCTCTCTGAACTGAACAAAGTGGTATCTGAAAAATCAGGTACCCTATTTCAGGTATCCTAAGAAAACAAGTTTGAAGCGGCTTTAGATGATGTATCGATATAATACCTACCACTTAGTACCCTAGTAAATTTAAAACCCAATAACCCCTACCGTAATCCAGAAAATCGATTTTTTTTTTTGTCAAAACCGCGTTCCTTTTCCCCCCATATGGCTGATGTGGCAGTTTGTTGACAGCCCTGCTCCCCCCTGTTGAGACATATTATTTTGTGTCAAAGTGAGCGGCCGACATGTCTCTAGATAGAGACAGGCGATCCGATTGTTTATTAGGTCGATCCCCCCTCTCTCTCTACTAGATGGCCGGCATTTTACGTAGAGAGAGAGGGCCCGACCTCTCCCCTTGCGCAACAACTGTGCCCTCAGCAATACACCGATCATAGCCCTCGGACTGTATAATGCCTAATAACTGTGGTCGGGGGTCTTTGGCGGTATTCTCACTCGACAGCTGTCTCATACGGGAAGAGAAAGAGAGAGAGAGAGAGAGAGAGAGAGAGAGAGAGAGAGAGAGACAGCGAGATACGTCATAATCCGGGATGTGAAGGAAGGGGCTTATGGTGTACAGGTGGCCATTCTCGCATGCAATTAGCTATCTGGGTGTAGGAATGGGGTTTTTGATAGGCAGAAAGGAGAAATAAAGGATAGGCGCCTTCAAAAATTAAAATTTCCAACAAGTGAAATTCAGGCACCCTGTGAAATTTTAGTTGACAGTTTTTTAGTCAACTGAATTCACAGTTCCCGAAAATTCCGACAGTCGCTCGGCAAAAGTGAATGAATGGCGCTTCTGGAGGGCAGGAAGTAGCAATAAAAATCAGAACCCTTAATGAATTCCAACTCCAAAGAATCAGGTAAGTGAATACCGTACACTAGAATCTGCTTTTCTAGAAATCCAGAAAAAAGTACCCTGGCAGACAGTACCTTTTTTAACAATACTCCTGGTAGATTTAAGCCATTTTGGATGTTCAGGTACCCTGGGGTACCTGCATTGCTCACACACCGTATCCTCAAGATTGGCCGTAAAACGCTAGTTTTTAGGTTTCGCCAGTGTCTTTGCCACCCAATTCAAACCCCTAGTGGGCCCGGTTGTCTTTTGGCGCTTCTGTTGTATGAAAATGAGGCGCCCCATTTATGACCATAGCCCGCAACGGGCAACATTTCCCTTTTCATCCCCACATCAACCATCCCCCAACGCATGCAAATGACCCGGAATTCCTGTTCTCTGTCTCTCGGCCTCTCTGTCTCTCACACTCCCTCACCCAGGGCCCCCGAGGGCTCAAAATAACGACGGTTGACGCAGCCACAACCCGCCAAGCAACCCATCATTACCGTATCCCTCCAGGGCTGGGCGGTTTGAATTAGAGAGGGCCGGTTGGGAATTAATTGCCATATTTCAAAACGGAAGCCAAATTTAGCAAATCTGAGAGACAGCTTCGAGAAACTGACAGGTCATCTTGAGTTTTATCGGGGAATCTGGGGTTTGCGTGATTTTTTACTTTTTGCTAGCTAAACTCCCATGAATTTTGGTGGACTGGGATAAATTAGTTTAATGGTCATTTAAAATTAAACCTGATCCTGGTAAGTTTGCTAGCTGTTTGTGTAATCTGACAATAAAAATGGCTTTCTCGCTAAATTGAAGAGTATTTGTCACTTTTAACTGTTTACGAATCACTCTGTCGTGCATATTTATGGCGTAACCGAATATTTCTCGAATCGCAATATTTATTTCGGCAAAAATACTGAGCATCAGTGCGGGATAGGGCAGAGCAATTAGGGTAGGGTACATCAAAATATCAATAATACAAAAAATGAAACGAAAATGGAAATGTAAATGGTAAGGCTTCAACCGAGGTAGAGGGCCGCTTAGAACATCTAATTGGCCCCCGAATGTTTCTATACACAGTGGAGGGCAAACTCAAAATGACGGGGTTTTTAAAAGCAAAAATTAAAAATTTTTCAAAATTTATTTATTTTGATTTTTCAAAATTTAATTAATTTTTCAGACCTTAAAATTTAATCCAAGTACCCCACCATTTCTGCTGCCAGACAAAAAAATAGAAAAATCGAAAAATGTCATGAAAATATGTGCAACAAGCGATAAAAGGGGATCTTTGACTAATCACGTTCCCCCCACCGATAGCTCAGCGGGAGATCTTGAGCGGATTTTTGGCGTTTTTAGGGGTATTGTAGCGTACTGTATCGTACTATGGCGTACTGTAGCGCATTGCAGCGTACAGCACCCCGTAAGTTATCGTGCGGTAGAGTACTCTAGCGTACTCTAGCGTACTGTAACGTACTACCGTACCACAAAAAGCGTATAATCCGCTGCTGATCCGCCAGCTACCAGTGGCCGGGAAATTTTTGGAAATATTCAAAAAATTGAATGAATTTCCAGGGGATGGGGTGGGGGGTGGAAACACCGAGATTTTTAGGATTTTTTGAGATTTTCCTTTTTTTAAATTTAATTATACAATAAAACCTTTCGGAAAACCTCTAAAAATCGAACCGGGCAGACAGCTTGAATATTGGTATTTTTAATTGTAAGAAGTACACCTTATTAAAGGGATGGTGACAGTTAAGAGCACGAAAAAGTGGGATATGACGAAATACTGTAGATTCGATCAAAAAAAGTGTAAATTGCCCGTCAGTTATTACAACGAGGGGAAAGGACAAATTGCATCTGATCGACAGAGACAAAATAAATAGAAAAATATACAAAAATACGGTAACTGAATTGCCACTTTCAGGCTAGATTTGTGTTTTTGGAGAGGAATATTTCGGTGTCTTTTGGGGCTGACTAATAGAAAATAGACATCATTTAAGATGTATTGTTTGGCAGTTTGGGATTAGATCGGGCCTATAATCAAAAATAATTGAAATAGATACTTAAAAATTAAAATGAAGCCAATTGGTGCTTAGAAGGCAATGCAAAATAGTGGCAAATAAGACAATTGGTCTATTCCACGGACAACCTCCGCATCTTTGGAGGTGAACAGTCGGAATCGATCTCGGGTAGAGGAGGACCCGCCGATCTATGGCTTCCATCTGGAGAACAGACTGTCGAGGAGAAGCCAGAATCGTTGAGAGGGGTCGCGGGAAGGGAATGACGGCATGCAACTAGCTTCTCCACATCCGTGTGCGTCGACTGGGTGCTGGGGATCACCTGGAAATCGAGCATTAAGAAAGGTAGCTGATTTTTCAAGGACCTTGGAGGGTAGATGGGTTTTGAGGTATCCTCTCAAAGGTTTTAATCGAGCTTTTAGAATCTTTTTGTATTTCCAATATGTAGATAACAAGTCAGTTTACAGAAATATCCCACAAATCCAAAAAATACAAACCTCCGGGGTGGCACGCTGCTCGGAAGTGGATGGCGGTGCCTTCCGCCCATACTTTGGCCTCTTCCCCTGGCAATAGACATGAATATGGGTGAGGTAGGGCTCGAGAAGGGCCAGATCCACATTGAACATCTCCGCGATGGCCGTCCTCGCCTCAGCAATAAGAGTGGGGGAACGACGAGTTGTAGCCGCGGCAAGGAGGGCGAGACATGTCTGGAGGGATGGAAGGAGGAGGGCGAGTTTGTACGCTGAAATGGTTGAAATATAGAATGGATAGGAGGGGTGGATTTGGATTTGAGGAAGAATGGAGGGGGAAAGCTGTGGAGACAGGGTGTGTGTTGGCTAGGAGATGGAGATGGCTATCGGAAGACTGGAAGTGCAGCCCTTTCTGGTTGTCTGGATTTTGCGGGAATGTGAGGTTCGTAAAATCAGGCACCCTTCATTTCATTAGGTGCCTGAAAATTCAGGTACTCTCCAAAAAAGGTAACTGAAAATCCAGGTACCCTAGTTACACCACCCTAAAAACCTAATAACCCCTAATAATCCCCGGTCTTAAATCAACTCCCTTAATCCCCAAGATCCCTACTGTCCTCCATTGTCCCTGATGACCAATTTGAATGCTCTTCCCCCTTTCTTCTTCGTTGACCTGACGGCCAAGAATGGCCCAAGATGGGCGCGCCAGGTGCCCAAATCCTTCTTCTTTCTAGCTAGCTGTGTGACCCGAATCCCGACTGCCCCCCTCCTTGTGCTGTTTACAGGTGCTCGGCGTACTGGGGGGTGACCCAGTTGCGCCATAGCCATCAGCCCCCTACAGCTCCCTGCCAAACAGGGCGCCTTTAGGGCCACTGTCGGGGCCCAGGAGGGGTGGAAAGGTTGGAATCAGGCACCCTGGCAAGCAACTAAAGGGATGATGTCACTTTTGTGCCCGATTCAGGCACTCGCCCGCCTAACTAGAGGGTAAGGTGAAATTCAGGTGCCCTTGCATACAGCTAACGTAATTATGTAATTTTTGAGGGATTTTTAGCTGATTCCTATACCTTTCCAGTTAGTCAGTTAGTCTAACCCACCCCCTTTTGCCAGTACAAAATGAGGGGCAGGCAGAGGTGTGAGACCTCTACTCGGGGGTCTCACAGCGGGATGTCCTGACGCGGGGCACAAGAGTCCTCCTCGCACCCCGCAAAAAGTCTCGGCCCCGATGAGCGGTTGAGAAGCAGCCAGAAAAGAGGAGAAAGAGCTGAGACAAATGCTAAGAGCAGTCAGCGCCTCTTTTTCTAGCCAGTCCTCCGACTCCATGCGTTGACAACATATGGGGGACCCTGGTTCGAATCCCCTCCCTCCCCTCCCCCATCACTTTTTTCTTTCCGGATCCGCCACCCTCCAGCCCACATTAGTCGCTTTTTATACCGAGTTTTTCGGGCCTTTCCGGGGGCTATCTGGGGGACAGGGGGCACCTCTCCGAAGAACCCGGTTTTCGCGCCGTTTTCAAGCCATTTCAGGGAACCCCAGGAGAGCACGACCCCAGAAACCCCGGAAACATATGTTCTGTCAGTCGGGGAACCGAGTCGAAATGGAAAAATGGTGCCAACAGTTGGCGCTGTGAAAGAGCTTTTGGTATCTTGGGTGGTCGCCGACAATGCTTTTAGGTACGGTAAAAGCGGGCACACCCTACCGATCCCCCTTTAAAAATCTCGCTATGTTATTTTATAGAAAGAGCGGTAGACTGTTTGTCGGTGAGGGTGCGCGAAGAAGTCATAAATCCCGACCAGAAGACGGGGGATACGATATGTTGAAGAGATAGGGAAGGGAGGGGGACCATGGGGGGAAGGGAGTCGCGTGCCACCCTCACGATCCGCACCCTCGATAAAATGGTGTGTTGCTCGAGAGCTAAAGGAGCGTGAAAGGATGAACTGGATACCACAGCTCATTTTCAAATATTTTAAATGGACTTCGAAGGCCGATTTCTTCGATTTTTTGACCAAAAAAACTCAGCTGCCCGCCAACTTAGCTTCTGGCATATTCAAAACTTGGCCCATATGCGCTATTGAGGGGAGTAGGGGATGCAGTGCGAACAGTTGCCCTTGGCGCAATATGGCACACAGGTCAAACAATGGGCCACAGTTAAAAGGGGACCGCGCCCTGGCCAAGCAGAAGAGAGAGCAGATTGGCCCCGAAACGGGATCTCCCCTTCTAGAGACACATCAAACATTGCGCAAAGACAATAGCCGCTCAAGTTAGCCCCCGGTTGAGCATATATTAGGATTTGAATTGAAGGAGGGGCATGGATGACGCAGTGTACCTGAATCTCACTAAAACTGCTTCAAAATACACTTATTTGTTATACGGCTATCCAACTAAACTATTTTTAACTAAAAAACCCTAAAAACTCAGGTACCCTCCCGTATTGTCGATCTCTTACTCCTCGGGGCACCATATTGTGTATCCATCCGGTGCTCACAAATCATCTGTCCACCCCTCCTGGGTGCCTGTTGTTTATAGGGCCAAGTGATAGCCAAGGGAAAAGCCTCTCCCTCCCTTCTGCCATCCACCGTATCCAGTTACCCTCTCCCGCACCCTATTGTCCCCCATCCCTCCCTTCTAAATCCCTTTAAAAGATTAAGAGACCCTAGGACAGAGTCAACTGTCTGCCAGCCAACACCCCTAAAATCTGCCCTCGATCTCGGAGGAGGTGTGAGTAATTTCTTGCAGTCAGAGGTCACATCCAATCACCCCAAAGCCCTCTACAGTATCCAGTAGGGAAGAGCGCACGATTTTGGCGCCCCTGTAAAATCTCTTCGGCCGCCGTGCCATCCCCCTCCCTCACGGCCGAGGCGCGAAAAATGACTCGGCGGAAAGAAAGAAACGCGCGATGCTTATCGTTTTTTCTGTCAGTTTTTACGGCAGAGAGAGAGAGAGAGCAAGGGAGAGAGAGAGAGGGAGAGAGACAGAGACAGACAGACAGGCAGATGCAGGGAGTGGCACTCAGATCCACCTTTTTCACACGCTGAAAACCCGGGCTAACGGGAGGGCAGAGGTCTCAAAAATCAGAATCGATATGCTAGAGTAATTTTATCAGTTGTGGAATTCATACTGGGTCTCAGCGCGTCAAACGCTAGAGTAATGCTCCAAAATTCGAGATTTTCCGAGGGTACCTCTACCTTTTCAGAACCCCCCATGGTACCTGATTTTTCAAATAATCGCACCTGGCGCGCGGCATCTTAAACCTCGGCCTCAATCCCAATTATTGCCCATCCTTCCCTGAGCGGGTTACTGTAAGCATAGAATGGCTGTCAGTGGATGTGGTCATGCGCTTTCTGGGGGCAGATTCAAACCATCGGCATGTGCTGTGGCCACCACCATCCGATGCAACAGCTGTCCCCTTCATCCCCTTCCCTTCCCTTCTGCCGTCCACAGGAGCCATCCGTAATGAGTCGAAGAAGATCCTTAATTACAGGCCAACCCCAGCCCCCCACACACGTTCCTCAAAAAAAGCCGCCGGCAAAAAAGCTGGCACCCGGAGGGATTTTAACGGGGATCTCTCTCTGCCTCTCTCTCTCTCTCTCTCTCTCTCTGCCTCGCATTCCCTCACAAGAGGTCCCGGAAATTATGGGCGAATCGGCGGTGTGGTGCTAATGACGGATGGAGGTCCTCATGGGATTGAGATTTGAATCTAAGGCTGGACGACGACAGTTAGGAGGTCAAGACGCTTGGACAGGGTGATCTTGCCTAAGTTACACTAATCAAGACTGTCGAAAAACGCTAAACTGGCTGGTGATGATGGATATGAAAATTGAAAATATCGCCAAAACTCTGAATTTTTAGTGTTTTTCTTTATTAAATTTTGTAAGCTGGCGTGCAATTTACCCTTCCGCATCAATACTTTCCCCAAAAAATCGGTCAGTTCCAAACCAAAGGCCCAACTGGCGCACACAGGCCATGTGCCACCATCTGCGCCCAGTGTGAGATCCCCCGTAGTCCAGCCGAGAGCTCTCTCTTTGGGGTTGAGGTCAATGTTGCGCAGTCCCCTTCCACAAAGGACAGTCAGTGCATAATTGAGACTAGTAAAAGAAGAAGTGAGGGTACCGAGTAGTACATAGCCAGATCTAGGGGCAGATATGCTGTCATACAAGGGCCCCCGACACACATTTATGGGGGGCTGTTAAACTGGGGGGATGTTGACCTCGTCGTGTCCTTCTACTGCCCTTAACTATGTATGCGCACACGCGTTTTTTGAAATGCCGCTAGATTAGGGGTAACAGGGAGGAGAGTACCTGAATTTTCAGGGACCTAGGGTACCTGAATTTTCAGTGACCTGGCGAGAGTACCTAAATTTTCAGGAACCTTATTTTAATTTTACGAAATATCTATGAATTTAACTAGAAGTTTAAATTCACGTATTCCCAGCCAGATAGGCGATTTCTGGGCTAAAATTTTCAAATCTGCCCTTACAGTACCCTAAACTCATGATCACGTCACATGCCAACCAGACAAATACGGCAGCCAACTAATTACATCCTGATCCGCTCCCTGTCCAAACGTGAGCAGGCAAGAAGGAGGTGGTTGAAGCTCAGCAGGGGGTCCAGTAGGGGGAGCAAGAGGAGGAAGGAGGGGAGTATGGCTATGCAAATATCAATCTCTAATGGGACTGTGAGGACAATACAGCTGTGGCTAAACGAGGCAATGGCTTGTCTTGACTGGGCCCTAACCCATCCATCAACACCCCCAACAGAGAAAAGGGGGCATGATTTTTGGGACATCTCTCGGGGGATCATCCCCAGATGATCTCTCCTTCAAATAGCCGTTACTTTCGATATCTGATACCCTGGGGCGATTTTGTGCCCTGAGAGTTTTTAGTTAGGTTATCTGCCTGTAATAGATACTTTAAAAAGATATATAGACATTTTTAACGTTAAACCGTAAGTTAAAATTCTCAAAACTGGGCGTCAAAAAGGATTTTTCTCATTTTTTTAAACCGTCTTACGGTAATTTCTATTGAAAGATTTTTCATATCCTAATCTGCCTGCCACGCTACAGTATCCCAAATGAAAAACTTGGTTCCCAATCCCCCTCGGCAACTATTTGTCATGACTGAGGTATGAGGGCCCTCTTTTTGTTCCTCCGCTAGCCGAGGCCTCCTCATCCCCATTATTAGCCCTGCCCTCGGGGGCCATTTTGAATAATACGCGTCAGAATGGGTTATGGAATACCCAGTTACTCCTATTGGTTAGCAGTTCGAGTTTTACCGCAACTTTTAGCCCCCAAGCCCTCACTTTCGCTGGAGGGGAATCGGATCAGGAAGGACAGTCTATAATCGGGTTGTCTGTCTGTCTGTCTGTCTCTCTTTATCTAGCACACTCTCTCGCTCACCATGCTATGTGACCCAGAAAAAAACGGCTGGAAAGAAGAAAAGGAGGGGGAACAGAGATTTGCATAGGGAGGGCATAGCTAGGCAGCCGACCCGTCCGTCGCGAATCATTGACTTTTTGGGGAATTCTAAGGGCAGGAGAGGAGCGGGAGCATCATCGAGTCTCAATCTGGCTGCGAGATCACACTATTAAACTTCTAGAAACCCAAAAAAAATCGAATTCTTACGGTGTACCGGTCCCAACTCCCTCCACTGCTAGCCAGAAAACCCAGACAAAAAGGTCTTTTTCCGCGCGCAATTCTTATGCAAATCAGGTACCCTGCTTGGCGGCGATGTGCTGTAGGGCGGATGCGGAGAGGGATAGACAGATAGAAGGACAGACAGAGAGACAAACCGTGACACACAAACACACCGGTTGCTCATTTCCAGAAGCGGGTAAATGGGCGAGAAGAGGGGATGGATGCCAGAGAAGACCTCCCTCCCCCCTCCATTGCCTCATCTGTCCGGCACAAAAGGTGATTGACCCACTGACTTGGCTCGATTCCCTCTAGGGAGCGGAGGAGGAGGGCAGGTGCAAAATCTCCGTCTTTCTATGCCCTTCTTTTCAGCTAAGACTACGGTATCCATATTTCCGGTTAAACTGACACCCAATTATGCCCTGAAAGCCCCTTGAACGTCTCGAAAAGGTCGTGGGGAGGACAGAGGAAAGGGCAAGATGAGGACTACCCTCAAAGGGAGCACGAACACCTACACTTTACGGATTACAAGGGATTGATGCTCACTCAGCCAGTTGGACTCTTGCCTTTCTGGCTCTCTCTCTCCCTCTCTCTTTTCTCTCTCTCTCTCTCTCTCTCTCTCTCTCCACCTAAGAAACCCCAAAAAAAGCAGAATTGGTTCTGGTTTTTCGTGGTCTGCGAGGCGCGGGGCGCGTGGCGGTAGGGCGCAATGGTTTTTCTTTAAAGCACTCGCCCCGACTGGTGGAAGAAGAAGAAAAAGGGAAAAGATTGGAATCGAGGAGTGGAACACACAGAAAGCTTCTCCGAAATGACAGACTGACAGACACAACAGGTGGCCCCTTTCGGGAATTGCCAGCCTGCCAGCCAGATTGGGCGATTTTAAGGTGAGAATGAGCCTGGGATGATTCCCCAAGAACCTTTGCTAGTTATAAGTAGATGGAAGGCCACTCAGATTAAACGGTTACGATATCAAAATAAGCCTTAGATGATTCCCCAGACATCTTTGCTAATTACCAATAGATCAGTTGACGCCAGTTTAGCTAGCCAACGATTTTAAGGTGAAAAACCCGCAGCCAGTTGCCCAAGAATCTCTGCTAGTTTCCGATAGATAGAATGGGAGCTAGTTCAAAGATTTGCATGCAAAAAATTAGTATAAAAACTCACATTGCTGGAGTTTGTGGACGGTCTCGATGAAGACATCCCTCAATGCGCCAAGAGAAGGATAGAGGGCACACACATGATCGTAGAAGTCGACCGCTGTCGGCAGGGCCAAATCCCAGCCCAGCTGCTGGCAGATCAGCATTTCCCAGCTCTAAAGATTTGCAATTACTTTTTAAGGTATCTTTTTCTTACCAAAATTTGCCCAACGGACACGGTATCGGCCGTGTAGCTGCTCATCTTGCGGGCAGAGATTGGGGTGGATTCCTGGAATTTTAGCGATTTAAGTTTTATATTTTTAAGGTATATTTAACGCAATGTCATGAAAATTAAGTAAATGCACAAACCTTAATCTTGCTGACCAAAAAATAGCAAGTAGCCGCGAGGCCCTGCAGGTCCTTTTTGTAGATCCCCTGGCACGACAGGAAACGATCAAAAATCAGGGTGGACAGGGGAAGAACACCAGCATCGGCGTGGCTCTGAATTTAAACTTAATCCTACTATATATAAAAAAATAGTGTGTGTGTGTGTGTGTGTGTGTGTGTGTGTGTGTGTGTGTGTGTGTGTGTGTGTGTGTGTGTGTGTGTATATTTGCATGCAACTTCCGTAAGTATGTACCGCACCTACAGCCTCAGGGGAAGGTTTTTAAGGTACGTATGATACGTCATTAGGTGCGTAATGGTCCCGAGATGGGTGCACACATATAAAATTGAAGAAAATCGGCTGTTTTCGCTATTAAAATTAAGTTTTTGTAAATATATCGAAAAACCTCTTTGTTAGGAGGCAATTAGCATTGACCGGAAGTGGCCGTAGCCTATAAAAATGGAGGGAGCGTGCGCTTTTCATTTTTTGGTGAGCGGCATTCGGCAAGCCCTATGTAAAGTCAAATTTTCAGAAGTCCTAGACGGGTCCAGGGTTGAAAAGCCGCGAAGCGGTTTTTCAACCCTGGTTTAAAATAAAAGCTTTAAAACCTACATCCTTGCTGACGTCGCTCAGCCAGTCGATGGCCGTTTGCCGGGCCCGCTCGGTGAGGTCAGTTTGGATTGCCTCGAAATAGTGCGAGTTGATGCCCAAGTGTTCCTGGAAAAGTGAAATTAAACTTAGTAAATGAAAGTTAAAATTAGGTACTTGGGTACATGAAAATTCAGGAACCCGGGTAAATGCAAATTCAGGTACTTTCTTTTTTTGCTTCCTTTCGCACCTCTACCCATCAGATCCCAAAATCCTCCACATTTCTTGGCAAGTTGCCGCCCAGTGATGATCGCCCTTGTTCGGAAATGCGGTAAATCGTGGGCCTATCTCCCCCTTCCCTGGTTCCCTATCCCGGGTTGTGGGGGGCTGCTGTGCCGGGCGCGACCCCATCAAGGCATGCAAATGTCTGCGCGGTAGGGGCGGCTAGAGAACAGGGAAAGATAAGAGAGACCAGACAATCTGCACTTTTCTCCTCTCCTTTGGACCATCGCCTTTTAAAGGGACCGAGAAGGGAGGGGAAGAGAGAGAGAAAGAGAGCTGATAGAAGAGGAGGTAGGCACGGCAGATGCGATTATGGGGGTCTAGTGGGGGTCCCTTTGTCCTTCTCCGATCTTTCCCTACTCGAGGTCAATCTCCACCAGCTGGCGCTTTTTCTGGCTACTGATTCCCGCGAAATGAAATCGATGATTTTAATTGGAAACTGGGTTTCCGAGTATAAAAAAATGGTATCAACCTCAGCCCGTAGAAGATTCTTGAACGCGACGGCGTTGTGGTGAACGCCTCGGTCTACAGGCGGCGTCTGCACAGATTGGTGTTGTGGCTGATTGAGCTTCAAATCCAGTGAGGCACGCTTTGCCTAAATGGTAGTTTTTGGTGAGGGAACCTGACTTTTCAGCGACCTTAACCGAGGGTGCCTGATTTTTCAGGTACCTCATATCAAAATTGACCCCATTTCCGCCCTCGCCTAGTTTCCCTAATTTTTGCGATACCATTCCAGCCAACTAGTGACTTAGCGTTATCAAAGCCCGACCTCGTCCCTCAACCCTGTCAATCCCGTGCTCCGAAATTGAGCCTCACTAGTATCAATCCCCCTCCAGGAGGACCAGATCCCCCTAAAATCTGTCCCACTTCGATGCCATCGAGACAATCTCGAGAGTTTTCCATCCAACTGTCTGCCACCCCCATCTAATCCCTCTCTATCTCTACTCCTTCTCTCTCTATTGTTGCACTTCACAGGGTATTCCTGTCGCTATCTTTTCTAAAATCTGTGGCTCCCCCCTTCGAAGCAGCTTCCTCTCAGGGTGGCACGTTTTTACAAGCGCAGCACCCGTAGAAAAACGAAAGTGTGCTCGAAATTTTGCAGTGGCAATGGCATGAAAGCAGACATACAGACAAACTGAGAGAAAGTAAATCCACAATACCTGATACAAACTGCGAGACGATGTCTGAGGCTGTTGCCTTGCGGGGATAGAGGGAAGAGGGCAGAGCACACCACGGCCTGTACGTCTTCTGATTATCACCGAGGTGTCGTCAGGGGAATTCCCGACGACGTCGATGTTCTCAGAAGAGGTGGAAGGGGAGGAGGACAGCATTTCGGGGCAGCTGTAAATCGGGTGGTTTTAAAGGGGTTGGGAAGGTGAAAATGTGATTTTTCAAAAATTTAAGAGGGTAACTGATATTTCAATTACTTTTTCTGAGGGCACCTGAATCGAAATAAGCTTACTTACCCAAGTGCTGAAGGCGTTCGGGCGATGATGTCGCTCATTCTGAGAGCCGACATATCAAGCGAATTCCCACTGCTGGTGGATCGTCTATGGCCAACAACAGAAGCATAGGAGGGACCCATCATCTTCTGCGAGGCCATTACCAGCTTGTCTGCTAGACAGAAAAAGGTTTTATTATGTTTAGAGTAGAAAATTCTAGTCAAAATCGAGAGTCCAGACATCAGATAGTGGTGGGAGGTGATGGTAATTGAGATTATGGGCGAGGCGAGGGTCGATACGTTCAAAAGTTTATTTCGCAAAAGGGTGCGTGGACCACGTGGGGGTCTGAGATTTGAATACCCCAAAGGGGTAGGCGTTGTGAAATTGTTGGTTGCCATTAAGCCCGTTTCCGGTCAGATCGGCCATTGAAAAATAGAGATGTGCAAAATATACAATTTCCAGGGTATGGGATACTGTAATCAAAATAATTTCCGAAACTTTTTACAATATTTTAGATTTAATGGGATGAAATGGTAAGCTGTGAAACAGTTTAATGTCAAATATAAAAAAAGTTGTAAAAGTGCGTTAATACAGTAATCTGGCAGGCATACTGTAGAATAGGCACACTGTAATTCGACAAAATTAAGTAAAAATCAAAATAAGCTCGATAAGCTCCAATTGACAGCCAGTTAGCCAAATGAGAAGATACCAAGCCGGATGGAGGGCATGGGCCAAGACTGAACCTGTGGAAGGGAAGGAGCCTTAGTGGGTGCGGGAGGAAGAGAAGGAGGAGGAGGAGGAGGTAGAAAGGGGCGGGGCTTGACGGTACACAGAAGGGCATAAGGGAAAGAGGGGGAAAGAGAGGTAAGGCCTGGTGCTCCACCCACTGTCAGCATGGACATTAGAGCGAGAGAGAGGGAGGGAGAGACTAATTAATAAGCTTACTGGCTTACAGTATACCCCAAAAAATCTAATTTGTAGCTTTAGCTTTGAATTTTGTAGCGGATGCCTTGGCTGGATGCCAGAAAATCCGAATCCTCTTGAAAAATCGGCAAACTAGTGGTGTTGAGGCCGATTCATAACTTACAAGCTATTCTACCTGTCAGCTAAAAAATCCCACCAATCCTTGAGTGATAAAAATGGGCTTTTCTGAGCTGTTCGGGCACCTTTAAAAAGCCCCAGTCATCATTTCGTGGGAGCCGACGATGACGAGGCACGAAGCTTTGGCCCGGAGGGGAGGAGAAGCTGTAGAAGGGCATCTGACGGGGGGAGGGGGAGAGGGTGCCTGAATCAGGGCCCTCGAATGTCACGAACAACGCAACACCGAGCAGGGCAGGCAAATTGGCTTCGGAAGCTGGGGGAGAATTAGACAGCTTAGACGGTTAGCAGAGACTGTTGGGGTTTTGATGGATGCCAGAAAAGGTATAGGCTATATAGCTTTTGGGTCTTGGGCCCTCAGGCACCTTTAGAATCTATCTGCCCTTTTTAATTTCCTCCATCTCTATAAATGTAAAAAGTCGATGACCCATCTGGTTATGGCACTTAATTCCCAGGCTTATTGCCTCGTAAAGTGAGAGTGTAGTAGTAGCGTCAAGATTTCATTAATGGCAGAAGATTCTGGCTTACCTGGGGCACCTGAAGTCACTTTGCCTGCCATTAATGTTAAAATCTCGAAAACCATGATTTTGGAGGAAATTACGGAAAATTTCTGCAATTTTTCCGCTAGTTGTCTGCCCGAGCTATCGTATAACTAAAGAACGTCTTGCATCAATCACAAATTGTCGAGCTGTCTGGTTTTGGAAAGTGAGGGTACCTGCATTTAGAAAAACGACCATTAGTGGCGAAAAGTGCTTTAGAACAGCATATTCCTGCAAGCTTTCTGCTAGTTGCCTTACAACCGTACCGCACTGCTATAGAAATCTCAACTGTCTTGCGTCAATCCCAAAAAAAAGATTGCCCTGCTTGCCCTTGCCCTGGTATGCTGTCGATTACCCAATGAGTACATTATCGGCTTATCTACCCCTTTAAGCGGCTCATCTGGCTGTGTATTTGTCAGTTTGTCTGTCAGTTGTTCTTTCTGTCTGTCTGTCTGTCTGTCTCTCAGCAGGAGGTCATCCCCTATCATTCGGCTATTATTTGCCCTCTGACACCTCGCGCATCCAAGTGAAGTTGCACACCTCTAGAATGTGCCCTCAGGGATTGGGGAAGTGACAGGGCGATGATCTGATCTATCTGGAGGGCATACTGTATGGCAATGATGGGGTGGGAGACAACCTGTTGAAGACGGGGGGCCAGGTGGGATTCAGATACCCTCAGGGTATGGCCTTGGCGTAAGAAGACAATTAAGTTTTAGAATAATTCTTAGGATGGCAGATTGGGTTAATTCATAGCAATTAAAGTAGCACCTAAGTTTAATAATATTTATAAGCCCAAAATCATGCCAAAACCTTGAAAAATACACTTTTTCGGGGGCTAAGTCAAGCCTATAAATTTAAATTTTAGTCAATTTCGAACTAGATAAATTTTCTGCAGGTCTGATTGGCTAAATTGCTTAGCAGTAAAGGTATAATCGAGGTATATCAATTCTTACTGCTTATTTGGCCACAAACCAGGCTAAAACACAACTTTTCCGGCCCAGAAAAACACATTTTCCAAGCTCAACGTTGGCCACATGTCGCGGCCATTAGGATGAAAATTATGAGAGTAGGAGGTGTAGAGAGAGACAGACAGACAAACTGTCTCCCCCTCCCTCTGAAAAGTCATACCTCATGTCGGTGCCTGGCCGTGTTCGGGCGAGTCCACAAGCCTTCCCTTCCCTCGCCGCGCGAAATATGACAGACCCATTAATAAAGAGGGACCGCCCGGCGGGAATGGCCAACTCTATCTAGTGGTTAGTCAGTGTAGTGGATAGACTGGCAGACAGACAGACAGACAGACAGACAGACAGACAGACAGACAGACAGACAGACAGACAGACAGTACGGCTAACTACTCATCAACACTTTAAATGGGCCGATAAGTTGTGTTTTGATAGCTGGGGACCGACAAAATCCTCTTTTCCAAAATACTTCTAAAAATAGCTTCACTGCCAGTCAGATAGCGCAAAAACAGGTTCAATTTTTCAAGGACCATTGAAGCCAGCTGACAGCTATAGTTTCTAAAAGTTCTCGTGATTTTTCGAAAAGCCTGAAACTATTTTTGAACCGCTCCCTGTTGACCTGGGGATCAGGATGAGGCGTTCAGAAAAAGGTGAGAATTTCCCAAGATAAAGGAGACCGCGACTAACCGTTCATAAAAACCCGTGCCCTCACAGGGGACACCCGTTTTTCCGGGGAATCGAGCCCTTTAAAATTGTGCACTTTTGGGCATTAGCCTCTTTAGAGGAGGAGGTGGCATTTCGAGCTGGAAACGAGACGTTTTCGGAGGTTTTCGTTCTGCTTGTCTGTCAGTTGGTCGATCTGTCTGTCAGTGGCGCTGTTTGTCTGTATTTTAGCCCAACTAGAGAGCGGAAATCGATTCTGGGGCAGGTACCCAAGATATCTGAATTTTCAGGTACCGTCAGATGGCAAGAAATTATTTATATTTTCTCAAAATTCTAGCTCTATCCATGAATTTGGCATCCATTTGAAAGAGTCCCGCCACTTTCCACTCTGTTTTTTTCGCATTCTCATGCGATTCTCGAAAGTACACCCCAATTCCCATAAATCTACCCGATTCACAACTCGCTGTGTCCCATCATCCCTATTTATTACCCCTCTCCATTCCCTCTCTATCCACTACTGAGAAAGCAATACAAAGAGACACCCCCAAAATCCCATAAAATATCAAGAACTACCTCGCGGAGGATACGGTAGTGTCCATCAAATGACAGTCAGTTATTGGAGGGAGTGGAGGGGGAGGGGGAGCCCGCGAAATGCTATTATTTGGTCAGCTGAGTACTGGGGGCATTCCATTACTTTCCTATGTACACTACCGGGGAAGGGGAGTGGGGGACTGTTTGGATGGCATAGTGCTAATTGGTGGAAGCTCCGAGAAGTTAAAAGAAGCCTAAGCTGGTACCCAGACTCAATAGATTTGCCTTCAATGGGCCTTTAAAATGGATTAAACATTAAAACAAGTTTAAAATCGTAGGCTGGTATCCAGAAGCTTTAGAATTGACTTTAACTTCCCATTAAAATAGAATTCTGACTTGCTTAGCTAGATTTTATGTAAACTGTCCGCCAGCTTACCGTAACCCCCAATTCAAACAATGTCCCCATGCAAAGAAGCCACTCTGGATACCGAATAGTAGATCAGGTACCCGTCCAACTTTTGCGGCCCGGTTGACATTATACAGTACCCAGACAGCCAAACACAACGCCATGAGTTGGCTTCCGTTTTTTTACCAAAGAAATCCCAGCCCCGGCCCTTTACAACATCCGATATTCCCATGGAAGGGAATGGAAGGGAAGGACTGTAAGA